ATAAGGGTATAAATACATAAATTGCTTGTTGAGTTAAATTCAAAACCATTGATCAGCAATTCCGGTCAATCTTTTAAAGTTGTTAAAAATACATTTGAACAAAGTGCAGAATGACTCAAAGCTGTTTTCTTATTGTTGTTGTTGCTGCTATCCTACGGCTCCCACTTTCCCTTTATTTGTAACTTACAGCATATGGCACTTTGCTGCCTTTCCCTACATTTAGGCAGTTCGGAAAGCCGTAAAACTCTAGAAAAATTCTTTCAAGTCGGCACTCTTAATTCCCAACGTAATTTATTCTTGTTTTCTCGTCACCATATTCCCACCAATAGCGTAGCTCCATTTTCTGCATTTTAACACACACACAACCCACGATTCCTCCAATCGCTACGAAAAAGGGCTAATGCTCGAAACGTCATCTTTTAAACTCTTTGTGGTGGCCAATTTACGTTATCAAATCAGTTGATAATACTTAATTACCATGTAATTCTGTCCACCGACGCAGCACCACAGTTTCTTTAGTAACCTACCCCTTTATTCATAAGTTACAAAGTAATCTGTTTATCCCATAATTTCTCAAGCTTGAATATAAGGTTACAACCATTTTTGATTCGGTCCAGTGTGCACCGGTCAGAGCCCTATAAGTAGGACGGCGCGTTTTCTTATCTCTTACCGAGCCTGGATTACATTTTTAGGCAGAAAATATTCCCGTACACTGATCGACGAAACTCCCAAAGTGGCTGCGTGGTAAGATTACGTCCAAAATTAATGATCTCGATCGAGTGTGAAAAAGATGGTGTTTTGTTTCGTTCTTAAATTACGTTTGTCTCCGTAGCATAGTTCATTCTTGCTTTAAGATTACCCGTTATTTAGTCACGTGTTGGGTGAAAGGAGGGACCCTGTTGGCAGAGACGCAATTTACAAATTACAATAACGTTTTGTGGAATCACCTAACATCTGTTAACCAACTTTTGGTACTATTAAGAAGTTTGAAAAAACCTCTCAGTGGAAATTATGCAAAATTTGACTGTTATAACATTCAGAAGGAGAAAGACGCATCAGATGGCCTCGCTTGATCATTCGCCTCCTGAGTGTGCGAAGATGATCATTCATGAAACAGGTTATATTTCGTCTCTTGATGGCTGTATTTTTCCCAGTTTGATAGTTGTTTGTTCGCATGCCAGCTGGTTAGCTGGTTGCATCAACAGTCAAGTCTAGCAGAATAAATAGATCTACGAAAGTTTTAGTGAGACTGATTAAATGCGTGTTGAATGCTGTAGAGCCCCTGTATTTAAATCAGAATAAAATAGTAAGAACCAGACCTCTGCTGCAACATGGCTTCCAAATCCAATAGCTTTGCGAGCTTGGCAGAATTTGGCTTCTGGTTATGCGCACATTTTAATTTTTTTCCACCTAATGTTTTTCGGCCACTGTTTTTCCAAAATGGCTGCCAGTCTGGAGACTACTCCAAGAGTTTCTTGGTCAGAATTTTTTTAAGATGGCGGCCGGTTTGTGGTAATCCCAACCTGGTCCCCAGTGATTTCTCGGTCAATGGTCTTCAAGATAGCAGCCGGCTTAGTGAAATTTCTGGCACTCTGCAGATCACGTGATTGCTCGATTTAAGACAATATGGCGGCCAGTTTGTGGAAACCCCAACCTTGTCCTTAGCGGTTTCTCGTTCAATGGTTTTCAAGATAGCTGCCGGTCTACGGAAACTTCCTGCTTGCTTGCTGCAGATCACTTGATTGCTCGATTCAAGACAAAATGGTGGCCAAATAAAAGAATGGGAAGATCTGGGTACGAGAAAGCAAAGAAAGACAATGGGCTAACGATGACCTCTATATATAAAGCTAAGGAAGGAAACACTTCAACGAAACAGTAACACAAAAGGAGAATTAATAGAAATTCGAGCAGCGGGGATACGTAACACTTGCCTAAGTTTTCTTAGTTTAAACTTGGTGGGAACGGAAAGAAACGATACTTAAATTTTCTAACTGCACAGTTTTCGATACCGTACCGGGCATCTCGAGTTGTTGCAATGAATTTTTCCTTATTTTCCATTCACCCTTTCCTCGATGAGATTTGAGAGTTGTTCCATTGCAACAGTTATTCGGACCTTGATTTGAGGGAATAGTTTAGGCAGCTGGTATGTTTTGGTTTAAGAGCATTCCCTACTCACTTATAAGGTGAATGTGTCAGCTGTTTGTTTGTAATTCTGTTCTGTTCTCGGAGTCGATTTAGAAAATAAAAACCACCACGAAAATAAACAAACTTTGCACATACACAAAATCGACTGATTGAAAACGGGTTGGTCTGAGAGCGAAAACGATAATGCCTTTTATTATAATGGATTTTCGGTCAACGAATGAGCAGTTAACAAGTGTTTTATTAAAAGGCAAATATTGCATAATGATTAAAATCAGATTTTGTTAACAATTTAAACACACTGGGTCAACAAGATTTCCATGCGAAAGTAACAGAAATAGAAATCAGGCTGAACATAATATTGCTGTAGATACAGATAAGACATAACGTGAGGACTTGCTTGTTAGTTGATAGCTATCAATTTAGCTATCATTTAGCAAGTGATGAAAGTTTGTAATTATTAGTGAACAATTCTCTAGGCTTACTCTTTGAATGTTCCAACACAACGTATTCAGAGTAAGATGTTTCTTCATTCCATCAAGCCTCATTCGAAAACATGACATTGCTTTACTCTAAGACATCTTACACTGACAAACGTTGGGTTCATCTTTTTCCTAGCATTTGACTCAGTTCGTGATTTCAGTCTGCAAGGGTGATGCTAATCATAAAATTTTCTCGTTCGAAGAATTTACTATCATCTCCTTATCCTTTCGCGGATTTCACTGGTTTGTAGTTAACTTTTTTGCAGTTTTAGTGTTCTATATGGGTGGTTGTCAGGAACAATTAACAAAAAGTAAATAACTAAGAAAGCTACTGAAACCTTAAACAACAAATCTGCGCCGGCTTTTACCCGTTCGTTTTGGATTTACTACTCCATGCCCGGTACTGCATTGATCTAAGGATCAAATTTCCTATCAAATAGCTCCTATAGTTCACAATTTCATTTAGGCGCGCTTGTATTTTGATAAGATATCTGTCATCTTATCAAGATCAAAGCCTTAATTAAATTACCTAACAATAAATACATAATAATATTACTGAAGTTTATTAAACTGTTGATAGGTGATTATTTTATTATCATATAAAATTTTTCATGGCTATGAGCTTTGATTTTTTCACACTTACCCTGTTCTCAAATCAAGGTTCATGAAAATTTACACTCTGCGAGGATCTTTCTCTTACAGATCTTTCTGAAACAGAGTTCAGTGATTGCTTTTAACAATGCAATTTATTGTACAGTTCAAACAGGAAGTTTTTGTTATCAAAAGTTGAATTCTGGTTATCATGCAAAGCAGAAAACACATGAAAGAGGCAAAAATTTCATTTCCTGCGTTATGAATGTTATTTTTGATCCACATTTCTGATTGGTAGAATACTTCATCTGAAATAGGCTAAACGGGTGCTTTCGTCAACCAAACAGATAACTTAATATCCTGTAGGAAAACTTCGGGCATAATATACTGAAATCAAAGATAACGCCGAACATGGCTAGAATCGAAACATTATCATGCATTTTTTCCCCTAAAATCAAATCAAACCAGCACATCACGACCAAATTTTATATAATTCATTGATTACAGAAGAAATTCCCTTTAAAAGATATGTAACAGCTCCTGCTCCAAACCAGGGAGTAAGACAGTTCAGGCGAAGAAGAGAAAAGTTTTCCCACGTTCAATAATCGTTCCTTAGAAGCAATGAAACTCTCAGCAGTACGTATTTCCTCCAACCCACGTTTAAAGTATTCTTTGGTAGCAAGAAAATGAAATTTCTTTGTTTTGTTTCCTTGACTGACACAAACAGATACATCATGATCATCATGTTTATATAGTTGCAGACTTTCTCTTACATAAAATAATAAAGTAATAATTACTTCATTTTACAAGAAAGCAACATTTTTATGACAGAACTCAAAACAAAATGCAGAAAGATTTTTTAAATTTATACTCTTTTTAGACCAAGAAAATATTTCATGTTCTTAGTGCTTTATTTCAAGCGCACTAAGTATTTAATCGTAAATTCTGAAAGATCAGTCCTTGATGTTTGACCAGTTAACACTCGTTGATATTTACTTGCCTTGGTATTTGAGGTCCTTAGAGACTTTTTGAATGTTGTGATAATATTGAATGACAAATTATTTTTAATTTTCTCTTGCCTGATATTGACTGCAAAGTATGTATACATGTTAATGAAACTAGTGTACATTAATGATCAGTATCATCTTTCCAAACTTTTTCAATGCCTCCTAGTGGCACGGAGGCATGAATCGTTGTTCAATTTCTTTCCAATGCATCATCTAACAAAACATTTCCACTTTCAGTCAGTCAAACTTGTACCCTACGTAGCCTATAACCTTTCCTGCTTCCCTCCAACGCAAACACAAATTATTCACATCTTATTTTCTTGAAAACCGTTATCTTTGAATGGCTCCGGCAAGACACAAGTCAGTCATCCGGTACAAAAACGGGATCTTATTTACTGTCTTGTTTCGATCAAATCAACTAGTCATTTCGCTTTATCCATATCCACTTGGTTTGAATAACACTGAGAAAACCTAAGAAAAGCTAAGAATGTTGACACAACTGAAAAGAAAGGAACGAGTATTTTATCTGTTATTTTCATTTTAATTCGATTGATGAAATTGAACAAACAGTTGCCGCCGCAAACAAGTTACAAAGAACCCTTCAACACTATCACATACTAAATAACCTAACCCGGCGGACGTCAATAATCTCCATTTAAAAGTAAACAGATACTGCTTTCAACTTTTATTAATCGTGAACGCCCGCACCACGAGACCGGATGGCTATTTTAAAACGGTTATAAGGCGTAAGTGAATAACAGTCCAGCTTACAAACACCTAGAACTCCGGGTACAGTTTCAATAAGATAACCTACAAGCGTTCACCTCTTCAGACGATACTGGAAGGTAGGCTTCATTTCAACATGTAAAATATGGGTAAATTGGCGTTCTACTTCAAGGAATATGTCTGTAGTTTCCTTCATTTCCTTTCCCATATTATCCTTTCTCCTCTGCTAAAACTTGATTGATTTCCAATCATATGTATGGTCTTTAATGTTTTAATGCCATTGAGAAAACGAAATTTGTCCAGAATAGATTTTAATTTTATCATTCCGTGAAATACAACAGCAACTTTCCTTAGAACACTCAACTAGGCAAGATTGACAGCGGGAGGTTTTCATAGACACGACTTCACCTTCAAGAATGCAACTGGGATTTTAAAAGAAACATAAACAGTACAACCTATGGCTTTTTACGGTCCCCCTCAGATATTTTGAGGTCACGAGTCATTAGTAATTGGAAAAACCGTGCGAACTATGTTCATGATGAGTTAATCACTCAGTCAAACTTTATTTTTCATGTTAAAATCCGATTAGTACCTCGTTTAGTACATATTTACTGAAAGGCGGTTAACGCACTGTTCATAAGTCGACCATCTGGTCACGGGAACTTGCTTTTCTCTTGAATGTCCCATTTCACTTACATAACATACTACATGACTTCTACAGCAAACTGTTTCGCAGAATTACCTCGCTATAGCGAAATCTTGGAGTGTTACGGGAAAATTTAGTGATTTTTCTACTTCCTACGTTGCTCTGCCGTAATTAATGTCGTTGTTTCTGGTTTCGAAGCCGTGAATTTTGAACCAAATTTTCTCTTCTTAATCTCCTTGTGTTTTTTGCATCCACTTTCTTAATTTTACCATTTTTCACTAAGAAACAGATGGAATATTGAAGAAGGAAGCGCTTAACTTCTGATACTATTCAAATAGCGTAAATGTAGAGAGTAACAGAACCACGCTCTCGATAGTACATAAGCAAAAACTTCGTAAAGATCTTTCGATTACACCCATTCCTGTGTTGTGGATTACAACGACCACTGAGTGGTGATTACATCGATGACCGTGTTGAGATTACACCATGTAGACATTGCATTATTGATTACTTTGATGTTCATGTCAGAGTTCGTCATGCATGAACTAGAATAGACTTCTGTTGGAACCAAGCTGAGCTTTTGATCCTTGACGTCTGAAGTAATACCATTGAAGCAGGTCGCCGCGTACAAGGAAGTCGTGACGAGTTTTCATACCCACAAGCCAGTGGTGCTTTTCCAAGCAATTTCTCCCCGTCACTACTGCGTTCCCCGCAAAAGAGTCTAGTAGTGCCATCAAAACCTATCGTCACACAAGTCACTGAACACACTAGGCATGGCCAAGTTCAATTTTCTCTGCCTTTGCATTCCTTCGATTGAATATGAAGATGACATAGCTTAAATTTTATAAATAAACATTGATACGTTTCAAATTTTTGCTATCGTTTTAATTTCTAGATGACTGTGACTTCTGCTTATATTGGAGTTCTTGTTCTCGCCTATTGCACTTTTCAGCCCGTGAGTAGTGCATGCAGTGATTGTCCTTGCTGCCTCACAACTTATAAGCAATGTATGGACATTTGCGAAGACCCAAATCAATGTACCACCGTCTGCGTTACAAACAAGGAAAAATGCGAAGAACAATACTGCAATTTAACAAAGCGGAATCCGGAAGGTTGGAGACTAAAGGCAAATGGTGATTCTGTGTCGATTCCAGACCTAGACAGCGATATTCCGCGGGGTGATAAAGAGAAGCAACCATTAAAATATTGGCTGGATATTATTCTAGCAAAACGTGAAAAGTCCATGAAGTATTAACGCCAAAAAATTCATAGCTTGTATTTTTTCATCGTTAGCTTTCTCAGAAATTTGTGTAACGAAGAGATGTAACAAGATGGTAGAGATGCTTATTATTGTGCTAAGAACCTCCATTACTGGTAAAAATAAAGGTGTATTTTGCCCATGAATCTGATCTTTAAACTCGTCGTCGACAAAACACGTCGTTTATGATGTAGACGTTTCCAATGTAACGTGTAGAGAGCTTCTGTAGCGGAGGAGTATTTTTGTTCGTTGAGGATGTTTATCGCACTTTGTTTTTTAAGGATCGTACATTAAATTGGCATTGATTGTTTCTCTCGAATAATGCCACCACGGTCAAAGAGTGGAAGAATCAGGGAATGGTAGAGTGTCTAGCTACCATGCAAAGCAAAAGAGCTCTGATTCTCTTAATGAGTCCATGTCACATGTTTCTCGTGCTCGTAATCCCACTAAGTGTGGCACCCAAACATTCATTTGTTTAGAGGAGCAGGCTCCCTCATGAGTGATTCCGTGTCAAAATACCGTGTCAAATGCCTATACAGTATGTCAAAAATTCCTACAGCAGAAGAAACTTTTGGTTTCCTGTCGTTATAAAGGGGAAAGTTATTCTTATTTTGTCCATCACATGAGAGTGTACACCCAAAACTAATTGCAGTACTCCCAAACTTAATTCATGCACGATTTTACCGCTGTAGACTTGCCCCGCTCAAAATACTAAAACGTCGTTTCAGATCTTAAAAATGCTTTACCTTTGATATATCTCAGTATCATTCGATAGGTTTCTCGTTTGAAGAAAATCTATTATTGTTGGATTTATATAAAATCATTTGCATTGATTTCAAATCTGCCAAAGGCCTCCAAACCCCTTGGTTGATAAGAAAATTTAGTATTTTTTCCTTAAAAAACCGCTGTCTACAACATCAAGGCATGTAGACCGTTTTCAAGTCTGACACGACGCTTAGGTCTCACTTCGTGCAACTTAAAGACGCCCTATAACCAACAAAACAAAACGGTGTCGTTTACAGGATCCCATGTGAATGCGGTAAAGTGTATGTCGGTGAAACAAGGAGAGTCAATGCGAGAAAGGATAAAAAGAACATGACAGAGACATACGGTTTGGTCGTACTCAGACCTCTGCGGTTTCGGAGTACGCTAACGTAACGGGGCATATTCCTATTTGGAACAAGGTTAAGTTTATTGATCGTGACCCTTACTGGTACACATGTAGGGTCAAAGAGGCTGTCCATTTAAGACCTCATCCCAACTACATCAATAGGGATAGTGGAATCTAAATTCCCGATCATTGCAGACCTATGAGGGAACACCATCTAACAACTATATTTTATTTAGAAACTTTCCCCCACTATTCGTTGTTTAGTCCTTTTAGTTTGAAGCAAAAAATTAACATAAAACCCGTACCAACAGAAAGAAAGTTTTGCATCATATACATGTACCACCAATCATGAAAGTTACTGTACACATGGAAATTCTTGGCTAACAAAGACGGCGGTAAAAACCACTCTTGTCTTCACCCGATGTTATTTTACTTTTTATAGCACATGAATTGCTTTTCAGGAATGTTTTGGTCTCAGTTATTATTTTAAAATCTTTATTAAACTCATTCACCAACGCCTTAATTACATCTGTTTCACATTGTTACCTTTCAAAGAAGTCATCCGTCGGTTACCACAAATTAAACCAGATTACTCTTGTTATCACAAAAAAGAGAACAAATTAAAAAGATAACCCAAGACAACAACTTTCCTGGGACATGCCGTTGATTTAATTTTGTTAACGTTTTGCTACTCCATAGGTCTAAAAGAAGACATCCAATATTGGAACAAAGTAACAAATAAAATATTTTTATTTCAGCCTTACAAGTAAAAAAAAAGGGTCAAAAAGCAAACGTTTTCCTTTGCAAAACTAAGCAAAACATTAAATGTCGCCTGTTAAGTTTTGTTTTCAGTGACTTTTATTTTTGAACACTTTTTGACTTATTGAAATGATTCCATGAGCATCTTTACGTATCATAAATTCCTGATACTATCGTAATTTGTTTTAGAAGTACGATTCTTCTCTATTCACATGTACAGGCATATACGGTTTACCCGTGTACACATGTTGCAGGTTTCACCATTTTGGTCAGTCTTGACTTAACTGACGTAACTTTGTGGCTACTCAGAAGGCGTTTCGATTCCTAGTTGAGATAACATTAATAATCCTTAAAGCACAGTCGCCAAATCAGTATCGGTAGAATTTCTCTCAAGATCATTATTTCCGTTTAAGGATTAACCGTTAGTTTACACATTGAAATGACAAAAATTGCACAAGCCTCAAATGGACGTCTGGGAAACTTGGCTGATGCCACACAGAAGAATGCTTATGACTGTTTGGAGAAAACATTCGTATAATTAATCATATCATTCGCTAATTTCAACAATTAAATGCTTTATTTCGCTTGTTTTGCCTTATACAGTTAAAGTGAAAACAGGTGTTAGTTGTACCCACGCTTCAGCCTGTGTTCGTTTAAAAAATACATATGTTTCGAGCCAAATTAAAAGTTAAAAAAAGGCTTATTTCAATTAAGAATACCACCTTTTGATCTGAGCAAGGTGGAAGAAACCACACCAATATATATGTAGCTTTAAGCTACAGATGTTAGCAACTTAGGTTAAAATAGTTCGTTCAGATTTGAAAATTCAGACGCGAAGCAGTAGCAGAAAGACAATAAAGGTTAATTCACAGCACTGAAAATGTCCCAATCATTGTTATGGTAATGTTGAATGTTTTTCTGTTTACTTCAGTAACTGCTATTCGAGGAAATGGAGAAGGACAAGGCAACTTTTCTAATGATGGTGAAAAACGTATTTTGGTTTTTGTTTTGTTTTTTGTTCCTTGTCGGATTGTTTTTGCGTGCTAAGTTGTATTTATTTAAGAACTTAGAATTTATTTGTCCGTTTACGAGTGATAAGATTTGACTTGATCTAATACACACGATTTCGAGTTTTTTGTTCTGTTTGTGGGATTTCTCTTTGTTTCTATTTTCAACTGTAAGGATTGAAACGAAATCAACAGTTCTACTGCACCTTTTAAATAAACACAAAGTAACTTTATTTCTTTTGCGCCTGCTTTTACAATTTATGCCTATCGTTTTAATACCTTGTGGTTCGTGTATTTGACAAAAGTCCTGCTTTCCCTTTTACCTTCAGAAGTACAATTAGAAGAAACATTAGATGACTCAGGTAAGAACAATTAAAATTAATGAAATCTAATTTACCGTATCTTGATTCTGACAATATCGAGAACATACAAGCAAAATCATAGCTGTTGTAAAATAGACCCTATTCGAGGCACATACAATGTCCTTTTTTCAATGGTAATGATAGCAAATTAAGTCGTGGCCATGACCAATTTTAAGTGAAAATTATCACGTGATTTCTAGTGGTACGACGAGACGAACAACCATAAGAAAATGACTGCATAAACACGAGTACATTTTACGAAGCGCATGTTGCTTGACGCATTCAACGTGTTTGCAATCGAGTGAGTCGATACAGAGTAAATTTGAAAACATTTGAAAATATTACGAGTGCCTTTTTGCTTATTATGTCCCAGATAAAATCAATTTTGTCACCGGCCAGGAGCCACCTATTTTGTACCCTCTGTGTGAAAAATCTCGAAACACCTTATAATGGTTTGGAAAATGATCGCATTTTTTCTTGGAATTGAGCATTTTGGAAAGACGATTGTATCATATGAACAGGCCAGGAGATTTTATAATATGTTGACTAAGACTTATAGTTATTTAAAATACTCTAGAAATAAAGATGTTGAATATATGTCTTAATGCTTGAATTTCGAGAAAGAACGTAAAGAGCTAAGAACAAAACATTTTGTCAAGTATCTAAAAAAAGTCAATTTTACAACGAGTTATTTACTCATTCAAATAACATGACGCCTCATCGAGTTTCTTATGTAATTCCGTAGAATGTAGAGATCTCAGACCAAGGTATTGCAGAGCAATGTGGAAAAATGCTTCCACATCATCCATGTTCGGACACTAAGGAGAGAACGCAAGAAAACTTGCATGTATTGCTGATCCGGATTCCGTGGTAGGTATGTTTAGATAACTTTGGGGTCTATTGATAAGAATTTTGCCCACTTTCTTGGCTTTTTCTCTGGAATTAGTTTAAAGGCTCTTTCTTCATTTACTCTATCTGACTTACCAACCTCGCATGGCAGTTCCATCTGTTTTGCACTATAACAAAGTGATATAACTGTGCATTACTCAGGGTTAGGATTGAGTGGGGCAGCGATCATATTAGGAGTAATTTGATATACTGTGTCGAATGCAAATACCAAAGCTCTTTTTTGTAACTCCTCCATGGAAGTCATGTAAAGGAAAAGGTCGAAGCAAGAATAGCCATATCACATCGGATTGACCGTGATTCCTGTGTAGAGAACGGGGTCTCAACTACACGTGTACAAAACTATGATTATGGGATGTTTTGCTACTTTTGTTCAACCTGTTGTGTTAACTATATTCAAATTTCATGAAGAGAGGATACTGTACCAAACAGAATTATGCATTCTTATAATTAGCAGAAGATAACCTTTCTGCTTTTACATAGCCTTTCATAAACATGAGGTTTCAAGTCAAAATAAATTGTGGATTTAGGAAGACCTGACTTTAAGACTAAATTAGAATAATTAAGCGCCATGTCAACGCCTATGTTTAAGGCATCATAAAATGCCATACATGCATGAATTACAACAGTTTTTAGGGAACTTCGGCAAACGAAAGTGAAAGACAATTTTAGTAAACAAAAGTGAAAGACAACTTAAATTAACAAAAGTGAAGAAAACCGTATTGAATGGAAGTGAAATCATACATTGTTTTGAAAATGGACGAGTAAGTTGTTACCGTACTTTTTCATAGCATTCTTTCATACAAAAATATTTTCTTCTAAAAAGGCCACAAAAATTACAGTGGCTCACGAATTTTGACAATTTTAATCTTTTTTTTTTCTCTAGAGAGTGACTGTCCTCTTTATGGAGAATATTCAGCATAACCAGACGGAAACTTACTGAGAAGCTTACATACAGTAAATGATGCCATATTTGATACTTGCATGTACTCTGAGAAATTCATTAAACACACCTTAACGCTTCTGCGCGTCCATTTTGTCTTTTTGATAGCCCTGCCCTGACTCAACTTCCATTTTGATTATTTTGTTCCAGAAATGATTGTAAATATATGAAAATCGTATAAGGGAACTAATGGACACTAATTAAGCAGAAGTGAAAACTACATTAATTTATTAGAGTGTAATATATCACTTTCCTGAGTGCAACACAGAATGCAAGGTTTTCTCTGCTTTCAGTAAAATTATGAATGGAAGACATTTTCTAAAGACAAATTCCAACAGCTCATCCCAAATTTCGATTTTCTTGATTCAAAAGATGCATGATTATATAAAATATGTAAATTGTCTTTTTTTGTTTGTTCGTTTATTTTTTTTTTGGTTGGTCTCTATGCTTTTATTATTCCTCTAAAGACTAACGATATGGTCAAAATGTTGTAAATCGTCAACGAAACTCGTGCCCATCGGTTCGTATGCCAACTTTTTTGGTTCAGGCTCCCCAGGAAGTGCTCGAAACTTTCATCGGATATACAAACTTATCCATCACTTGTCTATCAGTGGATATAAAAAGATGGTGAATTTTAAAAAACGTTCGTTGGATAAAAGTTCTTTCTCCGTTAACTTTCTCACAGGATGTTTTCCACAGTCAGGCTGATCCTAGCAGTGCGCAGGACAAAAACCACACAATTAACTTCGTACACGGCCTTGCTTACCCAAACCTTCTCTGTAGCTTAGGCGTGATATAGCATCAGACAATGACTTTCGATGCTCTGAGGTTCGCGTTCGTGTTGAGGAAGAACTATTGTCATTTTCTCCTCGATCATCACAAATTGATAAATATCTTTCTTTAACTGTCTGTATAGATTTTCTGTGTACGTTTGGCTTTTCACGTAGCTAGTTTTAAGGTCCTAATCCATTTAACTACCCCCTTTCTTTCCGCACCATCCCAACAACAAAAAAAAGCACATTTATTCGATGACATTACGATTATATGGTATGAGAAATACGGCGCTTTTCCCTAAAAAAGAAATTGCTTGTTGTAGTTTTGTTTGTTTTTTTGTATTGATATTTTGTTTGTTTGTTACTTTCTTTCTTTGTATGAATGTTTGTTCTGACATATTTTTTTAATCAGTACGTTCCATCTTCGTTCGTTCGTTTACTTGTTTATTTTATTACCTGTCTGTTTCTAATGGAAACGATTTAAATAACTTTAATCCGTTTGTCTTTGATCAGCAAATTATTGAACTACCTATCTGCGTGTACTCAAAACTGATCGTTCGTACTTCTGCTCTTCTACTCTCCGCCATCAATCGACGATCTACCGAAATGAAATCTATTAAGAAATAATATAGAGTGTCCATATTCTAAGCCTGATTACGAAAAGGCAAAGGAAGAAGATAACTCCGTCATGAAATGAAGTGTTCAGATTATTAGAAAGTCTTATAATGTGCGATAGCGGTTGCACGACGCGGGTGGGATTAAAACGCTTTCACCTTTGACAAATTGAACTAGCTCATTTTCATTTTCCTTCAAAAACAATTCAGTCACAATACATTGCACAAGGGAATGTCAATTAAAAGCAGTAGATTAAAGGCTCAGACATTAATCTACGTAACTTTGTGCTTTCCGCATTGGTGATTTAAATACCTCTGCAGAGTTTAAATTGGATTTTTACCACTACGCGCAAACCAAAACCACAGCAAATCTGTTTTTCTACCTTTTCGTCATTTCTATTTCAATTAACAATCAAAATCCAGAATTTTCGCTCTTAAGTTCAATCAATACATTTTGGAGGTGTCTTATCTAAGCCGGTGTATTAATTAAGAGCTGTTCTAGCACAAAGCTGCAGCGAATAAGCGAAATCTTATTACTTTCTAAATCTTCAGGAGTTCAGAACACGGTCATCAACCCTAAATAAATCCAAATTAGTGAAGGACTTTCGAGCTTCACAGCGGCGTTGTTTCAATTGCGTCTTGTTTACGTGTTCTTGTCGTGGTTAATTAAATCCTTGTGCGAATCAAAGATTGTGGCATTAGAGACAAATGTCCATGTTTAACTTGCAAAGTACTTTCCGTTTTATTTAATACATCTTATCGGTGACGCACAAAGATTCTGTGATTTCATTTATTGACAACGTTGTCCGATTTCATGTAATCGTTTCATAAAATGACTGTCTGATTAAAAGAATAATAAACTTGTTTGGGCCTGTTCCATAGGTTTTTTTTGTTGGCCGAATGGAAAAATGTTATTGATCTCAGAGTCAGTGACATAGAGCCATCTTCCCACGCAGTCATGCCTGTATTCACACGCATCTTCTCAGAGACTGTTTGGAAATAACATAATGCTGAGGAATTAAAGATATTTTAAACAGTTGGGAAATTACCTCATATGCAAACAAAAGTTGAGCAAGATTTCATTGCTTTAAAGAGTTGGCACATTCTCGAAGTTCTTGGTCCAGAATATTTCAAATTCTGCTAATGACCAATAGTTTGACCTATTTTGAAGTGGCTCGCTATTTAGCAGCCACAGTCTTCATATCGTTAGCAGTAAAATATTGATCACGCAAATTAGTTAAGAGTTATTATGAATGCACATTGAAGTGCCATATTGTTATTGTAAAATTTCTCCTAATCTCGACACTTGACGATGTTGTATTCGGCAGCATAAATTCTTCGTAAGAGCTGGAGAGTGATAAGAACGGTTGTCAGCGATAGAAGAGTGTTCTTGTTGACTGTCATCTTGTTTATCAGCGTTTGCCGGCTTTGTGTCGATTGTGCTCTGTCACGACAAGCGTTATGACCAATTGTTATGGAAATTTGCGGCGAAATTTATCACAACTATGGAACTGTCTTTGTTCAACACGTTCTTTAGGTATTTCCTAAAAGCCTATTAACTGTTTGCTTATTTTCAAAATAAAAGACATGTTTAGGCAGGTCCGATTAGGCCATACTTATTTTCGCCCACTTTGAATTCCTAAGTATATATGCAACACGATCTTCACCCTAAATTGACTGCAAGGACGATGAACTCATGGAGAGTTCACGCAATGTACATGGCCATAATAAGTGCGTCCCTCAGAGCAAGTCTACAACCTGCCTGTAGCAAGTTGCACTTAACACTAATGGCGGTACTTAGCTTTCTAATCGATGACTAATAAGCAAAACGTCGATGTTGTTAGAGCCGGAGCAGACATACTTCGACAGAGTCTGAATTTCTAGACTGGTCGGTTCAAGTCTGGTGGAGTGTTTTGACATGATAACAGGTAAACTTTTTAATTTCCAGTAAGTTTTATATTAATGTAACTTTGGTCCATAATTATCGTATGGAGTACAGAAGGAAAACCAGCTGGTTGATATCTTCATTGTAACCTGTCTTCAAAGAGATTTAAGCGGTCGCTTACCGAAAACTAACGGAAATTATCCCAACATATCGTGTAAATGTCTTCGCTCGGTGTCTGCACATTTAATTGGTGATAACCAAATTATGGCGCTACTTGATACTGAATTTATAGTAATGGATAATCTCCAATCCTCAGTTAAGCACCATGTACTGAGCAAAGGAAACCGCACAAAATCCGATTCAATGGGTTTTGCTTCTCAAGGCCGTGGTTTAAAGGAAAATATTGGATACACGTGTTGTAATTCATGTTGGTTTTATAAAATACTGCAAGGATCTGTACAAGTCCTTCAGTACAATCAAGAGACTGTGACACTGGTGGTATAATAGTCTGCAGTTGCAAATTTTACTGTTACTAAGTACTACGTGCTCAGTGAATGACAATTTTTTCTTTGACTGGCCCGAATTCAAATAGTACTTGCATTAATTTCCGACCAAGTATGTTTATCACTTGGGAACCGCATTCTTAATAGACTTATAAGAGTTGATCTATATAATGCAGAAGCGCCTTTGTTTCACGAACAATCATGCCCACTTCCAGGGCAAAAAACCTTCAAACGCGCGATCAATAATGGTTTAATCACTACCAGGTTAAACAAAGGTGATCCGTGAGGCATGGCCATATGAATGACAACAAGAACAGTAATGGGTAACCTTGACATAGAACTCCACGTTTCTCAGACATTAACACACCTGTGACGATTAGCTAACCACGTGGTTTTGCAGATGTGTGAATACTGTTTGTTTTCCAGACACGTGGGTTTTTGTGGACCAGCGGATTAATTTCAGGCTTCAGAAGGTTTCTGCTGCGTCTTAATGCTTTTGAATATATATGTCTGCGAGGATTCAATTTATTCTGCTATTAGATGCACCACTAAAAATAGCTGGTTAGTATAGTATGCAATATTGCGATATCTATGTTTTTAATCTGTCTTCTATAACCTTTTTCAGTTAAGCTCTCTTGTTATGGATTGATAATTAACTTTCGATTTCACGAAAAAGCAAAACGTAAGTTTGAAACCATTTATTCTGTGCTGAACACAGTCTCCCATTTAGCTGTCTAGTACATGCATTCGCCGATAGTCGATTCCTTCGAGAAAAATGAAGCAAAACTGTCTCAATATAGTGAGATGTTTTCGATGTTTTAGACATTGTATTGGGTTCCGAACCTTGCTAAAAATGACTGTTGTTGGCTGAAGCACAGGTGCTAAATTGTTATGAGAATCTTTGGTTAGTTGTTTTACTCATCTTTCTATTGGGAATTTTCGTTTTCAAATTGAATTCAAGGAATCTCTCTCTTTGTGGCCAATACGAATTGAGAGAGCACTGATTTCACTCTTCGAATACATGAGAGCCATAATCCTTTGTCAGGTCTAACATCATCCGTAACGCAAGTCTTTCTCTGATCTGAAATATAATGAAAATATGCATGCTTCCGGAAGGGAGGTTTTGAGCTTCTTATCTATGAAATAACACGATATTAGCTAATAAAATTATCTGTTCAGGGTCAAAAATTTCAGGTAGCTTTGAAAAGAAAATGAAGTGAAAGCGACATGTAAGGAAGTTCTACACCGCACACAAAGAGAGGCAACCAACTTATACATGCAAATGAAGCTTTTCATCGACGCACTTATTTTATTAAGAAAAGTGAAAGTATGGCTTAAGGGCATTTATCCCTGTTTTTCCCACGCAATATTTATGCGCAGAAAGTTTCACAGTGTTTCCAACATTTGTCGCGTCACTTATTAATTTCCTTGTTCATATGTTATAATTAATGTCATCCCTAACTAATTTATCACAGGTTATGGTGGAAAGAGTAATACATTTCTTGAACAGAAACTCGTTTATTTATACTAAAAGAGTTATTCACACTTTTTCCAAGTTGTAATGTAGGTGCACATGTTTCGTTGTCCAGTGATAGGTATTTTATTGCTGCATCAAAAATTTGTCAAAAAAGAAACTGATCAAGACACATTTTGAGTTTTTCCTTGGGCTTGAAAAGGCAGTTTCCATTAGTTCCGAAACGGCCAGCACCTTTAATCAAGTTGGATCTTTTGTTTACAAAATAATCGTCGATTTTCCCTTCGGAGGTAGGTTTTCAAACATTGTCTTTGTTTACGGTTCGTTCAGTACCAGCTGCTGTGTCAAGTTTCTTCAGGTGTGGAGCATAAACAAGAATCCTCGACTGACCTTCTCTTTCGGAGTTTTTCGGCACCCTAACGATTTTTTAGAACCTTACTGACAGCTGATACAAAAAGCTGTTTTTAGATTCACTAAATCATTGAAAGCCAGTCAGACACTCATGAGTTCTGCTAATGTTAGTGCGGTTATATGTGTGCACCTAACAGCTCTCAGCACGAAACATGTTCACTTAACCATGTTTTGCCAATATAACAACATGAGATGACAATAAGAAGTTAACCACAAAAAATTATGTTCTCTTCATAAAGCGTTGTTATGACGCATAGTTTTCACCGTGAACATGACTTTTTAATTCGTGTCGCATCTAAATTGTTTAAACAGCATGAGGCATTTTTTTGGCCAAATTGCCCGCTTAAGTAGTCAATTGACCGTACTCAAAAGCCAACAGAATGATCAGCAAAATCTGCATTTGACGACTCTCGGGAATATTTAAGAGTGTTAAGGAATACAGTTGACGTTCAAGGAACCGCAACTGGTTTAATACGACAACAGATCTTGAGCCATTGTTCTTCAGGTTAGATTTCTAAAAAGAAAGGCAATTTTTATATTCACAACAGATAAATGTTCACAAAATGAATCGTTACTGCTCCTTTCTCTACGACATGAAGGTTGAGGCCTGTAGGGGTCCTGTAGATATAAGAAAAAATCTTCACTGACACAAGTTTTAAAATAGCTGTGATCTTTTAAACTGTTTCACTCCCCAATAATTAACCCATTGGCCCTGTTCATTTTCCTCAGCCCACTCATGCTCGCACAGTTCAAATATTGTTGTTGTCAATCTAGTTTCCTGATTTTAAAAATTCCACCATAAGGACCACAGCCACGATATTTCCAAAGATACAACTCAGAATTGTCAAATGAATATTCGAAGCTAAGTAGGATCGAGGTGAAAACCGATATATGCATCTTGCAGCCGATTACTATCAGTATTTCTGACCGCAGTTATTTTCATTTAATATTTTGTAAGGTGAACATGAAGCCCTTAAAAGATCAATAGATAGCCGTGTGGTGTTCTCACTTTTTTTAACCCAGAATTTTCAGTGCTCTTGCGAATCAAATATTTCTTCACACTGTCTACAAAGCTGGATTGGTACTCTTGAAGACAGATTAAAACGGGCCTATTTTCGCTCTCGAATAGCCGATGTATGAGTTTCTTCCGAGCCTGTTAAGATCAGATGATCCACTACTATTCCTTATTATAGAGTTCCAGAGTCCAGACGTCATGTGACAGTATCTCAAAGTCCACGCATATGTCGAGCGGCGACTTTAGGTAAGACTCACTCAAGTCACCGCATGCTTACTATAGCCAGTCGTAATAGCGTGCACACATGGACTGATAACGGTTATTTTGAGCTAGGTCCTGATATCTATGACTATTTTAACACTTAACAGTTTCCGGGAAAAAGGGTAAACTTGCACTTTTTGTGATCGCAGTTATCTCCTCGAACACTCTTGAAAGGCATTGAAAACGTCGTCCGGTCGATAAAGAAAATACGTAATACATTATTATGTCCAAGAACACAAGGAGTTACCGACATGTGAGGAAATTCTCGTTCTTTCTAAGACATCATATCAAGGTAAATGTGTCCTGTTTGGTTTTCAGTTGTAAAAATATTTGACAACAAGGCATTTAAAATCGTCTCATAACACAAATTCTTCCCCTGTTAGTCATCAAAAAATCCATATCACGCCCTCTGGGAAAGGTTACATTTCCAAGCGCCACTCAATGCAGTGACAGAAACTGGATTTAAAAAATTGTGATAAGGTGGTTCTAAGCTAAATTCGGCACTATAGGCAATTACTGCTGTAGCAGAGACAAAAACATTTTTCATTTTATCACTTTTTACACTGAACGATAGACTTTAGAATAAGCCTCTTGTCGTGATTAACGAGACTTGCTTACGTCAGCTATAATAAACAGGAAATTGTCCGACTTAAGGCCAAGGTTTTCATCATACATGTAATTCCATAAGCCTAAAATACATCAATATTCTCGAGTTCTTTGAAAAGCATTGTTCATAACAAACATTCATGTGGTAGTAATTCTAGTTTCGTACATGTTGTGCCTTAAAATGAATAGTGTGAATTAACTCAGTTAATTTCTCACTTCCTCGTATTTAGAACGTGGTCCACCAGGGCAGCACATCAAACTACCTAATTTGTTTTCTCCTTCATTTGATCACTGACTTCCAGGAAAAAGTCTAGGAATTCCTCTTTTTTGGAGGAGGTTAAGGCTCAGACAGTTTCAAGTACGAAAAATAGGGAAAAGTCTCTTTAAATTAAGAAACTGTCAGCTTGAGGCGTTTTTTACGATATTCGAATAAGCTCTGTTGGTAATCGTGTACAAAACCACAACATGTTGCTTGATAATTGGCCACCTTTGTCTTAATTCTGTGTCTCGCCATCAAAAACAATGTTTAACATTGTGTTTTTCCGGACGGTTTCCGACAACGCCATTTCCTCTCATTCTTTTGCCGATAGTCATACAGATTATTTACGAATCCCAGAAATTTTACACAAAATCGAACTTGACCCGACCTTCATCGTCAGTCTCCGGTACACGCCAACGACTGAACAACACAAACGTTCCTGCATAAGTTTTACTTGATCTGGCATCAACAGTAGGTTTTAATCTTGATGTTTTTTAAATTAATTAACTCTATCTGTAAGCAAATTATATACGACAGTTTAAAAGCAAGCGCTGATTCCCTTAAAACGCCTCAGGGCTTTAACGATTTGAGGTTTCTGTCTGTGTGTGTCAATTGATCAAATTGGACTCTCACTTATTCTTGTGAAGGTCATTTCCCATGATGAATATAAAAGCAAAAGGAAAACAAGTAAAATAACAGACGACACTTCATCCTTTACGTCCGTGATCACTCATACTTTTCGTCGTATTTTGTTTAAGCTTAACACTACTATGCTGATATTTTAAGCCGATTTATCTTCATTTTTTCACCGCGGACTATACATTCCTGTGGTTTATTCTATCTTGAATTGAAGGTTCTGTCTGATCAATTGTTGATTTGCACATTTTAACATGGATTCTTGAGTTTACAACAATAGAGCTCACGCATTTGTTATTTGTTGTAAAAATTTCTGTTCAGTTGCATGTGGCGAGGCTCAGCCGGCTTGGAATTAATGCATGGGGAATAACACTCCACACTCCATAGTTTTCATTCTCAGCAGGTCAGCTAACGACTTGCTTTCCATTAAACATTTTTTTTTATTTTTTTTACTTTAATTACAGCTATATTACTTACATCACGGATACAGAAAATAACTTACAGTACAATTACATCTATAGCTACATTACTTACGTTTTTTGTTTTTTACAAATACGTAAGTTACAGTGCAATACAATATTTAAAACAATACTGGTTGAAGAACATTTATATATTTCACCTTTAGTGGTATAGCTTCTATGTCAAGCAACCAACTTTTATGCTGAGCACTTGAAAATGTCTTTGGTCCGGGTTCCGGCTCCAGAAAATGATCGTTGTCATCATCAGTAAATGAAAGAAATTTTTCGTCATCATTACAGCCTGTTAAATTAGTTTATGATATCATCACATGGTACAAAAAGGCAACACTGAGCCGATAAAACATAGTTAACTTAGAACACTTCTCTGAACATTTCGAGAAGCAGCTATTATGTAAAGAATTATTTTCTAAACAAGTTTTCTACCAGCGAGTTGATCATTGTGTCTCTTGCATCTTGCTTAAAAGATGGATTATTGTACTGGAGCATCACAGACCACCTAATTATAACAAGACTTGCCCAAAGAATAGCCTTCACACAAATGAAACCCAGTTCGTGCACGTACTTATTGAGAAATTTTTTTCCTTTTCATACACAGTCAGTTTGACACAAATGGGGCGCAAAATGAACAAATATTGCACGATCCGGTATCTTCTTTTGCTGGCATCTCTCACTGGGTTCATGAATCTTGTTTACCTAACGTTCCTGGCCGACCTGAGGGGTACTCTCGAGCTTTACACAATGCAACGTTCTTCGTCAAGTGTCCTTCGAAGACAGATAGCAAGCATTCAAATAGACGCGGATATCAAAGCCGCCACGGGACCAAGTTTAAGTTACCTGGAACTGCTGAATTTGGATTTGAAAGACCTGGTTCAAAGATACTTGGCATCTTCACAAACTATTGCTAAACAGTATGAACTCAACAACCTGCAAGAGGAACCGCAGGAAGAGCAAGTACTTGTAAATCACTTTTATCTGCCTCGTTGCCTTCCGGTTCCCTTTCTCTTAATCATGGTTCACTCAAATCCTGTTAACTTCATGGATAGAGAATCCATACGGTTATCGTGGGGTCGAGGAGATAATCCAGTAAATCAGGGCAGTTGGACAAGTCCTGAGAGGTATTTACTGTATTTGCTTTGTTTTTGTTCAGGAATTCAGTTACTCCGAACTATTTCACTACTGCCACACGTATTCTGTGGGCTCGTAATTTGTGGGCACGGAACTATAACTGGCATGAGGTGGGTGGAAAAAAGTTATTTATGGGGGAGAGAAAAACAGGGTTTCCTCCATCTCTGGGACATTCTTTAGGAAAAAGTGATCGGGCAATGAATTTTCTATCTTCCCTCTAATACTCAAGACTCAAAGGGGTCTTGCCTATTCGGGAATTGAGAATGAATACGTTATAAAAAACAACAACTTTGCTTCAATTTTTTGCTTTGCAATTGTGGCTATCGTGATCTAGAGGAATGTCGCCCTTTGTAACAAGATTTTCAGAAAATGTGAGCATGATTTAATTATAATGTACAGGAAGCAACGCTTTTTTTTCTACGCTCCTTTTTCCGTTTATGTTCTCCTTGAGAAGTGTAAATCAATAATTGCGCAACCGCAACTGAGAGTGCTCATGCACGTGAAGGCTCGTTAATGTCAGTTACCACTATGTGTTTGGGAGATGTCTCCCCTAAATAAATGGTAATGAGACTTTCCGTGACTCGTGGCCTGTCTCGCAACCAAGAACCTTCATCCCATAAAAATATCTGTGGCAGCCAGTATCATTTCATGAGTCCACAATTTCAACAAGCAAATTTCAGATCTGACAAAACCTAGAATGTGCCTAGTCATAAGACTACAATGATGAATGAAAGCCATGAATACGTCAGCATGTGAGCACAGCTACGTCGTAGAATCTCATCAAATGGCTAATTTATGGAATGTGTGTACGAAAGGTTTTTGCTAAATGTCAGCGTGTGTCTTTCGGAATTCGGATATTCATCCTGCGTAAGCAGGTGTGTGCCTTGTTGCTATGCCCTGCATATGTTACCCATATGTTCATATACGACCCGATTTACATTTCTTTGGTGGCAACGGTTTCGAGAAGAGTTCCACAAAAATTTTTAGGGAAAACTTTGTCATTTTAAAGAATTCTTGCTGTCTAATTTTTGATCTCTCGACTTCTTGTTCCCTCACGGTAATTGGATTTCACAATACTAAAAAACATCATGTCCCATAACTTGAGTTAAGATAAGATGAGTAAGCAAACTCGACGCCTCAAAAAAACAAAACAAAACAAAAGAAGAAATCCTTCTTAATTGTGTTGACCTGAGCTACTTGTTCGGTTAACGAAACAACAATTTTTTGCGATTTGTTTGTTTACACGTAACAACTTTTTGTTGTCGTTAAGTTGATAATGGTAATAGGACCGATTGGAGTCCAATTCGGTCTGTAATCATACGAGTGATTAACAAAATCGCAAGACCGCGAATTTGTCAATCGCTGGTATGATTACAGAAAGAAACATGTGGTGCTGCGTCGGCGTGGTGTATTACAAGATAATTTGGTTTAATCAACTGAGTTCATATTGTACATTGGCCACCGTAATGAGTTTCTAAATCTAGCGTTTCGAGTGTCAGGCCTTCGTCTGAGCGTATAGAGGAGTTGTGGATTATGAGTGTTAAACCGGTTGATAAAACCAAACAATGTGATAAAATATTAATCCAGGTTCAAGCCGTTTATTGTACGTTTACAAATCTCTAAAGAAGTTTGACACTCTATGGAATGAGAACCTTTCGTTTAAGGAAGACTCTTTTTCTCCTTCATTTAGATCTTGGAAGACAGTTTTCCTCGTTGGGAAAACGAATAGTTCCAAGCTAAACAATCTGCTGAGGCAAGAAGCTCAGGTTTACAAAGACATTGTCATCGGAGATTTCCTCGATACATACCGTAACTTGTCCTTGAAGACTTTATTAGGTCTTCAGTGGACCTCACACCATTGCAAACCTAAGTATATTCTCAAGACAGACGATGACTGTTACGTGAATGTCCTATCGCTTGTTCAGTGGCTACAAGAATATCACGTGACCAATGGATCAAGGCCGCTATACGCAGGTAATATTCAGAGGGACATGGAGGTTGTGAGAGATAAAACTAATCGTTACTATGTGTCCGTAATGGACATTAATAGACATAAGTATCCGCCTTATGCCTCGGGTGGAGGTTATGTGTTCAGTGCAAGTCTCTTGCCCAGACTTCTCGCTGCGTCTCAGGAGGTTCCTATCATACCAGTTGAAGACGCTTGCTTTGGACTGTATATGCAGCACATTGGTATCAAACCACTTCATAATAGCAAAATTTTACCGTATGTCTTCTGTGATGGCGCGAAGACTAGTTTGAATGAAAGACCAATATGTCATTTACGCGATCCGCTTGTGTTACACGGCATCAGGGACATTCTTCAAATACAGACACATTATAACGTCTTGTTAATGACGTTTCTTCCAACAATCTGCTCGTACGTAGATAATCAGTCATTTAGCAAAAACTTTCAACAATCGTGTTAACTTGTGTATAATGTACAAACTATGAGGAATTAAATTATTGTCATCTACGTTTCAAGCCAACATTTGCATTAAAGTTCTAATAAAAAACTTCTTATCAACCATGAAAGACTTCATAACATCTGCGAAACACGAGCAAATGCCACATACACGCCCTGAGTATAAAGAGTTTTAAGAATGATCTTCAGAGGGAGTAATGATGAGGAGTAATGTTACGATGAATAAGTATTTTATTTTCTAGATCTCTCACGATTCCGATTTTAAGTCTAGCCATTTATTTGTTCATTTCTTTTTCTGCTTTTTCAATCGTTTGAAACCGAAAAAATACTTTACATTGATGGTGCATCACAATTAACAACTAGATCACTGAAATACTTAGCTTGCTCATCAATAGCATTTCGTTCGCTCTTTCCCTCGATACCAATTTTTTATTCATTATTAATTCACCTTACCAATTGTAACGCCTTTCTTCTAAAAGTATGAGTTTTTCATTTAAAATTTCTTTTAGAAACTGTCCGCCTGGATTGATTCCCAAAATCGGGGATGCGAGTTTTCTGAACGATGCTGGACTGAGAGAGAAAGTTTCGTCATTTGCTGTCGATTGCAATCTTTCAATGAATAAACCCGGCTATGTTTGTACGTAGAGTGGCTGTTAACCTCTAAAAGCACATGTACATTTAATGCTGCTTGGTTCTCCTTATTGCTAATTAGCTGTTGGTAGTTTAGAGTTAGGGTTAAATTTCTTTTTAAACACACATCTCTCTCTGTGAGGATCTGCTTTTTGTCTCATTCTTTACAGTTGCACTGTCTCTTTAACATTTGACTCAGTGCCTCCTTGATCAGAATCTTCGTGAAGCTAGCAGGTGGCTTTTTCCCTGAATTAATGTGAACGTCGTCTATTTTGAATTTTTTTTAAAAGCTGGGTGCATAATTATCTTTTACCTGTACCAAAATCTTACGAAAACATCACACACTTTTGCAATTGGAAAGAACGCTTGATAGCTTTTCCAATTCCCAGTTTGAGGTTGAACGCTAAGGCTGTAGTCCGAGCACCAGTGTTGTCCATCGGCCGAAAGCCGGCATAATTAAACTTCTTAAGTCGCTTGTATCAGTAGCATGTTTTACTGTTTATTGGTCTCACTGCAATCCTTCCGTTACAAGAGGGGATCTTGGTCATTTTCTAGCTTTGAAAGCTGAACTGGATCTCCCTTCTTTGATGGAGGCCTTTTTTCCATCCCCCCCTCTCCCCCCCTCCCCCCCTCCCCATCTAAATACCGAAATAGTTGTTCTTTTGTTCAAGTAGTGTTGCAGTACAAAAACGTAGTTTTATTTGAGAACCTGCGTTATTCTCTGTTACAAACATTGTAGCCTTTCAACCGGAGAAATACATACTGCAAACGGTATTAGTAAATATGGGACAATTCTGTATTTTTCCACAGTGAGTTATTGTTAAGATCCCTCCCCCTTTTTGTAATAAGCCCCCCGGCTGGGAGCCCTAGAAAAAAGTCCCACTGGAAATTATCAGAGGGTTTACTGTAAATGGATTTCGTAGCGAATTTCTCATCTCAGGTAAACTGCAATTAAAGAAATTCCAAACAAAGAGACGTCAGTTCATGATTGTGAAATCTGCCATCATACATTACAGTACTCTTACACAAAGTTAACTCATCTCTTCAACGATGGCCATAACCTATCTATTATTTCATAGCTTTCTTCTTTGATTTAATGATGGTAGATCGACTTCTTACGGCTTCTCAATATAAAGGATAGCCAACTCTGTGAATCACCAGGATGCCAGGACGCCCCTAACAAAGCCGGAAAAACCAGACAATTTAATTGAAGATACTTTTTTGGCTACAAGTATTGCAGAATAGACTTAGCAGAAGCGTTCTGGGAACCGTTGTCTGAGAAAGTGCCTCAAAGCAATACAAATGATCAGAATAAGTTAGTTTTGTACCTCAAAACAACCGTTAACGGTGATTACAATTTGTCACGCGATCATACATTGCCAAACTCTTCTTTGAGACTCATTTATGATCTAAAAGTTCGCATGCCGAGTTATTACAACTCTTGATAAATTTTTCCCATTGAACTAAGTTGACTTTCGTCAGCCAGTTGACACAGACGGACTATCGCGCACTAGAAACCCTTGGCCAGTGTTCACGGCGCATTAAAACGAAACGGCACATTTCCGAATCTAATTCGTTTTATTTAACAAAATAGCTGACAAAAAAACACAACAACAACAAAAGTACAAATATTTTGTTAAAAATTAATTTTAAAGCAGCCAATTTGTACAAATGAACTAAGCAAGAACTTCAAGGTTTCCTATGTGATAAAAACTCGACATAACTTTACACCATATATTATCGATTATTGTCTTCTTGCATGGACCGGAAATGGGCAAGAAGCGAATTGATAGTGATATCTCAAACTTGAAAAGATTTTGAATAAAAAAATATCGTCACCAATTAGAATGTAGGTGGCTTAACCGTGTATCAGTTATATCACTATGTCATTTTGTCGATTGCAAGCGGAATAAAATAGAGAGGACGAATAAAAAGAGAAGAATGTGTCCCCTGCTCTGCCCATTATAGTAAAGTGACCGGCATTAAACTGGCCATGTATCCCTTAAAATGATCAAATCAAGTCATTTACGTGCTACTGGATATAAATAACGTACACTACATGCAAAATGTTACACAGTACCTGACTGACATTTATAACAACAAGAAAATTGAAAATATCGGTTACAATAAGACGCTGTACTCCACGCCTTTGCCTTGAAAATTTTCGTTTGAAGTACTGCGTCTGTTAATTTGCTGGTTACGTATGTGGGTTTGTTGTTTGCTTTTCTGACAGTCTGCCGACTCAGTGTCTTTCGTCTGCTGCCTATATAAGTCTGTCTTTCTCTGCCTGTCTGTTTGTCAGACGGTCGTTTGGTCGGTCGGTTAGTCAGTCGGTCAGCCAGTAGGTCAGTCAGTCGGTCAGTCAGACTATTTAAAAAAATGAAAACCGTAGTATCATTTGTATTCCACCTCATTAGTTCACTTCTTTCTTACTGCATTAAACTAGACATTATTTGCAGTTTACAGAGTCTAATAAATTATTGATAAATTGCTGATGCACAGCTAGTTTACGAGATACGTAGTTGCTGAGTAGAGTTTCAACTCAAAGCATAACTTTGTTGTTATTCATTGACATTCCCTTTCTTTTGTGCTAAAGTGGAAGTAGGAAAGTTCCAAGAGTAAAGACGAACGCGGGCTTTTAGCCACCATGTTAATTCATATCACTTCCTGATTGTTTTTAATTAATAAATAACTTATTAAACTATAAAGTTGATCTCCACGGGGAAGAAAATTGCTGCTAAAAGAGGGGAATCTTGATGGTTACTTGCAGGTGTGCCGGTCATAAATCAGAGGGCACTTTTCACAGGTCACAACACAACACCATACAAACTTGCAGTTGCACCGTTTGACTTCTCGTACCTCCTGAGTGTTATACCCTCCTCCGCAGCACAGCATATCACATCGGTCTCCTCCTGAAGACGTCTTGTTACACACCCGGCCAGACGTGCCTAAGATGCCCAGAGTCGGATTAGGATTACAATAGTTTGGTGACCGGTCGATGTACACCAACGTATCTCTGGTAATCTTTAGTCGTTTCTGCTCCTTTCGCCTTATGCGTCGCTTTCGTCTGTTGTAAACTACTTGTACCGCATTCGCGTACCTAGCTTTTAAAAATTCCCCGACTTTTTCGAAGTTCGGCACAGTTTTCCAGCATGTTTGCATGGTGCAAGAGCCAGAGACTCCATGGCAACGACAGCGATCACTTACAAGGGTTTGAACGGCCTGCAAATAACAATATTAAAAATGTTTACATGAGCAGTGGAGATTTATCCTCTATTTGTTTATTTTGCCATTTTCTGATTATAATAAATCAATAGAAATAAAAGAAATTACATATACATTAATATAATACAATATAACTGAAAATTTAACATGTGGCGAGGAAATCCTTTGAGAAACCAAGAGGCTTATGTGCTACAGGCTCCTAAAATTTTACAAACGTGGGTTATTAGGGCGTAATTTAGGTAAAAAATATTGTAGGTTAAAAGGGAAAGAACACAAAGAACATCACATAAAACAACAACAATAGCAGGCACTCAAATAAACATCTTATAGAACAGCTCGATTGAATAGGAAAAAAAACAAGAAGGGAGTCAGCTTAGGAATAATGTTAACAATTTAGACTTATACAGGGGAAGTGTGCCAACATTCTGGATTCCTATATTCAGAGAATTTAAAAATCTAGGTCCTTGGAAACAAAACGTAAACTGTCCAATATTTGCTCTGCAATGAGGTATGTAAAAGGAGTTGCAGTGCCTGGTGTAACATCAATGAATGCTACTAGAAAACAAAAATAATATTCTAGGAGAATCGGGAAGAAGGCCTATCTTGAACAAAACGTACTTTTTGATATAATTCTTACTACCGGCCAGACAAATGAAATTTAAAAACCTAACACAATGAAACGAGTACAGGGTTAATCACAGTATCAATCATTAAAATCCTGCCTTTCACTGGACCAAACAGCCCTTGACTGTAAGCACTCTGATGATTCAGTACGGTTAACTAGTATGCCGCGATAAAAGAACCATTCTTATTGGTTCTTTAAGCGACAGACCGCTTTCGATTGGCGTTTTTTTAATATCGAAGGTGTTAAAGAATACGTGTGCTGAATTCATTCATTCTTCTCCAAACTAGAGCAATTTATTTGAAGTGACGAGTTCACTTAGTTCGGATGACATACTTACAATCTCCGATGGCCCATCTTACCGGCTGAGAAAACAATATCTCGGTATTACGTTTTATCATCGTATACTGCGCAATAAAACCCGTTGAATGATCAAAGATAGAAGAAAAAAGATAACAAATGTAACAGATACCAAAATTTTAAGAATAACAAGTTTGGTAAACAGTTATTAGATTCACTTGAACGATGACTGGTCTGACAAAGTAGACAGATATTAATTTTGTTGCTGAAAACAAATGCCGTGTAAAATCAATTCAGGGGTATAGGACACTAAGAGTTATTTCACATGTTACAAAAATCATTGAATTTTTCGGAAATATAGGTAAACTCTAAAGTTTCTTTAAAGTTAGTCACTTTCAGGATATTCTGTTCACAGGACGTTCTGTTTTCCCTCAGCTTATTGTCTATGACTCGAAATAAATTAGAACCGCTAGGGATTTAACGAAAGCAGACACAAAAGTGTGGGTGTTCAACCTACTACGCGGTCGCCCTCAAGATCCACGCTCTTAGTTATGCTCGCTTTGCGCGCCCCCTCTGAACTGAAAATAAAATAAACGGCTGTAGACAGACTAGAGTTGGGCAAGATGATATACATTAGGTAACTTTTGTAAGCACGTTCGGAAATGTATTGAACATAACTCCCGAGATAGTAACCTGCGTTCAGCATTTTCTGCAGTTTTTCATTTCACGAACCTAAGCAACAACCGAGCCGATGTCAGGGCAGCGATCAGATATGTTTTGACTGCAAACATTGACAAAGTTATTCGGAAACTTAAAGCTGAAGTTTGGTCTCTGTAGAAAATGGGACAAGTAAGCATTGTGACGCTAAGGAGGTCGAAAAAATTCTGATTCCCCATGAGGAATCGAACCTCAGACCTTCGGATTCCGCGCCCTGAGTCCCCTTGTGGGGACTCAGAATTTTTTTCTTTGCTCCACGCTCGTGATAAGACGAAAAACATCTTTCTTTACTTCTTTACCGAGCTCAAAACTTACCATCTCTCTAATTTCTAACTACAAAACTTAATTATGTTTTGAACAATCCTATTTGTGTTTTCTGTAAGGTCTAGAGTGATTGGGAAAGCACGCGCTTGACGCTTTCGACATTGCCGATCCTAGCAGTATGCAGGACGCGTTTCATATGAACTTCGTGGCTCAGTGGTAGAGCATCGGAGCGCGGAATCCGAAGATCTGAGGTTCGATTCCTCATGGGGACTCAGAATTTTTTCTTTGTCCTACGCTCGTGACAAGACGAAAACACATCTTTCCTTATGATTATGCTTTATAAATTGAATTTTCTCCCCAGATTGTCGTGAGTCTCTAAAAGCAAAATTATCAACCACCTTTAGTTTTCTTTTAATTTCATCTTAAAGTATGAAATATCACAGGAGTCAGCAACAAACATTGCTGCATAGAGGAAAAATATGGACCGAGGTTAAATTCTGACCTTGGACTAGCGCTCACAACCTTTCGAAAAATCGGCCCCAGGCGTTTATTGGAAACTAAATTTATTATATAAATAAAGACTCAGATTTTTCGATTGGAATTTCCCACGGCGTCACTCTCTTGACTTTGAGTGACAAGCTCTTCAAACCGATCATTTACAAAATTCCCGTCAAATTCCAAATCACTCTAGGAGCGGCCAAAAAGAGATGATTTGTCTTTAATGAGGAGATTAATTCCAAAGGAAAACGGCTGAGAAAACAAATAGCAAGCCGACCAGATTAATAAATTAGTTACGATCCCACACAACAGAGGTGTTTACATCTCCCACATCCGTGTTTTCTGAGTCGCTGTCGTCAGAACATAACGACACACCTATGAACAGTTCGTTCCATCACGAATGTTAAAAGTTCCATTTGCACCCCAATCTCTACCCATTGCCCCACCCCCTGCCCTCACGTTTCCGTTAGACCCAACGATAGTTTGTACTTGACAAAAACAGTAAAGGAGTAAATAAGTGTCACCCTAATACTTAAGCTGTCTCTCATTCTCTCTCTCTCTCTCCCCCCCCTCTCTCTCTCTCCCTCTACAACATCACAATGATTTTGTCATTAAAAATTAGCTATGGGTTGGAACTTATAGGTCACGCAACTGTAAGGAAAATTAAGTGGTTCTAACTAATATTCAATAGGAAACGTAATATTGTGCTTTAGAGCTTTCAACCAACAATAGCAAAGCTACATGCGTTTTACGTTAGAAATTTCTGGAGGTTTGTCCAGCTCGTATGCAACGAGAAATTACCGCAAAAGACGGCTTATAAAGACTGTAAACACAACTCAAAAAGGAGAAAAAAGGTTGGTTAGTTTAACATTTTTAGTTTCAATTATTTCCGGTAACCAATAGTCCAAACGACTTTACACTAAAAATTTATATTTTATGCGTATTGTCTCACTTAACTTTGCCTTAATGCCAAAACGTAGAAAAGCAGTTGGACAGTTGGACATGAGTCTAAAAATTAAAAAAAGGAGGTTTCGTGTCCTGACATTTGCTTCCAGTCTGACTATGAACACAAGAATATTCCTTCGACCAAATCACTACTTACAACCTATAGCCCCAACGGAATTCAAAAAGCGGTAACAAACAAGAAAACGGTTGTGTTGAATCAAAACAAATTTTTAGAGCAAACCACGATAACTCTGAAGTCTTCAAACCGTGCAAGGAATCGTCACCTCAATCGTACACCGACTGAGTGCGTCTAGTTGTATAAGTTGTACGTGATATGTTCCGAATGCGGCCACAAACCAAACACTGTTCAATATCCGACATCGGCAAGGCATTCTTGTTGCCGCCTCATTATCATAAGTTAAGTAAAAATCTTGTCTATGTACACACTACAGAGTAATTTGACAGCACAAGGCGCCGGCCGCATCATCTTGCTACGTGAGTAGCTACAACTAACGTCAGAATGGCAAGCAACGCATTATTTACTGCATTGTCAGAAATCCAAAAAATATTTTGACTAAATGACAGCTGCTGACGATTTTGTAGGGCGACAAACGGCCTAATGGCCGAGTGAAGAGCAGCACTTGATACACACGCTTTTTCAATAATGTAAACAACAATCAAATTCAAACATAAATAAATACTACACATTAATCCCAACTTCATGTGTTTATCGGTGACGGAAACCGCAACTACAACTGAGATAAGGTGAATTTCGCAAAGAACAAAAAACACCGGTGGATAAAGTGCTTTTAACGGACCTATGCCAATCTAAAATTGATTAAGCTGAGAAAACACCCCATTTCTTCTACCCTTGTTACCCGACATTTCCGACATAATCAAAATATAACATTTTGTTCCTAATTGACATGAACCGAAGTTCCATTTGCTCTAAGACATGATAGCTCATCCATAATCGTTTAATTTTGATGAATCTAGACTACGGAAGAACTTTGAGCATCAGGAAACCAAAAACGTGCTTTAAAAAGATATCTGCTGTGCCAAAGGAAAACTGCTACATGATTTGTCGTCATCTCAACATATGAGTTTGATATTTCTAGTATTAAAGGACCTCCAATTATTTTGTCTCCCGTTAAAGTATGGACAGAGGGAAAATACGTTATAATCACATTAAGTTCAGAGTGGGGTTTGATCCCTTTGTTTTCTTTGGCTGGAGGTCAACCTAATAAGAACAATAATGAAACGAAATTCATTTTACCAAATGGTCTTAAGTCTTGCTGAGCTTTTATCAATGGCCCGCCAATAAATACAAACTTAATGGCTTTGAGCGTTAAGTTGAAGTTGCTCTAGTGTTCTAAGCTATAAAATAAGAACGAGTAAGCGATAATTAATGAACACATGCAAAATCCATTGCGTTGAAGTGCGTTGTTCTGCTGTTAAGAGGAAACTGAAGGCAACACATGATAAATAGCTTGTCGAGGGAGGTACCTCTCCAGATTTGGAGAGATTTAAAAGAAGCCACTCAATCACGCTAACATTATCAACTAAAAGAGAAATTCCAAATTCCAGCGATGTAAGCCGAGGAAGACATTAGAGTTGCTTTCTGTAGGCCAATGGTGAAAGAGAAACAAGATGTAAGGTACCACTGTTGTAATATCCGCGTACGAAATTGAACTTTAAAACCACTTGCAAAATCGTTTACATGACTTTTTCCACTCGGATCGTCTAATGTGTTTAACAGCTAATTTTGCGTGTGGGGAAAATTGGGGGGGAAACCAGCAAAAAACTTGTGAAATGTCTGGAATTGAAGATCGCCTACTGACAAACCAACTTCAATTTGAAAAGCCGCAAATAACTCTATTCTTACCCATAAAATCCAAACCCTGTTGCAACAAAACTTTCTAAAGAATTTTACCACGCCAACAAATTATGTGGAAACTTGATAGGTTATTGGCTGATCGTGTCTAGCTTGAAAATATCATGAAAAAACAAGTATAAGTAAATCGTGGTAAGTCCAAATCATATATTAGTCCGAAAATACAGCGCCTAATACGAATTTTCGAGTTCTGAAATGAAAAAAAATTCCGAGTTCCGTTTAGTGGGCTGCCATCGAACGTCTGTTAAACTGTTTATCTTGTGCGTACGCAAAATTAATGGCCCATTGGACTCACTTAGTCAATAAATGACTCAATAAAAATGACAATCAAATAATCTTCCACATGCTCATGAAATTAAGAAGATGACCGATAAAATTACCAGCAATATCTCTCCCAAAATAAATGCTATTTACAAGTAAACTGTTTTGCTCTGTTGATCGATGAGGATTGAACCTTGTGTCCTTTTCGTATCAAATTTTACGTCAGACTGTTTTTATTTGGAACTGAACACCATCATATGTTAACGTTACATCGATCTCGAACAAAGTGATCTCACTTTTCCCACGAGATTTTCATGCAAGCCGCCCAGGTTCCTTCTTTCAAACAATCGAATAGTAATTTTTAATTATGCAATTCTAATTCGTCTTTGAAAAAAGAGAATGTGTTATGAAAGGAAGCCATTTTAAGCAATTAAGAGCAATTGAATACTGGTCATGAAGACTATTGGAGCTGTTAGTACATTCGTGATTCTAATACTTGAAGAAATAGATATTCTACCTTTGATTTTTTTTTTCCTATCGTTATATGCATGAAATTTCGTGAAAACTGGCCATTTCGATGAACATTTGCAGTCTTGGCCAGTTCCGTTTCGAACTTATGTGAGTTGAAAAGTACTCCAAAAAAATTCCTAAACCTAAAACCTGCTCGAACACAACATTCTAAATCGCTTAGGTGACATTTAAACCCAACCATCTTATGTTTCCAGATTTTCTCGCAAACTTTCGGATTAACATTCTTTACAAGATAACACTTTATTTTATTTTCTTCAAACTATTCGATGGTGCCTATAGCCTTTAATCTAAAGTGTCGATCGAAGATTGTCAACTTCATCAGAAGGCTGATAACTGCACTAACATATTTAAACCTTGGTAAGAAGTGTGCTAATGACTCACCAGTCTACCAACATGATTGTTATGAAGGTTCATTGCATGTCTTGCCTTCTTCCGTAAACGTGCCTTCTTATCAGAGCTCGTGACACCTCGCTCGTTCCGTTCAGGTGCATCTACAAACGTCTCTGACAACCAGACACCAAACTTCACGTCATCATTGCAGCCTCCCCACTCCCATCCTCTGGAGGGCTGCTTTCTTTTCCTGCGAGTTTCACAAGCACATTCACTGAGGTTGCCAAGACTGCATGACCTGCTGGCCGCGTGTACCACACCAGCAGAAGTTATCGCGTAAATGAACGCAGCCTCACGACTTCCTGTCACGGAAAAGAGGGAAACTTGTAGCAACGTCACTGACGCACAGTGAGAAAAGTTACACTGAAGATATTTGTACTCACCTATGTTAATAATTCCACCGAATACTGACGAGGAATTTGTGGTGGAGCAATTCCATCGTTCTTTGGCAAACTGGTTTTGACACTCACCAATTCCAAGCTTTGCTCCACGTCTGAGGGTTGGAATGAGGTCCGGTTTGGACTGACAGACAGTCATCTGCTGAGAGGACAAGCCAGGAACTCCATAACAAGTCGTCAGATTTCCACTGCTTCGGGTGCCCAGCGCCGAAATTCCCATCCACCTTCAAAATAAGGCAAGAAACTTTTCATCAACTACACCGCCACCGCTCATGTATTTGTCCATCAAATTGGAAAAGCTTCTGTTTTTGATTTTAATGAATGGAAATGCATGAGATAAAAACGCACTAACATCCAACTGGCAGTGGTCCTGTCTTGGAAGAGGACCAACATTAACAAGACAAAAACGATGGATTCGTTCCTCTCCATACTTATACGAGTTTCTCTTATGAGGCCCACTGTTCTGTATACTAAACAAAAAAAAAATGATGAAAACGTAAATACAATTTCACACGTGATGCAGCTAGTGGTCGGTTGGTCCTTTGCTTTTATATTATTGAAGTTCACGGCTAGCCAATTTCATTTCACCTGTCATCGCTAATGAACAACAACAGTCCTGATTGGTCGCCCAAAATGACATCAATCGGTTAATGGTGACGTATGGAAAAGTGGAAGGACATGTGTCGTTGACTGGTCATACTGCCTTCCAAATGGAAACAATTTAACAGTACAGTTTGATTTTCAAAAATTCCCGTCATTTTTTCGCCCTGCTATGTCCCAAGAAAGAATTGACACATCAACGACCGGGCATTTTGGCTGAAAAATGTAACCCGGTTAATACCTCTAATAGCTAAATTTCCGCTTAAAGTGTTTATCGCTTGACAATGATTGTTTGTTGATCGCAGAGGGTGGGCGGAGGTAAAGTAGCTAATTACAACTCAATTGATCAAACGAGGTGACCTCAACAGAGCCTCAAGACACTTCAACTCGTATCTTCCCAAAATCAGCGACAGGGATGAAATGAGCGGTACAATATCCACCCACTCTTTAGGTTTCATCTAGTATCAAAATGGATCTTAACGAGCTGTTCGACTTTTTGCGGCACGGAGAGCGCGAAACAAAAATCACGTCAGACAGAGCAGATTCCAATCGTTTTTCACACGCAGTTCTCAAACGTTGTGAGTTATTTTTCCCTTTCACGAAGCAAGGTTATAGAAGTGCCGATTGATTACAATAAGACGGCGTTTCTTTTTCACAATTAAATGTAAAGTACACAGACGGCAAGTTAACCTTTTTACATAAGCTCCCGCCATAGTGTTTGTTCGCTCTGCATCTTGACGTTGTTTTAGGCGCGTTTAATTATTCAAAGAGTGGCCGGAAGAATGAGGTCGCCTTTTCCGGTATCGATAGCTAAAACGGAACATGGGATACATAACACTGGCACAAATTTTGTTCCAACGGAGTGTTTATAGAGTGTGTAATCGGTTTAACGCGAGGCCAGCTTAAAATAATCTATCTTGAAATAAATTTGTCTGAGTCAATGAGGCTGTTAAACCGCTGATATAAAAATAATCTCATTGCGCAGTTTTCGTGCGTGCCTACTGTTCCACGAGTATTTGTATCAAACGGATTATTTTACTCTAGCGTCTGTAATCATCACACTTAGGTTTAAACCAAGATAAAGAGATAATTGAATAAAAGGGTTTCCTTTCAACAAGGCACTACAAAAGAGGGCACAAAATAAGATCGCTAAAGAGATAACGACAATTAGAACCATCACAATAACATGCGTCAAAAATTAATTTCCGTATGGGAAGTCTAGCTGAACGACAATGGATGTTTCAAGAATTGCGCTTCAGCGAAATGTTTGATTCGCAAAAGGTTGAAGTCCACCGATAAATGAATTGGTAAAAGCACCGTGGGAAAAAAGGCAGGAGTGTTGATTAACCTCACAGGAAGGGTCGAATTTTCCGCTTTTTAGACTGTCTCGGATGTAGTTTATCATACTCCACAATGACTACTTCATCAACTTCTTTCGAAAAAACGAAGAGGAGGTTTGTTTTCCTGTTTTGTAAAGGTGTTAGCATCCTCCTCACGATTTCCAGCAAAAAACTCTTGACCCTTGGTATTCAAACTCTAGAACTGAGTTAATTGTCGCCTCACGCCCACTCTACTACCGCACGCCATGTTCTCTATCCATGCTGTTGTCGCTCAGTTACCACACTAGACTGGATTAGAGGCAAAACCCGACATGCTCAGATGGCCAAATAATAGCAAATAAAACAAGAATACTTAAGTTATCAACTTAAACCAGTATCAATTTAGTGATAGGTCAGTTCGTTGTTCTCGGCTGATAAATTCATGGTCACATCAACTCAACAAGGTTAACATGGCCACGCCTGGAGAAGGTACTGACTCATTGAATTGATTTTTACTTTCAAAAGAATAGTGCGCTTCGAAACCTACTAATAGCAACATAAAATATGACTATTTAGTACAGGTTAACCTCTTGACAATTATTGTGTATACTGAAGTCAAGCTGCGAAAAACAGACCGCATAATGCCATTGTTGATCAAGGCCCTGCTCTACAAACTAAGCTCCAACTTTGTCGATTTTTTCTTTGTAGACTTAGTGAGTTTTTACTACTCAGAGTCTGGTTAACAACCAACTCGAAACCCAGAGCAAAGAAAAAACTAACAAAGCCGAATTTGGTTGCAGAGAGAATGAAAAACCTGCAATTCTTAAACATGGTTCAATGGAAGAAAAATTGTATGAGGAGGAAATAGAAAATATAGCAATCCTGAGCCATCTCTCTTGTTCTATTTGGCGCTTCCGACATTCCTGATACTAGCAGTATCCAAGGATCATGTAACACACGAACTTTGTAATCATGACGATGGGCCGGCTAACTTAAGTGTTCTCTGTAGATCAGTGGCAAAAATATTGGGGTGCAAAATCTGAAGAGACGCGGTTCGATTGAGGTGATTCCGCGCCTTGCACTCCTGTCCAAAATGAATTAGACCTTTCCTTACGCACTCAAGATTTTACACTAGCCCCAATCATTTTTCAGTAAGTTAAAAAAGACAAAAGCTCGGTCGGTGGTAAAAGAGGAAGAACTTCATCATACAAAGAGACAGCTGAAGGAAAGGCAAGCCCATTTAGGGAATGTGAAAGCGAGTCACGCACACCACAAAACATTACCCTGAAGAGGTACACACTTAAAATGTGGTTTACTTGTTGTACATTCTCGGCTGAAAGCCAAAAATCACATAACCTACGCGGTGAAATACTCTTCCGACCATCTTAGTTCTATTTTAGTTCTGAGACTATTTTTAAATAATTAATTCTTAAACTTATTTCACGCCTAATGTATCATTCAATCACGCAGAGCATTTCCACTTTACCACACCGGCAACAAAAAGCTTTCAGCCTTGAAAGTTAAGCCTCTGATAGAGAATTGTTGGTGAACTAAATTTCTATTTCATGTAACAAAACCGACAACGCGAAGCCAGGATATCGCGAGTAACGCATGCGCGGATCCCTCGCATAGCTGAAGGAGTTTAAACTGGTACCTCATGATCCCGCAGCGCTCATTTTTGTCAAATTTTTATCAATACACTCGTTTATATCAATTGAGTAAAAAAATTCGTTCTGTTACGAGGATAAAAAAGGGAAGCTATCAAACAGTCACAGACTACCACAAGTAATCAGAATCGAACAGCTTCAAGGTTATTATTTTTAGCAAAAATCTTACGCGCATTACAAGGCAGCGATAATTAAAAAATACCTAACCTTAGATCCGTAGAACTCTAAGAAGTTATGGTAATGATCGCACACTTCAGCGGTAAAATTAATCGCTAAATTAGCCACTAAATTGCGTGTTAATTAAATAACAGGATTTTTTAAAGGAGGGAGGACGCGGTAGGGAGGTGCAAAAACAAGCTCAACAAACAAACATACGAGAAAACATTGACACTGATTTCCAGACACATTTCACACTTAATATCGTTTATTGCCGTTTATTACCGTTTACAATAAATGCACGTATTTGTTATCTTTGGATTAAGGAAGAGATCAACAGAACCAACATCGCACAATGGACCGGCCAATGAGTTCCAGAAATCAGCTGTTTTCGTTTTTGCTACTGGCAAAAAAAATTGCCTGCGGGAAACTTTAAAAAGCTTTTGCAAGTATCATTTGCATTTGGAATATACACACGGTTATATTACAATAATAACAATAATAATATCATCATCACAATAGTAAAAAATAATAATCTAACAAATATTAGTGTTCACTGAAATTCGTCTTGTGAGTCGAATCGTATGAGTAATACGGCCATTGTTCTTCCGTAAAACGCTGTTCGTTCGTGATAAAAACGTGCTTTGCGATTACATTTGCATCTTTTCCAAAGCGGCTGTGGAATATCGTTTATTAAGCTCGCAAACTTAAAAATGGACCAGGATAAACGTCCATTTTCACAAGGTTTTATCGAAACTTCCAGCCTTCACCCACGCATCAAGCCCAGAATTGATTGCATGTCCACTCCTCCTCAGAAAAGCAATTGGCACTATCAAATGCCGTTATCTTCTGAAATTAGTTCCACATACCTGTACTTCCCCGGCAATATCAAACACTGTTACTGTCACAATTTAGCCGCCGACGCTGGAATTGATTGAGAGAGTTGCACAACTTCCTTGATCTCCTCTGGAGTTAATATCCCTTCGTGTTCCAAGCCGATTAACAGCTGTTGTCGGGAGTTTCCTACAAAGTCGTGTCTTAGAAATGACGGAAGCCCTCCTCGTTTGTCTCTTAAGATGTACACTGGACAGCGAACCAGCCCGAGGACCTACCAACAGACAAATAAGTAAGGTTTGAATTCACAGTTCAATAATAACAAACATCGCACTCAATCGGAAGATCTGCATATATATTCTCACCGAGTAATTTGAAACTCAAACACGACAAGTTCGAGAAAATGCTTTGTAAGAGAGAAACATGTCTCAATGTCTTTTTTTTGTCACGATCCGAACATAAGTAAAGCGAACTTGAAATGCCGCGCGTACGAGCTAGTTGCACCAGTTTTTCATGGTGTGAATATTTTTCAGGGATAATATCCTCCCGGGAGAGGTGAACTTCAAAACTATTTCTTGTGTAAAAGCACAACAGAAGAAACCTTCGCCGACTAAGAAAATAATTAACTTGACAGAGAAATGCGCTTTCTTTAAAAATCACCATAAAATTTTTCAGATCATGACTTTGGTCGTATAGGTACAGACAAGTTACAGCGGAATGTGCACATTTCCTCACGTCTCTCTTATCTGACCCTGTCACTGCACCGGAAAACATTTTAGATTAATGATCTCCTGGTAAGAAATGCTTAGCAAGAATTCATTCTTTTTCCTTCAATGGGACACGACCCCGATAGTTAAGGATTGACTCTCAATCTCTTTATCCAGAGTCAAACGTGACAGCCATTAAACAATGCTGTGTCTCTCACTTAAGCATTCCGTTGAAAGGGAAACAGTGAAATTTCTGCCGTCTACGAAACTACAGTAAAAACGATAAGAGACTTTTTCTTGCTGGAATGATTTACTAAAATCTTGGGATAAATTTCTTGTGACTACTTCCACTGAGTTTACCTTTTTGCCTCTAAAAAAAGATTAAAATTAACCTCTCCTAAATTACAACATCGTACAATATCTTCTGAATGTGAATAAAACACACAAATCTGTCCACCAAAGGGCGTTATCTTGATATAACAAAAGAGAGGCAAGAAGAATTACTACATTGGATCTTGAGAGCTGACAGGTTAATGAATCCTTTGTTTGAAGCACATAAAAGATGGACATTGTAACTAAGATATCTAACGTGAAAAACATAAATCTTTTGCAATGGACTGCTGAGTCTAGTTGTATTAAGGGCGGATAACGCTATCCAGCGGATAAATCGCTATTCAACAGAAAGTGTTCACAAAACGTAGTGCGTTATCCACCGGATAGAGATTCATCCAATGGATATCATCATCCACGCTTCAAACAACCCAGGCCTGGAGTTAAATAATAATAATACAATAAGTTTTCAAAAAAATAATACTACTTCTAAACTTGAAAAATGTTTCAGCATTAATTGTTGTGTGTATAGGGTGGAGTTCAAAAGAAAGACTGACAAACCTCATAACCTAAATACGGTGCCCCTTGTTTCCTTGTCTCAAGTTCTAAGAATTGTTCTAATGGAACATTTTTGGCAAAGAAGTGAAGACAAAGTTTCTTTGTGATGTCCAGTTCTGACACATACTCCTCATACAAATGAGAGATCACATAGTTTTCTTTAGTAATGTTGACAGGATTTGTTGTTTCTCCAAGCTCTTCTACAACCTCTCTATTAATGGCAGTCTCTAGATCTTCAAAATCGTCCACAAATCCTCCAGGAAATCCCATTCGGCCATCAAAACGAAGCTGCATCTGAGGAAATGCAAAAATAACCTGACTGTTGAGTTCTGACAAATCTGATGAGCCGTAAACCCACCAATTTTTAAGTTGAAATAGAGGACTTCAAGTAGTTAAGCTCTCACACCAGAATTGTATTTCTATTTTGCAACTGCTCATTAGTACTTTGTTCATGGGAGCAGGAGTCATAAAGCACCCTGCCCTGTTGAAGATACCAGTTGCAAGCACATTTCTATTCTGGTGATGTCATTAATCATTTTATTTATTTTTATTAATCTATTTTTCCTTACTACTTACCTTACTAGTGAATTTTTTTTTCTAGATCTGATTGGCTTGCAAAGAGGTTATCAGCCATGCACTATTCACTTTGGAGAAGGTAAAGAGCGAACAGTAGCTAAAAATTTGACTAATAGTAGATTGCTTCAATAAATGAGGCAGCTCTTCCAAAAAATTCATAAATGTCTAATTGACAGCAAAATCTTATTGTGGTGGCATCAGTATTCCACTACAAAAAAATCAAACTTCCCATAATACTTTAATCTTTGCAAAAATAGTTAGACAAAACCTCAGGTTTTGCATCACTGGCAAGAAATTACACTAACTGACAAACTACGCTAGGAAAGATTGAAAGGATCATCCAAAATTCACAATAGGACTTTTTGCTGTCAATCATTTTTGTCGTAAGAAATCTACCCCAGCCACAAGTGAGCTTAACATGGTAAGATTTCACCCATTTAGTTTCTGATTATATGTTGATATCTTCAAAAATAAATGAATAAGGTCTGCTAGTTCATGAGCTTATGTAACACATCTTAAAAAGCATTTGTAAGAGTGTTGGATATTCTCCCTCCTACGAAATATCCATTGCCATTATTCAAAAATTCCAAAATTAACGTCTCCACAATTACATGTAAATGTAAACTCCCAAAGCAAGAATCTGCATCATTTTTCCCTTACCAGTCCAGCCATAATTCTGCCACTGGCACTTATATGTTATGTTACTTCAGTGTAATAATGTGAATAATGCAATAGATAAAGGCAGAAATTTGCTGAAAGAGCTCAACTTAAAATAAACCACATGTTTACCCAGACCAGAACTGAAATAGCTGAACCAAGCTACAACACCTTATCAAAAGGATTCAAAATATCCTTCCCGAGGAAAATTAGTTTGGAATGAATTTGTCAATGGCAAATGTGTCATTACATAGGTTGACATAATATCCAAGAACTATTCTTAGTCTAATAATCCTTCAAAAAATGTCACTCAGGAAGTTAAAAATGTCAGCTATTTATTTACAATGAATTAATCAATGTTTCTTTCATTCATTGATTATTTGAATTCTCCAAAACAATTTTTCTGTTGTAAAAAGTTGAGCAAAGTTTTGAGTTCTTTCATGAGTCAAACCCTTTTGGAAAAAAAGTGTACCCTGTGTCTTGAGTGCAGCTCTTGGTGGGTATTCAAGACCACCAACACAGTTTTTCTACTATGAACCTCCCAGTTAGTAAGTAACATAACAGATACTGACGAGATACTTTCTCTCTGAGTTTTCAGAAAGTTTGAGAACACTACACAGACGTGGGGCTAGAAAACTAGGCAGATTTTGTAATCAACATGATGACCCTGCTGCAGATATAGAGAATAATACATGGGTGTGCATAGATATGGAATTCCTCATCAAATGTTTAACCCAATAGCTCACGCGTGAAATGTCGAGTTGAACATGAGAAGAGAAATTTCATATCTACAAGCATCTACATGTATTATTTTGTTTATCATATAAACACAATAGCCTTTTACTGAAGAGAAAAGTCAACCTTATTAATGAATCAAAACAAAAGGATCAACACTCCAAATAACAATTGTAAAGTGCATTGGTACACTCACAGTGTAAACATGCATTAAATCACTACAAAAACAAACAATGGGCCTAATTTTCAATCAACAAAATTCTGAGTTATTCAATAGGTTCTTACTGACTGAATAAATCCTTCAAGTACATGACAAAAAATCGGCCTGTGGCAAATCTTTTCGTTGCTGACTTTCATTCTCAGCTACAAGAAATGCCTTCACCAATTTAGCCACTAAATAGATAACTTTCTGTTTTACTTTTTGTATTTTGATTTTCTTCCCCTTCTGGAAAGTTGGAACATCGCTGTCTGAAAGCAATAGACAAATTTGAGTGTTTAGCAGCCATAATCCGAAAAAAGAGGTAAAGGCTTTGCCATTCATTCATCAACCTGACCAAAAGGCGCCAAAGGCAAGTAATGTGACAGCAGCTGATTGGTGATACCAAACACATATAACAAGATACAGTATTTTATCACGTGTGTTGTTACGGCTTTTCTCAGGACTGGAAATCCTTGTAGAACACCGTAGTTTATATCACAAATTGGATTATTATGTCAACTTCACACGCTATTGTATGTTGACTGTATGCTCTCCACCAATCAGAGTACTCAGAGTGATTCTAATGTATATAATGTATATCGATTGAATGTTGTCGACAAATCAGATTTTTCAGAGTAAATCTAACGTATAATAATGGACGTAACTGGCGTATCCTTTTATCAGTCGATGAACAGTGTTCTTTCAAACCTAAGTCCACAATATCAGTCAAGTGTTCATGCATACGCCTGATTTGCTCTGAAAAACATTAGTTAGCGATAAAGAGATCTTTCCATTACTACTTGGCAGGTGAAATCATATTTTCATTAACTACTGTACTAAATGAAGACTAAAGGGCACAAGCATGACTAACTGGTACTTACCAGGACAGCCTGTTTCAGTGGATAAAAGCCAAAAAGCTTTTCTTCCACAGGCGAATGTAACATAACATGACAACAGTGCTTGTAACCCTGAAGAGCCAAGGAATTGGCGCGTGAAATAACACTCATACCGCATGGAGCCATTATACAATTACTAACTAGCGACGGAAGCCATCTTGAATTTTTCGTTGGCGAAAAGACTGGGGTGAATTTTCCAGCCCATTTCCCCGGCGGAGCGTCTGGGTTCTCCTTGGTGCAGCAGGTGCTGAACTATACCTTAGCTAGAGGACACATGTAAGAAGAGACTAGATTGCTTCAGGGGTCACCCTATCCAGTGACCCTTCAAGGAAGGTAATCCTTCCCAGTCTCATCATTTCATCTTTCTTTCTTGGGATTAACAGAGTATTTTTTAACGACAGTGAATATATGAAAGTCATATAATTGAACTGCGGATATGAACGTGATCTTCGTGGTAATGAACATTACTTGAGCAGTAGTGAAAATAAGGCCTGAAAAAAAAAATTCAGGCCTGTACAGGATTTGAACCCATGACCTCGGACCAACTCCCAGTTGGCTTGTTAGCTCAGTTGGTATCGCATAGTTCATGGGTACAAATCCCGTACAGGCCTGAAGTTTTTTTTCAGGCCTTATCTACACTATTGCTCAAGTAGTGTTCATGACAGAGTATTTTTTCGGTGGTTTTGATAATCTACTTGGCCTACAGGGTGAAGTGATTAGCCACAAGCCAAACCGCTCACCTGAATGACCAGGGTTTTTCTACCAGGGATTTCTTTCCAGTAGCTATGGGCTCCATTCATTTAAAGGCAAAGGAAGCCCATCTTTCGCGACTTTCGTTCTAAGACTATCAGGGGCTAAAGTAGTGTGGCCGTGCAACATTGCTAGAGCCTATGTTAAGGGGACACTGGTTTCTCCACACGTATAAAGTCAACGATAGTGACACTTAAACCAAATAAAAGTGCTTGGTGGCCAAATCAGCCACCAAATGTAGCTGTGATTTGTAATGTAATCATATTCTCACTGAAATCTTTAACAGAGGACGGAAGACTTCCGGTGCCGAGCCGCAGGAACACCCAATTTCCTCTCGGGGCAATGACTCTCTTCATCGTGATAATCTCTGACGGCCCTAGAACCGCTTGAATGAACTAGAAACACTGAGGTATTGAGTCTCACCTCTCAGCTTCTTATCTCACCCACACTCTTCAATGTTGTTGTGAGTTGTTTATTCAACACAGCAAATTACACAGTACTTAAGGTTTTTTAGTTTTTTGTTTTGTTTTGTTTTTTTCATTTAAAAAATAATAACTCCATGTTAGCGTGTAGAGTTGTATGTTGCTCGCACCGATCAAATCTCCGTATTAGGGTATGTATCTCGCACCAATCAGATTGCCGCATTAGAGTATGTATCTCGCACCAATCATATCACAGCATTCAGATATCATGCACCAATTACAGCGTTTGGGTATTGTTTTCTTGTAAATGATGTCATGGGATTAGGGGGCTGTGCACAAAAATGACAGTAACCAGCACACGCCAAACAACTTACATTCCATCACCTACTACAAAAACAATGTCCAAAGTCCAATCAGAACATACTCAGTCATTGCACTACATGAACATCAGACAATTTTTTACGTGCTTGAATTGTGTTCTACCAATCAAATTCCATTTTGCCATATTAGACTTCGCTCCATCACGTGTCATTTCCTTAACAACCCGCATTTTATCACGTATTCTAATCGCATTACTCAACACCACTGAAAAAAATTCACATGAAATTTTATGTTACTGATAGTAAGTTTTCCATGCATTCTTTTGCGTTTGACTTTTTCTATGAATAAAATTCGCTTTCAGCTACCTTGGAATTAACCCAATTGCGTGTTAATTCCTTCTAAACAACCTGCATCTTATCACGTATTTCACACACAGAGGGTAAAGTCCAGATAGGCAACAACCAATCAAGGAGCCCTCTTTGAAATATTATCCTTTCTCTTGCTCGGTGTATTTTCCCTTATACGAGACCGCAATATATCTTTGTTGAGGGTCTATTGGACATACAGCAGTTCCAGTCTGCTTTTCGCAGTAAAACTACGTGGAATTATATTTTTGAGGCGACTAACTATAGACGAATAATTTTGATTTTCTTTCTGTTAGAGGAACGGCAGTAAGTGTAGGCTCTTTCGCAACCGTTATTTGGTCTCGTCACGCAATGGCCCTCTCTCCAACGGCGAATAGAGGGCGTTGTGCAACGAGGCCAACCAACGGCTGCGAAGGAGACTACAGTAAGCGCGGCACCGGTGCATTTCATTTTTGCTCAAAAGTATTTGGACAATTTCCCAAAAAATTCCTGCGTAAGTTTATAAAAATTGCTTTTTCTCTTTCTCTTGAAGTAAAGTAATGCGATATTTTCGTTCTTTTGAAAGTTATGAAACATTGGGAACACGAAGAGTCCCATCTCGACCTACCCAGCTAAAAAAAATTTCTCTTGCATGCTACGCATCCGACGTGATGCAGACGCGGATCACCGAGAATGTGATTTAAAGCGGGCAAAGTATGAATGGTTCATTACCAAGCTTGCCGCAGCCCAACTGCAATTGCCTACTTCACCCTCTGAAACATCACATTTCGGTGTAAGCTAAAAACCCACATTTCTTCGGCAGTTGGCGAGTCAACATATACCCTATCCTCACTGGTAAGCATACAATTTCTCGACAGCAACCGCAACAATGTGTCAAGTTCGGGGCAAATTATTCAATATCAGAACCTTAATTCCTATGAATTGGGATTCCAACCAGCCTGTTTGAGACAGATGAGCGCAACCACAAAGTTTCCTGCGATAATGTAAAGATTATGAGGAGAAATTTGATCCTGATCGTATTTGGGGCGTAAGGAGTCAACAAAACGCACACATGTGATCTGAACATCATATACTTCCGTGCTACTGCATCATTTACAGTGTAGTTAAATATTTAAAATATACAATTTTATAAGTTAGGAGATGATACTTTGAACTTTGCGCAATTTCATTTAAAAGCCTCGTCTGCAAAATTTTTACACAAATACAGCATTTCATTAAAATAAAGGTATCTATTAACTAGCCCATCAACCGTATTACTTACATCACTACGTCAAAAAAATTCTAATTTTCGCACACAGTGCGTGCCTATGATTGGAGACTATTCATTTCTGAAGACAAGTTAAAAGAAGTGGTCAATGCACAGCATTACTTCAACACGCAGTGCTTCAAAGTCACATATACACTATAAAATAACGTGAAATGATAACAAAATCTTGAAAAATTACTCACGAATTCAAATACACAGATCAGCGATACACACATATAAAACTAACAACATGCGATATCGCACCCGCTTGCGAAGGCATGTTTCTTTTAATTTGTTGACGATTCAGTGAGACTAGTATGGACATTCAAAGTGAATTTAAACATCCGAAGTTTCCTCCTTGTCATATGCGGCTAAAGCGAGATAGGTGGTTTTCTGGTGTCGACAGACAAATGAATATCTAAATACAAATGAATATCTAAACTTGACAGGAAGAAGAGAACACAACAGTAGTATGTTCTTGATGAAAATAAGTCGAAACTAAACAAAGCTTGAACTTTTGCCAAAATTTCTTCAACATTCATTGTCTGCGACAAAACGTTATTTGGTTCATCGGTCATCCAGCAATGAATTTCCTCTCTTTCCTTCTTTAGGTGCCTTTAATTAAGACTTGCAAAAAATCAGAGAGCAAGCAACCTTGACACCTTCCACAATCATATAGAGCCCATTTTTCCGATATATATTTTTCATTTCTTTATAAAATTTTGCAAATGCTTCACGCCCCGAGAAAGCGCTGCAGCAGGCAAATTCATACTCGTATGTTACATTGTACTTCATTTCGAGATAATTTGATAATTTTTTCCATTTCAGTCAATTGCGCCGATATTGATAGAATCATAAAGCAACAGAAACGCTACAAATATCCTCCAGTATAAACACCCTGCTTTCCTATCTTGAGGAATGTGTATGTATATCTACGCACGCTCTAAAATAAATTAAGTCTTTAGCGTGAGATACAACAGCTGGATTTTTCTTCTGTGCCTTAAGCTTCAAGGTGAGCATCCTCTTATTTGAACTGGCCACTTTTCTCTCTCCCTGAGAGTAACATTATCAAACACATTGAGTTGTGTGACCATCCCTGACGTACATCGCGCGAAATTGTGCGTGACAGATATTACAACTTGCACCATGTCTTCACAAAGAGCTCGGAGCTTGGAGAGAAGGCGGTTTTTTCTTGCGTCATTTAGTATCCGGCTACTGCAGTGAAAAATGGCTGGTACGCACCAAATGGACTGATAGGGGTCTCGGGTGGGGCCCCAAAGAAACCGATCTCTGAGTTCATCTTTCCAGCACGATTTAAGGAACAGGGTTCGGATGCACTTCGGTGGATCTTCGGCATAGATCGTATAAGGGACTCTAAAGATCCAAGAACCTGCAAAGGATTGTTTGAAAACTTTATTAGCAAAGCATTGGATCTGCCAACAACTCAGATTATCAACTTGACAATCATACCTACAGCAACAGTTTGAAAAGAAAAACAGCAAAAAAAAGAAAACCGATTATACAAAACCAATGTGTAACAGGTACTTGCAGTAAAGAGAAAGACATGGCTTAAAAAAACTATTTAACAGATGGTAGTTGCCGCTAGAAAAAAACGAACTTAGTAAGTCTGGTAAACAAATGTTGGCTTTAACACTGACCACAAATACTTAAAAAAGATCTATACCATACTTTAAAAATAAAACCAGTATGTATGTAGGTAACAAAAGGATCCGTTGTGTTCCTGACGAAATCAATATCAGAGACGCACCTGAGCTGCGATCATTGTTTTGTGTTCTTAAGAAAACCACTTAACTTAAAAGGTGGCCGTAACCATAAAGAGTGTGTGCGGGCATCCGCGGGTTATACCCTATCATCACTCATACAAGTTCACTGACCTGAGTAAAGAGTGGTCGTTCATCTCTGTTGAACTTGATACAATCTGATAGAAGTTTTTTGAAACTCTTTGGTACGTCTGATCGAAGTTTATTTAAGTCAGGCCTAAGAAAACCTCGACCAACCATGTACAAGATCTGTGCAAAAAAAAAAAAAAAACCAACAAACAAAAAACGGAAAAAAGATTAGCATAAGACAAACCACATTTCCGTTCACTCAAAGCGCATCTGATCAAACAACGAATGTTTAGGCCATCAGTGATTCGTGAAAACGAAGCTCGGCCTGCTGGAAATCATCACGCGAATAAGCCACCATCACTGAGTCACTCATTCTACATTGGCTATTGGCCTGTGGCTATTTTGAGACATGTTTCTTAATTCCTTCTTCTCCTGGCTTCTCTGTGTGAATGTGCGACTGTCTCTGTGTCTCTATGTAATATGCACGAGCCTATCACACGTGGCACCGATAATGAGCAGTGATAACGTGCAATCCACAGAAAACAATCCTACTATTTTCTCTTGGTGCTTCAAAATACCCAGGAATAACCACGATATGTCAGAAATTACATGCAATTGGAAAACTCGCTCATAAATTTAGTGATATACGAACCTGATCTTTATTTCCTACGTGGGGATAGGGTAACATACTAGTTTGTAGCTCGTAAAGTACAATTCCATAAGCGTAAATATCAGAACGGAATGAGTAAGGATTTGGATCCTGCATTCGAACCACTTCAGGCGCCTGCAATGAAGATTGAAAAACCTCACGTTTAATTGAAAACAAGTTCCTTCCATAACTTCGTCTGAAAACATATCAACCGACACAGTAAATGGCCCTTCAAGAAAATTAAAGCAAACATTAAATGTAGAAGGCAGGTATTGAATCGACGACACTTTTGAGCTGCGTTAATGGCAAGTCAGACAATCCGCTCATGTAATAACGGTAACTGATAAGCAAATTCTCAACCTGGAAGAGGTGTGGAGAGCCAGTTCTCTTAACCTTGCGTTTGTGACGACAAAACATCCCAGTTTAATATCATTGTAATTCAACAGTCGACGTTGTCTGAGACTATACCGAGCACCCATACTGAAATGACTTTTCGCGATCTTTGCATCGCTCTTGCTTTATTTCATTAAGGATGTACAATCCTGAACATAACTCTTATGGCTCAACCCTCTTCCCTTTCAGCTTTGTCTCTTTGATTCTACTGTAATCCATCATAGGGGAGGGGGGGGGGAACAGGATGCAGGAGGGGAAGTGGAAGGCTTGATCACTTTCACAACATCGACAAGGGTTACCCACAATACAATGATAGAGAAGTAGGAAGTATGGACATTTTGAGTGTGAATTAACTTTAAAATGATGCAAAAAGGTTAAATGCGAACCTTTCATATCCCGACCTTGATCGACAAGGCTATCGCGAAAACCACAAACCATTACACTTATCAACATTAGCCCAAATTTATGGTTTATGTCATTCTTTGTGTACAGCCCCCTGATTCCTTGACATCATTTGCAAGAAAGCTGTGATATGATTGGTGCGAGATGCATACCCTTAACGCTGTGATTGGTGCAAGATATCCAAATGCTGTGATATGACTAGTGCGAGATACATACCCTAATGCGGCAGTCTGATTGGTGCGAAATACATACCCTGATGCAGCAATCTGATTGGTGCGAGATACATACCCAAATGCGGCGATCTGATTGGTGCAAGCAACATACCACTCGACATGATAACAGAAAAAAAAACCTCAAAAACAGTTCAAGAACCTACCATCCACAGAATGGATCCGGATGGTTGTTCGAAATTCTGGTTCCCACTCCACCGTGATTTGATAGTCGCTAAACCAAAGTCACCTATTTTAACTGTCAAGTCCTCCTGTAGAAAAATGTCTGTAAAAAGCTAAGGATATCACGACAAAAATCGACAAAATAACAGTGACGCCACAACCCAAACCTAACTGACTTCTAAAAGATGTATTCTGTTATTATGTTTGACCATTTGGTGCGCCACTAGTTTTTTCACCTGTCCACTGGGTAAAGTAGTGACGCAATAGGGAGAAACTATAACTAGTCATAGAGTGAGACTCATTAAAGAAATTGAAACGTCATGACAGAGAGGTGTCTATTAACAAAGGATACTATTTGACTTGAGATCTCTATGGATTATAGACTTCGCGTGAAGATAACTGTGGATAAAAAAGATATCCATCAGTGCAAAGCTAAAACCCTTAACGGTCCATGTCTCACAATTGCAGAAATGGGTTAGAATGTAGAGGGGAAATATCCCCTCTATAGAGAGGATAAAATTAATTTACTGACACCTTCTTCGAGCAGACGCAAGGAGCAGTGATGTCCAAATCGTTCCCGGTAGACTGTGCAGCCGAACCTCTGAGAACCAGCTGGCAAGCTTCTCGTAAATTATTCTTACGATAAGTATTTATCATTATCAAGAGCCAGAAAGATCAACACTATTAACAGTTTCACAATCAGCCATAAAAGACGGCGATCACCTCTGGAAATCGGTATTAGGAGTACAATCTAAGGCTATGAACTGTAGCAACTACAAAAAGCTCTATAATGACACTCTCCTCGATTCACCCACTCCTAGATCGTATTTACCATAGATACCAACTATTTGAAGCATAGAAAAATTAAACTTACTCCATTCCCTGTGCTGTTTGTCTCGCAATGTCCAACAACTGTAGAACTTCAAATTTACTTTCTGTGACATGAAGATGACGGTATAAACTGGAGCCTTCACACCATTGTGTCACAATCGCTAGTTCTGGTTTGGCCATACAGCCCATAAATAACAGAATGTTGACGTGACGCGTTTTCCTGCGGAACAAGATCGAGTATCAGATAAGAACACAATAACCCTAAGCCATGATCAGAGAAGATAAAACGATTTACTATGCATTACGGAAGAGAGGAAAAAAAAAGAGTATTCTGGGGAAATACTGGGAAAACTAATTTAGCAAGGATGCAAAAATAAAATTTATACGATCGTACTTCACATATTTACTGACTTTTGTCTTTAACCTTAATTGCCATTTCACTCACGGTTAAAGTATTATACTGTAAGCCTAAAAACGCCTGAATCATATTCGAAATTTCACTTTCACAGCTTAAAAAAACACCTAACTGAATAATTCTTATTGGAGGGCTGATATCAGTTTTCCCGTCCAGTTTCACATCAATTTTTAGCTTCAGCGGCAAATTTAACGAAGGCTGGAATGTTATCGGCATTGATTGACGCTGTCTCACAGGATAGACCAAGTTACATCTCCGTACTCACCTCAATACTGCTACCTCGTTCTTAAATCCTTGTAACTGTTGAGGGCTTGGTTCCGACACATTTAACGTTTTAATAGCCACTGCCCCTAAAGATTCAAAACAAAGCAACATCATACAAAGCCTACACAAGTACGTGTAGTTGTCTACTGATTCAACAATACCGATTCCATGGACTATAGTGTGGTTTCAACAGTGTGTGAGTGCTCTGCACGATGTTAGTTATCAGGATGTAATAGACGTATTAAGGCATACCATGCCATGTCCCTCTGTAAACCGTTCCATATGAACCTGATCCTATTCTCGGTCCGCGATGAACTTCACCTTCTGGGATTTCCCAGTCGTCTGTGGAGTTAGTTCGCATGCGCTGCATCTTAAAAAAAGAAGCATGAAGTTCTATTTGTAGTTGGATTTCAAAACAAGGATAACCACCAGCCATCGTCAAACGATGCAATTAACTCCACAATCAAGAAACTAACAGAAATTTACACAATTTTAATTACGTCTATCTTCAAAAAGCTTGTGATAACAACAAAAAATGAACAAACATTATTTCTTATTTTTTACTTAGCTGCAAAGCAAGTTAATACATGTTTCTCTCCTCGAGTACTCATTGAAAATGTATCAGGTTTTCATGTTCATCTCTTCTCCAATTCACAAAGTAATTCTCCCACTCATGTATTTCTTATTTCTTATTTAGTTATTCAATAATTTATTTGCTTGATTATTCATTTGCTCCATTATTCAATTTTTCCTGCATCATGGACACCTCTACAATTCTTTTCTGAATTGACAACCTATTCACAAGGGGAGTAGTGGTACCCCAAGTCACTTCACTTCATTGAAATCAGGACTCCAGCAATATGGGTCATCTTGAAAGCAGACTAAACCCTAATCTTCCTCATACAGTCTTCTTGAGAAGTGATTGTTGAACTTACCGATTTCTTGGGTTTTTGAGGGCTGGAGGGTGAGTGGCACATTACAGTGCCATTTGGTACAGACTTCGCAATAGGGTGCTCTATCCTGTTGGTGTGCTCATTATTTGGCACTAAGGAATTGTTGGCGAACAATCTTGGATTGGCATTACCAACACTTGAAGTCCGGCTGTGTCTCCTCAGCAGTAACTTGCTGGCTTCAACCGCTGCAGAAACATTATTCGCAGTTTATAAATTACCACAACGTTGAATACTTTACTTCAAAAAGCTAGACACAGGATAAGATTTAACCATAAAATGAAGAGAAAAAAAGCTGGTTTGTAAACAGAAGAGCATGAATAATTGACACCGGTTTTTAGCACATTTGCAAAATAGCCATGAGACAAACTAGACTACTATTACCAGAATAGGGTAATTTAGTATCATCAACTGAGTTGATAACGTAAACTGGCCACCGTAAAGAGTTTAAAAGCTGACCTTTCAAGCGTTCACCCTTCTTAATTGCTCTGACGAAGGGCTAACGCTCGAAAGGTCAGCTCACGTAATCAACTCAGTTAATAATATTAAATTACCCTGTTATATTCTCCCACCGACTAAGAACCACAGTTTCTTTAGAAACTTACCCTTTTATTCTGTTATCAGAATAGCCCTAACCCTAAGCCTAAGCCTCTACCCTACCACAGGATTCTTACTTGATACTGTTGGTGAACTCTCCTTGCCAAATGTGGGAACAAATGGTCCGCATCGATCCTATGGATGAAAGATAAAACATAAATTTTACCAAAACGACAAACAAAGTTGTCTTACAGTGTGTAAAGACCTGGTAATTGAGACAACTACTGAGAAAGCTGCATGTTTTGTAATATGCTACCAGAAAACCTTTTCACTACCATCTTCAGTGTCGAACGCACAGCTTGCATGCAAGGCTGTGGTCAGCTGCAATGTGTTAAATATTCAGGCCTCTGAGATACCGATGCAGCACTCTACAAACTGAGCTAACAAGCCAACTGGAAGCTGGTTATTATGTTGATTCATATAAACCCTCAAAGTGGTGAATAAATGACTGTAAATATATGAAAATCATATAAATGTGAACTGCGATTGAAGAAACGAATATGAAAACGATCCTCGCAGTTATGAACATATGATTTTCACATATTTACAGTCATTCATAGTTTAATATGTTGAAAACTACATGTATGAATACACCACCACATAAGCCCCTTCTTGGTTCATTTCTAATTAGTTATCACACTTTTATTCAATAATTTAAATATAAACATACCATGTGTGGCAAAAGTGATAAACAAAATAATCTCGTAATTCATCTCTATTGAGTAAATTAAATTTCCCCAGCTTTTCCCCCAAACAATATTGCAAGAATAAGTGATCATTTTGCAAAACCAGGCAACACTGAAATGGAGAAGAGGGGGAAATAAATAAAAAATACATTGTATAGGGAAAAAATTAAAAAAAAAAATAATAGAGCTTGCCAAAACTTTGCCACTCATTGCAATTCTATAAATCAAGCAGTTCTCCAAACCTCATTTAAATGACCTTTTCCACTTGTGATTCTATATCTGTAAACATCTGGAGCAGATATTGAACGTTCTCTTGATTTGGAAAATACTTCATTTGCTGCCATGTCCGACCCATTGTCCTCTACATTAAAGAAGTCAAATTGTTTCTCTGAGAGTAACCTAAAATGTAAAAACAGGAATTTACTACATGTACCTACTATGCACAACAGTAGAACCCACCAACTTGAACTTTGTCAACAAGGAACTTGAACAAGATCCAACTTCCCTTGACCCCATTTGTTCACTCATGTATTATCAGCTAACTCAAAACCCTGCTAACTCAAACCCTTTTTTTTTTGTTTCCCTTGAGAGTTCAAGTTGACAGGGTCCTCCTGCATTACCCACAGTGAGGATCTATTTTGAGATATGCCATAGTTATGGTAAAAAGATAAGTGTGACCCAAAAAAACAAAATAAAACAAAAAAAAACAAAAAAACACATCAATGTGATCAGTGCAATTTAGCAGAATATGGTGATAAATGAAAATATAATGATAATTTCCCTTATTCTAAGTACATTGGATAGTTTGTTTCCATTTTTTTTGTTATTCAATATAGTAAGAAAAACTGTAACTGGCAAGAATTTGAGCAGAAACAGAGCTAGAGAATGTAGAAAAAGCAGGCCATAACATTCCTCCCACAACAAAATCAACTCACAAGACCCTACACTGAAAGAAAAAAATTAACAACAGAGTCTTTAACTTTCCTCTTAATCAGCCAATTGTTGAGCATATGAATTCCAAGATGCTCTACATACATAAATGGATGAAATTCATGTATTTAACATTATTGTGTTTTGCTAAGGAAGATGACATCATAGCCACTGGACACAAACAAAAGCCATGGCAGATCTTCAGGTCGTGACACCTGAGTGAAAGGTCAAAGAAACCTATGACCCACCCCACCATAGACAAATTGAAACTGCAACAATTTGCCTTGAGAAACATGGAGGGAGTGTGTGAAAAGCATGGTCTCTACAACAGAATTTGTCCCTACAATCAATTACAGGAGTTCAACCCAGTTTGAATTAGAGCCATAGATCCACTGATTGAAAGGGCATATACTGGTAATACAATTTTCAATCATAGTCCTACAAGACACATTATTGCAGTGCAGCATTTATCCCAGGAACTTGTTGCCCTGTTTTCACTGATTTTCAATAACTTTCTTAGTGGTGTCTAATGAGTGGACATTGATGTGTTATGGAGTGAAGTCTCTCCTTCACAACTTTCTTAGCCCACTATCTCCACATCCCTAAGATCTGTCTCTGTTACTGGCCTATAGTTTTAGTATGGCAAAGGTGAATGCAAGATTATAAGTGAATCAGTCAAGCAAAAGAAAACTTTTGATATATATCAGAAAACTACATGTGTATATATATGTATGGTGGATATCCTTGTGATATAGAGCAGAGAGATACAAAAATAATAAAGGAAAAGCCACACCATCCTCAAACTAACAATTTCAAATTATTCCATTTTTCCACCATCCAATCAAACCAATACATACACATGTCTTCCTCCCTAAGTAAAGACAGTCTACAATTACTGCTAAGAATGAGTAAGACATTACAAAAACCTTTGTTTTGCATTTACTACATTACTAGCTAAGATGTCATTGGATACAATCATGATCTCCACAAAGGTAAGCATAATATTATATAGAAATAATAACATAACAATAATAATAATAATAATAATAATGATAATAAAAATAATAATCATAATAATCATAATAACAATAAGAAATTGCGAGTGGCTTGTTTGCTAATTAGTGCTCATGGGTATTGTTGCTCTTCAAGAGCAAATTAAACTATTTACCACAGCACTTTAAAGTCTCTCATAAAAACAAATTGCCAGATGTAGACACACAATATTCAAATTTTATTTTGCAATGATTTTGGTTATCTGTCACAAATTTCCTTGCACTAATTTACAGCTTAGATTGCACAAGGGTCATACTTTATCATAAAGAGAAAGAACACTTTCAATTTTAAATCTTTCTATTCATGTACCACAATGCAAATTAATCTGGTCTGGAACTAATGAAAAACATTTGAAATAAAAATTACATTGCTACAGGCAGGCTGCCTTCTCAAAGCCTTGTTTAGCTCGATCAGCCTCCTTCCTTTTCTATGATTCCTGACAAAACCATGCACAGGACAACACCATGATGACCACTGATGCTTTTCTTGAGATGTGCAGAACTATTTTCCATACATACAACCTATCCTAAAATATCCGACTCACTCAAGAGTCAAATACCTACAGTAGTTTAACCTGCATACAATGAAAGAAGTATTCCCTTTCCTTTAAATATAGCCCCAAGGGCTCTTGACCATTGTAACTTAAATTTGAAATAATCACTCATAAAAAACTTGAACTTTTACCAAATAATTCTCAAACTAAATCATATCCATGTACTGTGAGTGCACTATATTTGAGAAAACTGTAAATTTAAAAAATAAGTTATATTAAAACTCACCCTACGAAAGCTTCCTCACAATAGGGAGGAATCATTGCTGCACACCTTTGATGGAATTTGTAACCACATTTCTGACATCTATGATGAAAAAACCAAGATTTATTTATAAAATGTCAATTGAAAAACAACAATGTCAAATGCTAAAAATAAAAACTAAATGAATGTGACTGTTTTACACAATACAAGCACAATGGTCGAAGTATCTGCTGAACTGAACAAAGGATATCCAGTACACCGTACAATGCCAAAATGTGAGGAAAAGTGAAAGCCTTTCAATGAATTGAAGTGAAAAAAAATGAAAGGACTGTTTACCTGTATCCAATCCATAGACGCTGTTTACAACAGTCACAAAATGGGAAAGATAAAAATGTTTTCTTGGCCTGCAAAAAATATTGCATTGATTAGTCTCATTAGCACTGGTAACATCCCTAACCCAGTTTGTCTTGATTATATGTAAAATCTCACACTACAATTTTTCTCCATCTCTTTACTTGAAAATATACCTAAAATATTGATTATTGCACAGCTTAAGTTTCCTGTAATAGGCCATTTTACAGCTGTGTACTTAGTTGCCAAGCCTTTGATTTGGAGTGAGGCTGAAGGTCACCTTGTTGTGATAGAGACAAGAACCTAGTTAGCATTATAAAATTAGTAATTTGCATTTGAAAAGTAGCAAGGTTTGTATCATAAAAAGGTTAACCTTGGCCTCACGCCTGTTCCAAGGCTTGGCAACCATGCACACAATTGTAAAATGGACTATTATGCTGATTTTAATTCTTACTTCTCTACAACCAACGATTATTATAACAAAGCATACACTCAAGTACTACTTAATTCCTAAGGAGTTACCATGGTAAAAATCCTTATGCATGCACAACTGTTCATGTGCAGTTTCACTTCAACTAAAAGTTCCCGTCGAATCACATCCCAGTAACTTAACAGGTCTCATACATGCAAGAAATTCATAAGTTTTCACTTTGCTTTTTGAATGGCTAATATTATTTTTTAGTGTTGATATTTCATAAAAGTATCACACAATAGGAGATTTTAATTTTAAAACCATACAGTTTCAGAATTTTCAAAATTTTTAAACTATGCAATTTTCTGGCTGTGAACTCAAGCAAACAACAATTAAAGTGTGCTACTGTACATGGTCTTCTACATGCAAGAAATTTGCTTTTTTTTTTGCATCAGAGCAGAAAATTAACAAATCTTTGAATAGAGATTGGTCACAAAATATTTCTTGGTCATTTCTGCCTTGGCATTTATGTGTAGTTTTTGGGTAGAACATGATTACTAGGTAAAACCAGACACAGTTGTTCAAGTAGTAAACTCTTTTTTTTTTTTTTGTTTTGAGCACAACTTGTCTGAATGTAATGTTATAAAAAAATTGGTTTGTGTTTTAGCTCTACATATATCAAGTTATGGCTGCACTTGGGAGGTTTGGAGAACACTCAAAAAGCAATTCTCTAGTGCTATCCAAACTCCCTGTATGCATCCATAACTTGATGCACACATGCTATGCATGGACGGATTCTTAACTATTGGCAGGAAAATGATGTATTTAGAATTAACTGTTATCCAGTACATATCACACTACAAAAGGATAAAACCAAAAACAACAAAAATTATTAAGACTTACAAAACAGTGGTTAAACTGGCCAGTTTTCGGAAGATCATCAATTCTCTCAACTGATAGCTGCAAAGATGATTAAAACAGTTTGTTAGCAACATGCAAAGGAACATTCTTGCACATGCAAAGGGTTAAACACGTGTAACAGTTTCCAAATTATTCAGATCTTGAACTTCAATAGCAGAAAACTACTATCAATGTTTCTTTTTTTTTTTCTTGGCCTCAAGGAACAGGTTACATGAATGGTACATCAGATAAAACAGTTGATGTATGTAACTACATGTATCATTCTAATCCATTTGCCACAGATTTCCAAAATGCATTTATTCACCCTTTGTAACTGGCACCCTTCACAACTACTAATTGCAAGCAAATTTCTTCTAAACAGGTCATTTTCTTTACATTATTACTCTCAACAACCTGCAGCTTGAGATATTTTAACCGCTGGCTTAAAATCAATGTTACTATAAAATCCAACCAGAGCTTTCCAATTAATGAGGAAAAGTACTGGCAATAATCCTCAATAAGAAGTCCATTTGGAATCTTCAAAACTCTTTGAGTCTCTTTAGAAACAATTACATTTGAAAGAAAAGAAAGCAAAAAAATTAAAGCCCTTCCATGAAAAATCTTTCACCATTTTGATTTTAAAATGTTGGCATTGTTACAGACACTTGTGCACATAGAACTAATTGATGGATGTTATGCCAGTCAATTTTTTCAAAGTTTAATTCATGAAAATTCCCCTCCATGTGGACATGGAGGGAAACTAAAGTTTTCTTATAAATAATTAATATTCTTTCCTGGGGTTACCTCTTCTCCATCCATGAAGTTTGACAGTTCAGTGTCCCACCTAATAATATCTCTGTGCAAAAAACAAAATTAATTCACAGAAATTAGTTTGTAAGTTCTAACCATGTTAAAGTTGAGAAGAGAGGAGCTTTACATAAAGGTGGAGAATGGTGCAGCAAGTACAGTGTATGCATGGGTAATTGTGAAGAAGAGCCAGTTTTTAACCCATTTTTCTTTTTTCTTAACCTGTCGGTAACCTGTTGGTTAGCTGTCGGTAGACCATGTTTGACCGAAGTTTTTTTGAGATGTATGCATGTCTGCAGATCTAGACTTTATTTCAGCAATTGTATCTCACTAGCAACAATGAATTTCCACCTGGAGAATGGTGCAGCAAGTACAGTGTATTCTTTTGGTTTAAGGTTATTGTATCATGGTATAATCACAGAGCTGCCAAAAATAGCAATTAGCCCACCAAAACCAACAGTATGTAGCCCACCAAACCAATGGCAAGTATGCCATCTTTGGCCAGCCACTTTCAACTCATTTCAACATAATTGCTGATGAAAAATGGTACAATTATTGAGACTCGGTCAGAGTACTTTGTACATCTGTGGAATTGGAGTGGAGTGGAATTGAATGCGTAATTTACTAGTAACAAGTCTAAATGTGTGATTCCTCATTCAGATTTTGCTTGAAGGTTTGTGAGCACTTCTCTGAAAGCTATGAGACTGCTTAGCTGAATAGTTCCCATAAATACATGTAAACTAACAAAACAACATGGCATCCACTACAAAATTGCCACTTTAATTATTCCTTATTTGCCCTCTAGGTACTTTGAAACTTATTGAAAGCCCTGTTGTTGGAAACTGTTAGGTGGCCCCTGTTTAAGTCCTTTCATTGTAATGGCAACCAAGATTCATGGTGACCATATCAAATTTGATATCTCATAAAAATTCATAACTAGTTTAATTTTGTCATCAACTAACAACCTGGAACTCATAATTGCTTTTCCATTCACTGGACACCAACAGCAAAGAAATGAGCCTTTATGGTGACTCTGCTCACAAATATATTAAAAATGTAATTGTGAGAATCTTTTACTTCAGGTGATCAACTCACTTCAAAATCTCTTTTCATTTTAGTTTCCTCTTTTATCAAATGATGAGTGATGTTAAAAAACGATTTCTAAAACTAGGTAATTTATTACAGTACTAAATCATTATGTGTATTGATGTTTTAGAGAAGGTAAATGTCCCTGAGACAAATGTTTAACAACAGTACACCACACTACAGTATATCTAATACAAACATTATTGACAGTGTGGCTGAAATGAAAGTTGACACTCCCTCAAGCCTCAAGGCTCTTGCAATTCATTAACATTGACTTCATTAAATTCCAAAGCTTATCCTTCCATTTTCAACTAATGTGTCTTTTAAATGTTACTTTGGTTAAAGAATTTGTTTTCATTTAACATCTCACTAATTTCTGAACTTGTTCAAAAAAAGATAGACTGCAATCAACAAACTCCTTGCAGAATGAATCCTGTTGTCTATTGTATAGCTTAATATGTTAATTTGATAATATTAGAGAGCTCATTTTGAATCTTCAAACTTGTTTTATCGTATTTCACTAAACATGTCATATACAATGTAAGTTTCACACCCTTTTAGGTTGTGCTGTCTTTCCATGGTTAGACTGTGAGCCTTGAGGAGTAATACATATATAGTTCAGTGAGATTTTTTGTGTTTGTGTTGTAAGGTGAAGACAATTTCAAACTACAGCATAGGTCAGTTTTCTCTTTGAAAAAAAGAAAATACAAAACAAATTCATTAGAATTCATTTTGACAAACCTAAATACATTCCCAAAATAAAGTTTTTGAGACATCAGACAATGGCATTATGCCAGCTGGCCACTAATCAATGTTTGTTTTGTAGATTATTAAGTACTTGTTACAATGAAAGGGTTTCCTTTAAAAAAAAAAGTTTGTCAGATGAAGTACAACTTACAGAAGAAATGTATGAAAAACTGTTGAAAAAATTTGTTTTTGTTTGTATTATTACCAGCAGTGAGTCTTGGTTGCAAGGCAGAGACTATTTTTCAATACAAAAGAGAAGAAAAATTGTTTTATAGTCCTACTGACTAAGCTCAGTAGTTCGAATGTGAGTGTAATAGAGATATGAAGGCATTTTCTGTCTGTTATTAGCTTCACAGGAAGCCACTTCAGTCTAGTGGCAAAATGGAAAGTATGGAATTTGTTTTCATACTTTTCAATCAAGTTATGCCGCGATAAAAGGAGGCAGAACATCAAGCACTCTGTTATCATTTATGTCCTACATTCAAAAATTAAGCTGTATTCTTTATATCCTGACATCAAGATCCTCAAAACATTTGATCTTCTAAAATTGAAACTAAACATTCACAACTCAAGTCCTCAATCTCAAAACTTTTGAGTAACAAGGATCAAGTTTCAAGTCAGGAATGTCAACTTACATTTCAGCTGTACTGTAGGTCAGTGTTTTACAAACTGATAAATGATAAGGTCATTAGTGGTGTACGTGCATAACGTCAAAACTCACCTAGTTTGAAAATTACATATTAAACAAGTCTCTGGTGCTAGACCTCTTGTTCTCATTCCTTTATCTAATGCTTCTCTCAGCGTCACGTCTGGTTTGCACTTAACCTTAAAAAAACAAAATACTCTGTAAAATCTGCAAAACACAGGCTAGCAATTTTTCCTTACCTGTGTTACAAAATGAACATCTGCAAATCAGAATCACTAATCATCCCTTAAAGTTTCGTGAGGCACTCCGTGACTATTTACTGTGTTGTGTGTGCGCCAGACTATTTTGGCCACCTGGTGGCCACAGTATGGGGCCAAAAAAACAACTCAATTTGCATTAAGTCCATCAAATCAGAACATTTGGTAAACCACTTCAGCAACCATGTGGTCATAAAAGGGTAACCAAGAGGGCGAGCATTTTTTTGCAGTGATACGCACTGGGTGTGTTTTTCGCATTAAATGGGTGGGAACTGCACAAGCATCAAGCATGCAAAATTTTACAAGTACAATGCACATGAATGATACTGTAGCTCTCAAAATGTTGAATAGACAGTGCCGAGAATTCTATAATCTTTCCAAAGAGAAATTTTGAACACAAACTGAGAGAAATATGCTTTTAAACCATAATTCCATTTTACAACAAATTAAAGGAAAAATGCTCAAATTTTCAAGCAAACTATTGCTCTGACTATTGCAGTAAATGTAATAGAGCAATGAACAAAAGCATGCAATTTCTTTGTACTTCTGCACAATACTGTATACACCACAGTGCATTGTCCTTTACCCGTTACAAAACTATTTTAATGAAATGTTTAATAATGCAGATTATCCTTTAAAAATACACAGAAATCCCCTTCCAATAGATCAATACACTATCTTTGACTTCTGCCAACTAATCAAGAGCAGAAGTCTATGGTTATTCAATGTAATTGTATTAATACAAAAAAAATAATAATTTCAGGACACAATAAAGTTCCTTATGATTACTTCCAACAAAAGTTAGAGTCTTTGTTCCCCATAACAATAAACTACTAACAGCCTAAGGACCAACTATCTGAAAGTTTATTAGTTTACAAATATTGCAGCCAAAATAAATTCCCTGTCCCCTATTACCAAGACTTGCATGTACATTTAGTTGAAAGGGGTTGAAATAATTACTAATGCAAGTTCTCAGTTGCTGAATATTATTAGTAGTTATGCTTTCATTCTGAGCAGGGATCTTGCTTTTCCATTTCCTTTCCCATTTTCCTTTGCTTCACTTCCTAAGGGGATGCAATCTAGTTTGTATTCTGCTGTAACAATTTCATGCTGTCCAGTTTTTAAACACACTATAACTCAAATGACAGAAAACTTAGTGTAACATCTAAGCTGTTGAAGCAAAGTAATAGCAAAACATAAAAGACCTACAACCACTGGTAACTCTCATTCACCCTCAACAGATACAAGTACCTGGTTAACTTTCAAAAACACCACACACATTTTATAAATTTACATACCACTGTGTACTGATGATTAGGGAGTCTCACTCTTATGTGGGCACGGAGAGGAGGTGAAAATGGGTGATCACTTCCAGTAAAACTACTTCTTGAACTTGGTATTGGTGATGTAGCACCAGATGAAGATGGGGTTGTACTATGGGGGCTGGGCTCTGCAGATGAAGTTGAGCATGTTGCTGTTCTTCTCTCCAATAGGACCTTTTCTCTTGTTGTTAACTCAGTAAGTCTTTTCTGCAAGTCCACATATTCCTGAATAAATAAACAAAATATCAACTTGAAATAAAGTGGTAAGTTGTGAAAGTTAGGACACTAATCAGCAGCACAGCATGATGATAACATTGGTCAACAGACTTAGTAAAATGGTGATTCAAGTTGTAATCGGTTTTATGCTATTTGATCGACGTACGTAATTGTAACTCAGAAAATAAGCAGAGAAACAAATTTAATCGCTTAGAAGCAGAAAATCCATTTAACGAACACATTCTGTTACGAACGCAAATTTACGCTCCCGCAAGATATCGTATAGATAAGCCAGTGGCGACTAAGAAGAGAATACTGGCTAATTACCTTTTATCACTAGAATTGTTTATGAACTCAAATCGACATAAACAGATTAAGCCATTTCTCACGTCCGCACGATTCCTTCGAGAACGGAATTGTACCGTATGTCAATTCCCTGGCACCAAAGCATCACAGCAACACAGAAAAGTAGATTAAAAGAATTAAGACCAAACCATGTCGCATAATATTTTGCGACGTACAATGTTGAAGACATTACGAACACAATGCGAACAATACCAATGTTGATGATCAAAATCGAAAAACACAAATTTCTTTGAGAAGTTCTCATCGGCTGCTCTCAAACGGTGATAAAATGTAACTGCGACCAGTGAAAATTTTTAAAGAGGTAACACACCAAAAAATCAAAATTAACATGTTCGTCAATCAGAGCTGGCAAACAACAACAAATCGCCGATCTATTGCTCGAGCGGTGAACTTGATTTCTTGTTCGACTTTGTCAAATATCATGACGAGCATTTCTAAATAAATATTCAATCAACCTAACGGATGGTCGAAATTTCAAAATCTTATCGCTCACCAAGTTTACAATGCGTCAAAAAGCAATGACTTCATTTCTCGAAAATAAATACAAATAAGATTGCAGACCATTGCGTCTAGTCTGTGACTCACGCACCAAGCAAAACAACATCAATCGTGCAAGGAAATAAACTGTAAATAAAATTAAATGATTTCGTAGAGTAGTTATATAGCAGAAGGAAAAAGCTAAAATTATGTGTATTAATTCATCGCTTGCAATTTGAATTTCTCGTGGCCGAGATTTCGATTCATATCCTGGCTGACAAATTGAGATAATACTGCAAAACGTTTTAGTTTTAACAGAAAATGCAAATACGCTTAAATAAAGAATTTTTCAGACTGATGGCGGTTGCTACAGCTTAAACTATTTCGAGGATGTTTCTCTATCGGTGCTTTGTAGACAAATTTCTGATTATTTTCTGCGTGCAACCCAGTGAAAATTGTCACCCACCTCCAAGAAAATCGACGGAGGGTGCTGGACATTGATAACCTGTCCTTCTATCTTGTGTAGATTTTCCTTCGTAAGCTTGATCACCTTTTGTAAGCTATTAACCTGCAAAGGATTTGGAAAGACCGAATGTTGGTAAGATTGCTTTCGTCGATTAACAATTAGCTATTTCCATATTACGCACCATACCACCAAAACAAAACAACATTTGCTCGCAAGCTCTGCACGAAAACCCAAATCGACCACAAAAAAGCTGCAGACAAGCTCGCCAAAGCTTTGCAGTCGTCTCTTTGATATCGACAACAGTTCAGAAATTACCTCCACTTCGTGATTCGTGCAATCTTCATCGAAATCAGCAAAATCGAGCGTGTGTTGGGAATCCACAACCGCCATGATAATTTCTTTTCAGGTAATGATTCATGTCACGTGATAGGAATTTTCGATTTCACACTGAACACGACCCTAAAGAACTCTGGGAAGAGTTTTGGATGGTAGTCGTGGTTACGATAGAGGTTGTTACAAATCTGGGAAACTAACTATTCCTTGCACACGATAATCATTTTGTTTGAAAGGAAGATAAGAAATCGGCTTAAAAATCCTCCATAACTCCGGTGAACTTCTTGCAATCATTGATCATTTTTGCCGGGATTTCTAGCGTTAAAGAGGTGTAAACGTGTCGTGCTTGAAAGCGACGACATAGTCCTTTCTGAACACAAAAATTATAATAAAACCCTTAGATTTTTCATCGACACTCTTGTGGAAAGCCTTAGTACATTCAAGTTTTAACAGGTAAAAAATTAAAATCCCTGAAAAGAATTTTGAAAGGAAAATTAATACGTGAAAAGAATATCGTTTTGATTGCAGATTCACTGGTCAATTAATAGCATAACAAGTAGTCATCGTTTTAATGACCCCTAACTCTTCACATATTTTTCTCCTTTTCTCCCCACTAGGTTTCTGTAGGAGAAGACTCATAAAAACGCAGATAAATCTGGATATCTCGGTTTATCTGTAGAAGGTATTATTGAAAATAGGATCATCAGATCATAGATGGCGTGTTTGCTTTGCCATCATTTAAAAGAACTCAAAAGAATTGTGTTTATTTTCCGTGAATTACTCAAACCGGTTACAATCTCCAACCTTGTAGCATCTTAGGAATCTTTTATCCTTCCACGCTATATCAGTTTGGATATCATCTGTTGAGACACCGAAACTAACTCTACTCAAGCAATCAAAGACTCGTCTGCATTCAGTCAAGAATATTTTCGACACGAAATCATAACATCTTCCTTAAACTTTCTTTTAAATAAACCACTTAAAAACCATGAAACATCAGCATATGGGCTAAGAAGAAGTAATAGTAAAAAAATGCAACCCGAATCTCTCGATCAATGAGTTGCTATAAAAACTACGAGTCGAATTTTCCAGTTTTTCTCGCCTCTTCTTTAGAAACAAATATTTAATTAAACTAATAAGCTTTTTTGTTCCCAAGTCAGACGCACAACCGCGGAAAGAAATATTAACCATTATAGAAGAGCTTGAAAACTGAGAAGGGGCTAAAACTCAAAAGTATGTTGGAATGACGCAAAGGCCAAATTTTTAAAAAACCTTTATGGTGAGTGTAGATAATCAATAAAAAATACGTAACTTACGACTGGTAGGATCGAATTGTCCAATCATGTCATTTGTCGAATCATACCACACAGAAAACTAAGTTTCTTTTTTTTTATTTCAGTAAAATACTGAGTGACATTTCTGATCGATGATAGATTCATAGACCCATTCTTGAGTCTAAGAATATTCGCCGTCCACCTGAGCAAAAAATATTCAAGTTAGAAATTACAATTAAGCAAGATCAAGCGTCACCACACACATTACTGGTGTAAAAAATATATATATATTCCAATCAGTAACCTTTAAACGTCTGTAAAAGTGTATTTAAGATGAATTTTTTAGTCGTGATTGATTCATACCTATCAATTTCAAAGAATTAATTTTGATTGTGACAGGAAGTGCGAATTTCCTCCTCTCTTATAAACCTATTTGTTCAGAGGCTCGGCGGAAATAAACGATCTTCAACATCAGTTACTTGAAGAAGATAAAAGCAACAGTATTTTATGAAATTTCCTGATTGACTTTAATGACAAAAAGAATCCTTACTGAGGAAAAATCCTAAGGCTCAAGGGCAAAAAAACGTTTTTAGCACCATAACCGCACACTGCGTAAATCAGACAAACTACCGGTTTAGAGATTTAACGAACGTAGTCGAACTACACCAAGTCGAGAAAACGAATGAAAAACTTTGAAACAGCGGCTAAAACATCCGCTTTCTACGGTCTTATATTGGCATTTAGACTATTACCTCCCACGTTGTAGAGGTTTGAGGCCCATGCAAGTTTCCACTTACCAGCATTACTAAACTCGTTTCCAGGGATGCTCGTTTTAGTCCCTGAAGCCACATTCCCTCTGTCGGCCGACAGAGGGCCAACAGAGTGGTTAAACGTCTGTGCATGTGCGAACGTTTAAACGAGGCAGGCGAACAGTGGTCTTACAGGATCAATGAAAAACCACACAAGCATATAAACTAGGCTCACAGTCTTTTAAAACAGCACAACTCGTTTAATGAAGCCCAAAACAAAATAGCATATGAACAAAATAACCTTAATGAAATAAATTTTGCCGGTTCCGGAAAAGTCTTGAGTATAGCTCTTTATTTTATTTATTTATTTATTTATTTTTTTGGCATTTTATAGATTTCTATGGGCGGTTAAATTTTTTTTGACAATTTGCATGACATCGGTTGTTTCCTATATTTTCCTTAAGATTTTTAGGCAGGAAATTGGCGCGCAACTGCCAAAATAGCCGACCCATTTGCGTTTACTCTGCGTTTGAATTAGGCCCTATAGATTGTGCTAGTAAATGAAGTATATTATGTCATTGGCATTGCATGATTTTTTCCAAATTATGATCAAAATCATGCTCGCTTTTGAAAATCCTGCTATTTTTCTTTGAGTAAGCTTTTCAAAAAAGGAAATACAAAACAAGTCCAAATTATATATTTATTCATTATTAATATAGCACGATTTCTCCTTTAATTTAAGTTAGATAATTGCCCTGATGAAACATAATTAACTATTACACTTAATTCTAGACTAGAAGCGGTGACTCGATGTATCAAAATGCACAATGTTAAAATCATGTTTCTCTTCGAATTCGACGCCGTTTTGTTGCCCGTCAAAGCGGGAACTGAGACCAAGGTAAACTTTACTTCCGGTAATCCTAGTCCTTTAGACGACGAACGATTCAGTATTGCGGTAACCTCCCCCCCCCCCCTCCCACAAGACATTAAAAACTGAAAATAGACTGGACCATGGACCGAACTTGAAATAATCAATTATGCGACAAATTATGCTAGAACGATCTATAAGGGCTTAGTTTGAACGCAGTTTTGATTCTCAACGAGATCAGCCCGTTGGCGCGATCGAATAATGTCCAATCAGCTGGCTAACATAGCCAAAGAAAGAAATAAAAAATAGAGGAAAAAAAAGAAAAAAAAAGCGGAATCATTAAAAAATGCGTCTTCCGACAGAGTTACTGATTTCCGTTAGAAGCTAATTACGACTCTCACATTAACGATATTCAGCTGCCTGCCTGACTGATCGAACCTGTAGAACACGTCAGTTCTGTGCACTATCAGAACTGGATTGAAAATCGAAGTGGCTCAGCTAATCAATTTTCAATTTTAAAAAGTTTTGAGTGCCGAACGTTGCGGACGTTCCTCGAGGAACTAAAAACAAACGAGAGACCTCAACTCGCATGCCCAGATAAGGCAGGAAAGGAATGGCCCTTCGCTCGCCATCTACACTTGCATGAACTGATAAATGTTCCACCAGATTCTTCCGATCAGATTCTGTCTGACCACGACTTGTATGTTGAAAGCAGTTTTTCTATGCGCAGAGAAATACCGACGGGTAGATACTCTGTCAGGCTATTTTTACTAAAGAAAAGACGATATCAGACAGCAGTTATTCTGCGCTCGATTTACGTGCCAAATATCACACAGTACCGAGAGCCGCTGAAAGCACTTAGATATAAATATTACAATCGGACAAAACAGTTTATAATCGGAATTTACAAAAACAGTTGAGTCATTAGTTGAATCCTAAGTTTCTTGAGGAAAAGGACTGAAACCTTGATGATGGCCATATAATGCTCTTCTTAAGTCGCTTAAAATCGTTTTGTCGAGTTTTCATCTTTCATCTTTTGATGTAGCAAACGAGTTATTTAGCAATACAATTCATTGTGATTAGATTGATAATGAAATGATTACTCATAAAACAAGCTCCAAACAGTTTATAGGGCCCAAAATACAACACCAATACTTACCTCCATACTGGGCGTGGCAAATGAACACGCACCGTATGGACCCTGCAGATTTAACACTCCGCTTTCAATGACTTCTAATCTACGGACCATGTTAGAGAGGCTGCTTCTCGTGTTGATATGAAAACAAATAATCTCACCCCCTCTCATCCCGTAGAACACAGTCATCTGGAAATTGAAAACAACAATCGACTTTATTTGCGTCAGAACGTCAATCGCATCCCAGTCCCCTTACCTACGTAGCTGCTGGTTCACCTGGCGCTTTACAAAGAATGAAAATGGGCGTGGGCGTCGCGAAAGCGATGAGTAGAGTTACAAGTACAGAACTTTTTTCTTTCCCATTCCTTTCGCGTTTCGCGGTTCAAGTACACGAATCACAAAGCCCAACCGGCTTTTGTCATCACTATCACCTGCTTTGTGCCCTGAGGCATTTAATTCTCCAAAAACAAGATGCAAAAAAAAAAACAGATAAATTTATTTTCCGCGTCATGAAAGATATGTTGTTGAGCGAAAGATGACCAAATATCTTGCAAGCTTTAACTTGAATAGTAAGAATTCGTTTGAACCCTACTCCATGTCGGTTTACAGGATACCAGAGTACTCTGAGTGTTTGTCAATAAGATTTTTTTTTTGTTTAAGTCTTTCCAAGGCGCCGGAAACATAAAACTTTCATATCGCCGATATTGCGTCTCTATTAAAAACGTGCGGTTTCCAACGTCAGCTAGTTTAAAGAAAGATAACTATATCCCTACAATCAAAATTGTAAAACGCAATTCCAACATCAATGTCATGATGTGATGCGGCGAAAAAGTAAGCACTCACCTCGCACTTTGCTAATCCGGATACAAAACAGTGGTGTACTTCAGTTGGAATCGGCGAGTAAGTTCTCCTCGGTGGATGAATTCAGACTTGTGTCACATAGCTTTAATTTTCACCAGTATGATTTTAAAACGAAGCAAGCATTAGATACTGCAGACTGTTAATAACTGTTTAATGCTTCCGTGTTGTCGGGTTTTAACCAATCGCTTTTGGTCAACGTAGGAGTAAAATGAGCAAAATTGTTTTACTTGAGTATTATGGACCTTACTTCTCAAGGACGTTTCTCGGTGACATGATTGTGAATTGGCTTTGTAATAAAATTTTGAGCGGTAAGGTTACAAACATAAGAGATTTATTTTGGATGGGCAAGTTTGGAAAGTGTCTAGCAAGAATAATTGTCGATACCTTAAGCAAGTACACTCTAGTTCATTAACAGGAAAAAACCGAGAATAAATCTTCTTGACAACAAATAATTCATCACATCATTTAATTAACACAACAAGGATTGCTGAAGGAAGCCTTAGGTATCATGAGCAAAAATAAACATCATTTCCATAGGACCATTTGACATTACGCCTTTTAAAAATGACAAGGAACTTAACAAGAATGAGCTTTACAGGAAGTTAACAGGTATTGTTTCAATCATCCATCATTTGGCTGGATTCCAAATGGATTTTGCAGAATTTATCCGATACCGAAAGCCAGGGGTTTCTAGAACTTTTTTTCATAAGCGGCGGCCAGTGATGCAAAGGCGACTGTGCCCGGAAAGGGGTCGTAAGGCGAAACACAAACACGAGACCCTGCTCGTGAGCTAAAGAGACAGCAGTAAGAGGTCTCATAGGCAGCGGTAGACCACTAGTAATCGGCTTTAGCTGAAACCCCTTGAAAGCTTGTTGCCTTGTTACAGAGAGTGTAGGTCTGTGAAACGTACAAAACTGGGAGAACAACTCCTACTACAACCAATTGCGCTCTGGCTGATGTGAAGTTGATTTAGAGGGCCTCGCTTTATGAACAAGAATTGTCACGGAAACGCATGGAAACCTCGTCAATGAATTTTTCACGCACCGAACCAAACTAAACTTTAATTTCAACTTTTTTTCTTACCACCTGAAATTTTTCATCTAAGGAGACATTTACTCAATTCTCCGACAAAATCCACCAGCGTGTAGCCCAGAATTGATACAATTATCATGTAACTAGACTGAGTTTGCTTCTTCAGAAGCAAATATGGAATAATAAACAGATAAACCAGTAATGGCAACCATGATTTGTTTGTCTACTAAAATTAGGGTGACACCTGGCTCTTGTTTGCAAAACACACGTACCAAATTATTTATTTTGGCTTGTTAAGTAGATCCTGTTTGTCAACCTACTACGTGACAAGAAAGACTAATACAAGTGGTAATGAACTGTGTTTCTCAGCCTGGAGATGAGTGTTTGTTATGTTTGAAAATTCTTTTATTGTGATCCAAGAGAATATAAACTCTGTGTTGCGAATGCCAAGTGAAGCCGTTCTTCGCAAACTTCTCGATTTTTATTTTTCTCCGATAAGATACAATATGCTTCTCTCGTGTCGATCTAATCCTAGGTGAAATTACTCCTCTTCTGTATTCAATTTGTATTTTTCAATCAGAAAGTCCCCCATTTCAACTGTAAATATTGACCAAATCATATAACACAACCTTCTCTACACACTCTCTTATATAATCTCCTGTGTGATCTTCCAATTTTTTTTTCTTTTAAAGTTTCTCATACAACGCTGTTAGCAGACACCCACGAAGCTCGATACATTAAACCCGCCGGAGCAGGGTCATGGAGTTGACAGTGTTCGGTTTTGGCATCATTTAGAGACACCTTCTGTCGAAATTGAAGAACGCATGATCAACAGATGTGTGCTCTACCAACTTTCTAAAGTGGGTCAGGAGGGGAGAACGAAAGGTTGGCTATGGGTGGGTAAGCTCTAGACCCTGGACCCTGAACTGAGGACTACGAATCTAGAGATTAAGATGCTGGAGATATCTAACTCAAGCTTTTTTCCTGTAGAACTGCGTTTTGCTCAAGAGAAATGATGAGACAGTCGCATTATTCTCCCTAGGTTACGCTGCGTTGTACTTTGTTGTACTGCCTTTTGTCTGTTGTGTTGCATTGCGTTGTGACATGTTCTGTGCCAATTTGCACCATGACACGGTTTTTGAGCTCACGTATTTACATTACGACTAGGCAGAACCCCTCACGCTTTGAATGTTTAAATTCTGCCATCATTTAAACTTTGATTTGTCAGAACACTCTCCCATTTACTTCTTTCTTTGTGTCGGAAAATCGTTTAATTTGGAAAGTAGTTATCAATTACGATCACAGACCTTAAATAATGAACAAAGTATTTGGGTTTCTTTTTTGACGGCAGACAAGGTATACATACTGTGATTAAAAATATTCAAATTTTGTACTCATTGCATGGTAATACGTCACTAGAAAAGTAGCGAGGATAAAGCCATGCACAACGTGAATTATTCAAATATTTTATAACCTCGAACGAAATGTTTGAGATTAATTTCACTTTTTAGATTATTTATACCTCCTATAAGTTTAACTTAATCTTTGACCCATTACACTAAGATTTTCTTGCTTTCAATCTCGTTTCAGATAAGTGAGAGATGGATTTGTTTTGAATATAATCCAAGCGCCTCTTTGGTCGTTTACCTCCTTAATCTAAATAATTATATTCAAAACAATTACTACACTTTCGCTCAACAGTAGGGATTCGAATTACACGTGAAACATCTCGAAACATCTGCAATACCTGATGGGAGTTGGTTCCACTTCGAAAGAAAGTGAGAGCGTTCATCGACTTTCAGTTGAAATTTGCATCTACTACATTTCAATAATCAATCCACAACAAGGAAAATTGAAATGGAAACTTACTATGCAGATTTCTTAAAGAAAGAAGATCACACCGGAAAGTGGCGAGTCTACTGGACGACTCTGAACGCGACCGGGCTGTATTTTCAATTGGGAAAAATGGGGGCAGAACATGAGAATTTCCAACAGTTTGTCGAGATTTCCCCTGGATCAACGTGTGCTCTGGCAAAACGAAGAATGTACAGCTTTCGATTTAAGTTGGAGACCGATGGAGTAACTTACACCTTCAAATGTGATTCGGTATTCCAGAGATATCGCTGGATGTACATGATAGATTTGGTTGTGAACGGTCGACCACCAGAAGCACCACCAAACACTATTCCTCGTCCAGTTGTCACTGACTCAAAGCATAACAACACTAACTCCTTCGACGAGAAAGATTCCTGCGATCAAAATAACGCGAAGCCGAATAATTTAATCTTGAAATCTTCCAGTTTCACTCAGACATTTCAAACATTCAAGCGATTAGCGAGCTGGCGCAAGAAGAGGAATAACAGTCTTCCGTCAGCAAGATGTCTACGCAAGATAGGAACGATCTCAACAGGAAAATATGAAAAATTATCCAATATCCATAGTAGCTTCGATTTTGCTGATACTAAGGATTTATTTGATAAACAAAACACGGTATGATATACGTGCGTCAGGCTATGTGAGACGAGACGAAACGAGTCACGCAATCAATCTGATTTGAAATTGCGTGACGTTAAATGTGGACGAGGTCCTGTAGGGAAATGTTCACAAGTGGTTTTCGCCTCGAACAGGCTAATATCATCGTGAAAGATAAGGCATTTTAGCACAGGAACAGTCAGACCGGTGTCAGACAGACGTGAGTCAAAGCTGAGACCATTCAAGTAGGTACAACAATTTATGACAAAAACGATCTTGGAAGTTCTCATTCGATTTTTAGACACCCCCTTCTTCCCATAAAATGTTTGAGTCCAACCGCGAAGGTCGAGGGGGAAAATTCAACGATAAAGCGAGAGTGTAAAGGGAGTGTGGCGAACACTGGTACAACTACGTAGGAGTTTTAACCCTTTAACTCCCATGAGTGACCAAGATATTCTCCTGACAATATCAATACAATATGAAGCAGATAAGTGATGACAAAAAAGAAAAATATTAATCAGGGGATTATAAGTTGATCCAATACCAAATTCTCGAAACTAACATCGCAAGAACCATACAGCAGACAGTAAGGAGAATTACTAGTGAGATCTTGGGAGTTAAAGGGTTAACGCAGCAGAGGGAAAAAAAACCATATACTCTCGGGCGCTTTATACACTAGACCCATCAGACCTAAACAAGGAAGAATTTCAAGCATACCCAAGTAATCGCTTCACACTGTTTATAAGTAAAGAAGTTTCTTAAGCGAAAAAGCAACTGCTATCAGCTCTATGTTAAGTTTACCAATTCGGTAGTTTATACTTGTTTTGACCTGATGGGAGTAAACGCAACGGAAATCTTGTATTTTTTTCTCTATCGTGATTTTATTCCCTCACTTTCCTTCACATATTTGATTCCACTTCTCCATTGAAAAAGGTACATTTTCCTTCCTGCACAATCAATTCTCCATAAAATTTACGCTATTGCACGTGTATCGAGACATCAGTTAGATGGCTTTATTTGCATGCGATCAACGCAGTTTAGTGAGGGAGTCAGTCCTCCCTTGACATTAATCATTCTCTGACGCCCGTTTCAAACGCCGAACCCCTCGTGTGTCGCACTAACCCTGACTAAATCCAAAAGTGGCCATAAGGTTTTAACCCTTTCACTCCCAAGATCTATTTAGTAATTCTCCTTACTATCTGCTATACAATTCTTATGATGTTAGTTTAGAGAATTTGGTATTGGATTAACTAATAATCCCATAATTGATATTTTTCTCTATTCTCATCACCTACGTGCTTGATATTGTATTGATATTGTAAGGAGAAATTCTGTCTAAGTCACTTGTGGGAGTGAAAGGGTTAAAAGCCGTACCTAATGTTGTCGACCTCATTCATATCTACAGTAACAAATTGATTCTACCCTGAACTCGCGGCTTCGCCCCTTTTTTTAAGTAAGGACCCAAATAATTGCCACAAGCCACCATTTCGTCTGACACACAGGAGAGAGGCACAACATTTAAATAGGCTTAACACCACACCTACAGTTAGAGGTTTCTCTTGAGAAGATTCTGCGGTAAATGCGGAATGGTTTTACCGCGCCCAAAAGAGGATTAGCTAAGGAAAAACTTGTAAGGCTCCCTGAGGAAAGTCGAGTAAATGACTTTACATGGAGAATTGTCAAAGAAAGTGTAAAGGATTTCAGGGAATTCCCCACAGCTATTTTTTCTACACAAGTACATTTGTCACGAAGAACTTGTAAGTGTAAATGCTGTCAAATGATCAGTCATGGGTAGCACAACTAGCTCCGCTAATGACGATGTTCTGATGTAATCTATATATAACACTATAAATACTTCAAGGTAAATAATAGGTAAATAATATCGGCCCTTTCATAATTGCACATTATCATTCGATATGTATATATCTATTTTGAATTAACAACTCTGATAATAAATATTGATACTCTTAGCTTGAAAGATCTGGAATTCATTTGAAATATTGTAATAATTAATATGTACAGAGGATATGAATTGAAAAACCACGTTATTTTCTTATGTGTAAAAATGATGCCTTCTGAACCATAAGAATTTAATTTGTTTTTTAAAAAAATATTTTCATAGACATTAAAAACGGGTTAGCAATGATCAGGTTTCTGGTTTACTGTATTCGTTATTGTACTTTACCTTTAGTTTACCTGCTATAATCACTGTTGCAGTTTAGTTTTGTAGAAAGAAACGGAAAAACTTATAGGATAACCAAAATATTTGAAAATTCAACTGCACATTCTGCTTATTACCAACTCTGAGTAAATACTATTAATTGGTCCCATCACGTGATATCTGGGTAAGAAGTCGGTCTGTCTGTTACTGTTTTCCAACAATGGAGATGGAACTTCATCCTCTTCCTTTATCAAGGACCTCATGTCTACGACCTGAAAACCACATCGCTTTAAATTTCAGCTCGCTTGATTTAATGCATCTACTTCTATAGGCCTACGACTCCCAGGAGCGTTCATGATTAAGACTGTTTAACCACGCCGAAAACGGGTAACGTCTCGGTATACCAAAAAATTATAAGGAAAGGCCAACAAAGAATTCTATCATTGTTTATTTAGGAAAATTAATTCTCACATCTTGGGATTCAAGTTATATGTTACGTGAGTGGTTAGTATTACACAGAAACTCTGGTATAAAGTGCTTTTCCAATAGTGTCGCACAAAAAAAACTTACCCCAACGGCCAATCAGAGTAAAGAAAAATCTTATGAGGAGCCAATCAGAACTCAACGTAAGAATGAGGCAAACTGGCTGAAACGCTGGAAAAGATAGTGGACAAGTCGCGATTTGTTTTAGTTTGGAATAGGATTGGTTGTGGGGGTGATTAGGAATAACTTTGACACTCACTGGAAAATTGCCCCAAATCACTACGGTGATCTCTGATAAGCGATGGTTACCCTCTCAGTATTGACCATCAGTTGCTAGCCGGAGCATGAAGCCAAAGAGATATCAGGAATTTAAACTAATCGTTTAAGAATTAACGTCACCTTGTGAAAATGGCAGCCACAGTTTCCCAGGAGGAAGTCCTTGTATCTAGAAACAGTCATTCCAAAAGTGTCCACTACTTCATACCCCAACCGCGTAGCAGCTTTAATTACCATCTCATTCCGTTCAGCAGTTTTACGCTGTTCTGCCTGTGAAAAACATGCCATTAGCGATCAACGTTGTCTATACTAGAGTTCATAAGAGGGTTTAACATGCAACAATGGCAACTTTACCAAGTTGTGACGAGGAAGTCCTGGTACGGGAAGGTGGAATCCAGAGCCCAGGCTCTTGATAACAACCTTGATTCCGTTCAAGCCAAGACTGAAGAAAAATTACTTCATGATAAGAAAATGAATAGCAGCACATTATTTATAGTACAATCACTTATTTCCATTTTTTTATAATAGTGATAAAATGGAAAATTTGACATTCTCAACAGTCATCTGCTAACATTCCAAACAAAACAAACCGCGTCAATAACGGTTGATGGTGTAATTACACACTTCACCTGGTTAAGGCTTTATTGGTCTCCACAATGTGTTGGGATCCCATCCACTGAACTCCACCCACAACAAGAATGGTGTTCGTGTTGTTTTCTAAAGGAAGAAACCTGATAGATGAAGAAAAATCATAATTACAACTTATCTCCTTGCAGGCGCTAATTAGACCGCGGACGCCTTAGTGACAGGGGTTAGGCAGGATTTTCCACTGTGGGATACTACACTGTTTTTTGTTTTTGTTTTGTTTTTTTTCTTTTAATGGGTATTTTAGGGCATTCAATTATTCTAATAGCATAAATGATCATTTTTTTAGAAGAGGGAACGAGCACCATAATCCCCACCCCTTTCCCCTTTTCTAGCATACGCCCTTTTAGTACCCACAGGATGTTTTGAGCATATCAGTCATATACCAGGGCGTGAAATTGCGCCTAATACAGGCGCCAATGCGACTAAATTTTTCACTTTGGCGACCAAATCCTGAAAGTTAGTCGCCAAATTGGCGACTACAACGTTTCATCATAACCTTACCAAGAGATATAGTGAATTAAATAAATTTGCAAAGATAAATCCGCGGCAAACTTCCTCGTTTAGTTTGTTTCCAAAACGTAGCACATGTATCTCGATCGATAACTAGACGCCATCTTGGATTTAGATGAGCCTGAAGGTTGTATATCATACATCCTAGTGTCCACTTTGCAGCACGTCAAAGATCTTTTCCTTAACTTTATTTTGGAGGGTCTATCTAGAACGCTGACAGCGTAAAGAAAGATTTTGTTTGTCGTTGAAAATGGCGACCGACTTTTTTTCAATTGGCTACCACTTTGAAGAATTCAGGAGCCAAGTGGCTATCAGAAAAAAAAGTTAATTTCACGCCCTGTATACCCATGCATCCCTCGAACAACAACAACAACCACCAATTCATCATTTTTAGAAGAAACCTCCTCAAACTAAAGGCACTGGAGAAGATGTCAATAGATGAAACTAAAGCGAAACCAAGGGCATATTACTCTCCAAGGTAGACTTCTAGCTATGGTCGTGAATGTCTCTTTCAAATTTTTCCGCAGATACTCCAGGTAAACAATTTCCCTCTCTTGTGGTATTTTTCCACGTGTTACATCAGCCGACTTAACCCTTCAACCCCTGAGAAACACTAGCGTATAATTTCCTCTTACAATATCACCCCTGAAGCAAACAAAACATTTCCGATCCCAGTGGAATATGAACGACTGAAATCATGTAATGCCATCACGAAATCGGTAGAAGTGTTATTGGATGTGTAGGTTTAGGTGATTGGTTAACCGATTTTTCAAAATTTCCTTTTTGCGGTTTACATGGCTAATGTCTCTTTAACCCCTAAGAGAGAGTAGCAACTAATTTTTCCAACAGTATTCCCCCTTGGTCAAACGTTAAGGTCAAGAGAATAAAAGAAATGTTCACCAACTAAAGAAGCTCTTCATTGTGAAACAAATTCTTCTTATCAGCACCTTAGGAAATGTATCATTTAAAGAACAGTATGGAGAAAACCAACATGAATACTGTGCTGACTGATGTTAGGATGGAAAAAGTTCATTAACAAACGCGATGACCATGGAAATTAAAATGATTGGGAGGTAAACGAAAGCTACGAGAGTTATCTACTTACTGGGCTTTACTGTATTTTAAAATGATACAAAAGACATATAAGGAGATACCTCGCTATAAGCTGGTAGAGCGCTTTGACAAAGACAGGTCTCTTGTTCTCACGAAGCCAAAACTGAGGGTAATACGCGAAGCTGACAGAGGTACGGCCGCCGTTCAACTCGTCGCTGTAAATTTTCATTGTATGCGTCTTTTCCCATTTTCTTAATGAACCGTTCAGCTGTAGTAAAGGAATAACCAATCAAGGATAAAGGAAAAACCGACGGTTTTCATACGTCTTCATCGACTAGATATAGATTACTACACTTATTTGTCATCGACAAGTAGAGGCACTTCATTTCATAAAGAGTGATTCCAACACAGTTAATACAAAGGAACTAAGAGTTCATACACTGAATAATAACACATCACTGATTAACTGCCATAAGGTTGTGCAAGTGAGAAACAGAGAGGACTTTAACTTACTTTCGTGAACTGGAAACAAGATAAAATCAATCTTTAGTGCAGTCAGTATAACCAAGTAATGAAGAACTACTACAGCTCTTTGCCTCCTTAATAAAACACAATTACACCATAAAAAAATTTATATATAAATAGAAAGCACCTTTATTCAAAAGCTAGACGTTAACTTCTGCTCTCGTCTCTCCTATCTTCATAGATATAACACAGTTTCATTTGCAAAAATATGGGTTCTCTCGTTTTACGTAACTATACCTTTTCCATAAGGTAATACATAATGCCGCGATTGGTGGAATCTCCGACAAAAAGAATCTAAAGTAAACAAAAAAAAGAGAAAACGTTTGTTACTAAAGCCTCTTCTTTTCTATGGCTAAAAAGGATTAAATTGATTCGTAAGTTCAAAACATTCAAAGGTGTGTTACCAACACAAAGTTACAGAAATTCTCGGTGAAGCGATGAATGCAATTCCTAGTTGTATCAGATTGCATTATGCTCATGAGATGCGACATCAAAACCAATTGGAACTTAATCACCCGCATTTTCCCGCCTTTTTGGCAGTTTTCTTATTTTATCATGAGATCTCACTGGCTCCTTATGGAATTTGATTTTGGTTTTACAATATTCAAAAGAAATGCACTCTTCAATAAAAATCTGGAAGACAACAAGCCTCCGAAAGTTGAGATGTCGAAAGCAACGTAACTTTAACCACAAACAATGGAAATAATGCTTCGCATAGAGACGCTTATAGTCTAGTCAAGCTACCAAGTGCAATGTGAATAATGTTTAATTTGCCTCTCACCTTCTTGTTTGCAAGGCAAGCTCTGGTATAATTCTTGGAAAAAACACTGTACTGACATGTGAGTGGCGACCAGACTGTTTGCCTCCAGAAGCAGCTAGAAGGGTAATCACAGCTGGCACAAGGTAAAACCCAACGACCTGACGATAAGAGGAATTTATCCTAGTGGTAAATGTTTTTCTCACTTTAAAATAGGAAAGTGGTGACACCCAAAGAAACTACATTTTAGCATTTCATCTCCTCTTTTGAAAAAAAACTTGCATCTACTTTATATAAGATAAAACTTTAGAAAATTAGTTTTCTATGGGTAACGTCGGGTTGGCGAACTGATTGACAAGAGTTTGCGTCCAAGGTTATGAATATTAATGGCCAATAGTTTCCCTCCTGCTAGTTGTGAGTTTTAACCAAGCTATGTTTCATTCGAGTTAATTTTTTTCATTGATTTTCACGGCCTTTGTGCCATTGGCACATGCTGAGGGCAAACAGTACTTTCCTATTTTATTCATGTACCTAAGGTAAGTATCCTATGATATCTGATACCTCAGTCGAATTCCAATCTATTGCAAAGTACAGGCAAAGTACTAAGGGTTATGGCCCCTAAGAGTGACTGAATAAAGGAAAGAGGCTCTTGATTGTTAAACAAATTATCCATGTCAGGACCTTTGGAAATGGACTTAGAACAGAGCAGAGAGTACGCATACTGATGTTCGGGTATAAAGGGTTATGGTCAAGCAAGTTTAAAATAAGAACATTTTGTCTATCCTCTCATGACAATTTGGTGTCTTGTTATTACTTTTATTATAATTAATATCCACCTGACTCGTGCCCAGTCTCACAGTGAGGGAGTTCTTTCTGTTTAGAGAGAAAAGTCTTCCACGTTGACTCTGACAACTTCTCAAGACCACACGGCAAGTCAGGAAAAACTTTGAGGCTGCACTCCTTGAAAAATTACAACAATAATTCCAGTAACTACATGTATGCAATTTTATATATAGCTTGAGCAAAGCTAGTTTAAAAAAAAAAAGTATCTCCTTTAACTGAGTTTGAAGTCTGTACTGTAAGTTACATACCAAGAAAACAAGGTTAGTAAGATATTACTAGCTAGTAAGATTTCAGTTAAAACAAACTTTTGAATTTAGCAGGCCATAGAGTGAAGACGTCCTACTGACCTGACCAATCATTCTGTACATCCTGACTGAGAAATAAAATAAATAACAAAAACCAGCTGAATCTAAATTTCTCTGGAAGGTGGGAACATCACCACCACTGAAATCCCAAAGATTCAATAAATACACATTTATAACTCATACAATTTTAGTTCTCATTTCACCACATTGTACACTGAAAAAATGAAAACACAAGAAATTCTACATGGCAGCATTTAAAGACCACATGTGCCACCTGGATGTGAACAGATCCACTACCTGGTAAATAGCACAAACTTGATGGGTAAAATCTTGTTCAAATATTCTCTCTGTCTCAGAGCGTCTTTTACGAAACACAAACAGATGATAGGTATTCACAACTTCAGGCCTACTCTTCCTGGTATCAACAACAAAAATGGAAAATTTGTTCCACCCAACACCAAGAGAATGATTAGAATTACTGAAACAAAATAATATAACCAACTATTAATGATATATAGCTTTATGACAGAGTTAATTATTCATAACTATTTATGATTCACTATGTCAACAAATAAATTAAAATGATATGTTCACATGATAAAGAAAAATTTTGATTTATATCAATTTCGCAAGCCTAAGTAGCTGACATCATGACCATAATTTAAAAAGCCTAGTATATTTATCTAGACATAGCCAACAATGTGTGCAGAATAACATAGCTATCCTCTTAGAGAGCTTAAGTACCACAGGCAACTAACTTAAGTAAATGGATGACTTTTATAAAAATAATGACTTTAATAAAAGTTTACAAGAGCTGGGGCACCTCAAATCTTGATACAGCCAGTGATTCTCTTAAGGGCACAGCTTTGCATGACCAATCCTCATTTTCCCTTATCTATGGGATTCTACTCATAAAACTGACCCAAGGTAATTTTTTATCCACAATATCAAATCATTAGAGTGACACATATTTACAAACCTATTGTCCTCAGATTTGGTGTCTATTCGTACAGCTAAATGGCACTTTGAAGCTTTACCCCAGAGCTGCAGGATTGTGGCATCAAATGGAACAGTTGATTGATAAATGAAGACATCACTGTTGAAAGGTGGATGAAGAACTATTTCGGGCTGAGAACTGAGTTCTGTCAGGACACCATCCACATTTGGATCTGGATAAAAGTCAAGATGCAGGTCTTTTAGAAATATTGATTTCATTTATCTGAATAAGCCTGATGTCAGATTTTGAATTGGCACTCTTTTGCCTCATAAAATACACACATTAAAAAATTAAATATCACCTTTAAAAGAAAAACACTCAAAATAAACCTACCATCAACACAAACAGTTTCTTTTGATGACCCTATAAAAAAGAAAATGGGTTTATTTTATACATGCATGAAGCTTAGAAACCAGTAAAAGTTATTTTTTCATGAGAATGAAAAATCTGTTCCACAGAAATCTCAAAAAGTAAACCTGAATACGTCCATATCTCAAAAACTACACAGTCAAAGATTTGCAACCAAGCAATTTCACTATTATCATGAATCATATTATTGAATAAATCATCTGGATCATGGCTTTCTCACATGAGTCCCTCTAGAACTAGTTGTAGTCCTTAGAGTTTTCAAAAGGCTATGTGGTCTTTGGGACATACAAAAATATGGATATGAAGTGCTTGCTTTCACTGGGTACAATTAAGTCTAACCTCAGCTGAATAAGACAAATTCATTCCTACCTTTAGATATGTGTGAGTCACTAACTGAACCATCTCTGTGTTTCCTTTAAAGAAGGAACAGAAATGCAGCTGTAACAAATTTTTATCAAGGGTCTTACCACCAACAGAAAATGAAAGCTCACACACACTCATAGATTTGCATGTTAGTGCTTTTTACCTGGCTTACAACAATTATCATGATTTTGATCTTTTTTTGGTATGATCATTTTTGCATGATAATCATCATAACATAGCAAAGTGGAAATAACCTAACCTGCACGGTACACATAAAAACTTACGAGGGATGTGTAGATCTCACTGCCTCAAAAGCTGTCAAAAAATCATGAACATCTGGTGTTCCTAAATCAGCTCTTTGTTCATGATTGAACTCAACTCCATTGTCAAGTAATTCTAGCATCAGTGTGTTGTACTTATCACCATAAGGGGTTGGATAGAGCTGTTATTATAGATCACAAATAGAAACAATGAATGATTAACCCTTAATAAAATCTGCAATAGACACAGTATTAGTTTAATACAATATTACAAAAAAACAAATTTACATTAAATAAAGTGTGATCTAGATTTAATTGTTGAAGTTATGATGATCATTACTTGATAGCAGTTCATTAGATGGAATTTATTATTTACCTACCTTTAACATAGGAAAGTTTTCTTTTAAGAACAAAAAAAAATTCAACCTCAGAAACACCCTGAAATCATAAGGCTGTTATTTTCTGAAGGTTTAATACATAAAAAAATTTCCACCAATTTCTCCTGTTATCCTTTCCAGTGTCTTCAATCTAAGAAATCAGGGGGCAGTTAAATAAACTGCATACAGGGAATCTTTCCAACAATAGAAAAAAAAGTTAAGGATGTTAGTACCTGTTTGAAGTCTCCTCTATGTTGCTTCTCCACTTGAGATTGTAATAAATACTCTAACAAGTCATCTGTCAAACAGTTTTCCAGTACTAATTGGCACTTTCTATTCTAATTTGAAAGAGTAGGGTAAGATATTTCAGTTAGGAACTGCTGCAAAATTTGGACATTTGAAAGCCCCATTTAATGACTCTCTGTTTCAAGCCATCTTTGAAACTTATTCACTTTCCATTTACAATTTTTAAGTGTCTCGTAACTGAAAAAAGGCACACACATGCAGCTTCATTCATTAATATACAGTATGAAGACACTGTCCTATACAGAAGAACAAAACAAAATTCAACACAATGTTGCAGAAAAAAAAGGAATTCTATGATTCAATTTTGAAAAATTGTATTTTGATAGTTTACAAGAGCAGGAAATGGTAATTATTCAGAGAGCTTCATACTGCCATCATTTGAGCCTTCAAAATCCCATATCATCTCTCAGAAGAGCTTTTGTGAGTTGTCAATTGAAAGACACCAGTGATATTAATTTTGACGCAAGGACAATGGGGCAGTTTTGCCTTTGATTTCCCAGTGATTCAATAGTTTTCTATCAAATTTCATGAGAGAATATTAAGTTTTCAAGAACACGTACATAACACAGTAATCTGACCAGGGTTCAAATCCACTCTCTCAATCCAGAGTTTTGTCATAGAATGCCAACTGACATCAAGCTACTCCATCTTCCTCAACATAATAACACACCAAAACACACATTCCTAAAATATTTCAGCCTAGTGACTTCCCCTAAATGTTAAAATCAACATTGTAATAGGGAAGGGGAAGTAGCAAAAGAGCGTGCATCAAGAAAAATATGTTGTTCATTTGTTAGGCTTCTTTCATTGCTGCATAATAACTAATTATTTTGTTAATCAAATTCATAACACAAACATAAAAAGTACCTGGATTATCACAGTTTCCTTCAAGGCTTTTACAGTCTTGTAAACATCATGGGAAAATGGTACTGATATCATTTCAAACAAGAGATTGACTGTATCTTCAACTATTTTTTGGGAAACAATCTCATAAGAAGGAGCTTTTGCCTTGAAAGGGTAAGAATAACAGAAAGCAAATATTGTATCAATGTCGTAATAAAATTAATTAAACTTGCAAGATATAAAAATCACAATTAAAAACAGGGCAGTGTTTTATACTTTTGGAATAATTGAATGGTAAGAAAAAGAGAACTGCTAAAACAATGTACATATAACCTTTGTATTAATTAGACCAGAAGGTTTCAAGTTAAGATTACACTGTCTTTCAAAGGTATGTCATTATTAAGCCATTATTTTCTCAGTCATAAAATATAGGTATTCAATTGCCAAAGCTAGCAAGCAGTCATATTTGTTGATTAAATTCAAACACATGTTATAAGCATTACAGTTACTGATGTTCTTCAGACAACATCAAACTGTTTCCACCCAATAATGTTGTACCATTTTAGTGGTAAAGCAAATCACAGTAATGCACATAAGCAAATGGAGCAGTAGTATCATTAACCTCATAAATTTTTCCTGAAGCTTAATTTGAACCTACCTCCAAAATATAAGGACTGAGTGATGAACTAAACATAACACTGATCTCCAGAAGCTGGAAACACGACTGGCATCTAAACATGAAACAAACAAGAATAATTTCAATTTATATGCAATATATAAATCAGTATTTCTGAAAATCAAAAACTTCACTAAAAATATGTCTAAAAGTAATTCAGACTGAGTTCCACAACTTCACATAAACAAAGCAAAGGTGGCTTGATTGACAGTTCTTTTGGACTCCTATGGCTGCTGCAGATCTTCTATCTTGCATTACAAATCATTCCATATGAAGTAAACCCATTGCCTTGTACTGCAGGATGACTTGCCTTACAGGGTAGGTAATCATATTGAGGTAAGTTTTTCCACTGAAACTGTTTTGCCTGACAATGCATGTTAGCACTTGCATCTGAGATTGTTCCCCCTTACAGGGCTGCCATGGATACCTCTTTGGTTTGTATGGCATATGCCCCAGCCCTTCACGTACACTTATCAGAATGGGACTGAAGACTTAAAGCCCTTCCTCTCACATGTTGTTTCATCCAAAGTACTGTACATACCTAAACCTTCTTTGTCTTCCACCAGTATTCAGCCCTGTAAAGTGCATAATCAATGACTGCTCCAATAGAAGAAGCATTTTCACCACAATTTCATCCATCTCCTCAATTGCTTTACTTGTTTTGTCTTCACCAAAGTTTTCAACCAAGTGCTGATAGAACTTTTCAAAGTTCCAATTACTTGCCAAACCATCCTACAATAGCATATGCATTAGAGAGAACTTTCTGTGGTGTTGAGAGTAGTTTAAATAGAAGTGGTTAAAAATGGTACAATGAAACAGGCCCTGAGATTCAATATTGAAACTTTTTTTTTTTTTAGCCTGTAATCTTAGTTCTTAAACTTGGTATAATGCTGTTTGTTTGAAGTGACAAGCCCAAAGTTAAACTTCATGACTGAACAAGGTTTTTATGAAAATTGATCACAAATAACTGAAGGGAGAATGCAGTAGTAGTCAAGATATGATAAACAAGCTAAGCATGAGATGTTTATAACCTAAAATGCACTCATTTGTTTTTTCTACTACACATACTTGAAGTGATCACTAAACCATCAGGGTAAAAATCACCAAATAGCTAGGTTACCTGCTCTCTTGCCACAAGGTGTGCATGCCCTTTTCTGTGTCTGTATATCCTGAGAGGAGATACTGAAGTGACCAGAACATACACCTGAGCTATAACAGCCTTGCCTTCAATCAAAAGAGCATCAGCTGGAAAAAGCTGCATGACGCCCTCTGAAGACTCACCTCTGTGAGAGAAAAATGAGAAAAAATAACTTCAATGAAGATAGGTGATTGTAAGTTACTTGACCAAATGCATGTCTCTCAAAAATGACTGCTTCATTGCCTGCCAGGAGTTATACCTACATATTAACCTTTAATGGTATTAATAACAAATTAAGAGAATTAAAAGAATACATGTACCTTTCAACACATTATATACAATATTTACTGCATTCACAATGAATGCTACTTATCAACAGGATGCTGTTGCTAAGGGGAAGGACTTGACCAAACAGCCTTTATCAAGGAAACAAGTCACAATTAATCTCTGGGACTGAAAATTTCCTTACTTGTTCCTGACATTTAGTATGTGCCAAGTACATGTTCCCCCAGCATAAGTTTGACATCTTAACTATCCCTTCCCAACCCAGGCTACCCCATCCCCTCCTTAACAAAATTATACAGCCATACCTTTTCTTATCACTCAGACTCTTCATAGCTTTCCAGTTATGAAGTGATGTAGAAATTGTTCCAAGAGACTTCAAAATAAAATACTGGCTTCCTCTTGCTTTAATATCTTGATCCAGAGACACATTGATTTGCGCTGGTAACACAAAGCATGGAGGTGATATAGGTCTGTTTTCAAACACTATAATAAAATAAAAGCAAATCAGCTCTTTTCTCCTCAATTTAATGCTTTTTTAAAAAAAATGTATATATGTATATATAATTTGAGCCAATTAATATGAAATATTCCAGTACTACAGGTTTTTGCTTTTAAGAATTGTTAATATTCTGACACCTTATGACTTTTCTGCAGGTACCTGAGATGAGTTTTGATGCTGACATCAAGTAACAAAAGCCATCATTCCTTAAAAGTAATTTTTCAATGCCTGGAACTGGAGATACCTGAAATTAATGAAAAAAACTTACAGATACCATCAAGCAAGAATTTAGATTAAAAAAACTTTCAGCACAGGGAAAAATTTAGAGTAACCCACATCAAATAATGTTTAAGATTGCTTGGGTGGAAGACCCATTAAAAATCTAACAACGAGGAAAGTACCTGAGCTCTTGTCAATCATCAGTTTCTGAGTTCTTATTATTCTGGCACGTCTGGAGCTTAATTTTCTACTTGCAAATATCTGCACTTAGTCTCAGATTGGGAATTTCTAAAAATCTCAAATTTTACTGTAGGATCAAATGTGATCTACAAGCCTCTGATGATCTCTGATTTGTTGATAACAACACATTCTTACTCTCTGATTCTTTTGGAGAAAGACAAGATCACTGCTATTAAAACAAGGTGATGTCTCTCTGCCAGAACACCAATGAATTCCCTGCCATTTCTTTCTCATGTAAGGAAGTATTTCTGTATCTGTGGACAAAACCACTCTGTAGCCAAGAGCCTCAAGAGCATGCTTGAAAGGTTCTAAAATATCCTTTGTATTTGATTGGGAGTGGTTAGCCACCAAAACATCCAACTGCCTTCTCATCATCTTTTCTTCTAACTGCAAGAATGAAAAAAAACATCACCAGTTAAATAAAATTAAACTTTTCAAAGTAAAAGTAAATGCTGGCATTCTGTGTTGAACTGGAATAAAATACAATGAACATTCCAATAATAATGACACTTAGTATTTGCAATCTTCCTCAGTTTCTTTCAGCTGGCAGCTGGGTTCCTTTACACAAAATTGAAGTAAAAACAGAGTAGGAAGAAACTACCAGCTTGCAGGATTAAGCTAGGCATCATTGAGCAAAATATAAGTTTATTCTTTTTCAATAAGTTTCCTTCTGTTTCAGCGGTTAACTATAGTTTTTGCCTTTTCTAACTGCAATTTTACTTTAGATTTTCATCAAAAGATGATCTCACAGGATGAGATTGACTTGCCAATTAGATGATGCATCAAAGTACAGGCATAAATAAGCAATCAACATTTTGAATCTTTCATTAAAAGCTTTTTTGTCTCAACAGTAAAACAATCAAATTGATGAAAAATTATTACAGCCAAATTAATATTCTTAATGGGGAAAGAATGCACTAAATGATTTTCCTCAGCAGTTGGAAACTTCTTTACAAATGCAATTCTACCTTAGGTCATCAGAAGCCTGGATATCCAAAAAAAAAAAATGACTCTATGCTTCCAGTCAGATCTGACAAATAAATAGCAGTGCAGGCTCACTAACAATTAACAGCAAAGCAAACATTTTGAATCAAATTAATTCTTTACTTTCAGAGTGTTATGGGTTTATAGTGCAGATCATGTCCAGCTTGCTTTTCTCATTTTGTTCCATAGAATTATTTCTATACCATATCCAAGTAAGGTATTCCAAAAGAAAAGCAACCTTAATTGAAAATAGAATTACAAACTATGATTTTTTTTAATCCTTTTTAGTAATTCAAAATGTAATTTGCAAATTGAACTTAATTCAAAGGAAACAAGCTAAAAAGAAAGTTAGTACATAATTAATACAATTATCAAACTTTCATAACTTAAAAATTATCAATTTCTAGAGAGCATCACAATTTTATCTGTGCTGTCAAATTTCAGCTGCTCTTATATGAATGTTAACATAAATTTTTTAAGAGGTATTTGCAGAAATCATTGAAAATGTCAGAGATCTCAATTCTAATCACACAGCAAAGTTCTGCTATCGCTTACAAGGGATAAAAGGTAAGCTGTAAAACGTGAAAAAAAAAACAGAGGAGGAAAAACAATCAAATATTTTGAAAAAACCGGTGTAAGAGTCAGAACATATTGAAGCCTAAATCTGAAGTAATTATTGCGTCTTCTTCATAAGAGAGAGTATTACGAAAAATGAAAAAATGCCACTCAATTATTCAACAACTTTTTCACCAAAAATGTCAGCTTGTGTTTAAATTGTTTCACTGTGAATCAAATCCTATAATTGAGAGACACTTGAAGGGTATTCCCCGACGACAAAAGAACACAAAAGCACTGTAGTGTACATGAACAAAAAGAATATCATCAAAATAACGCTGGGATAATTTAATGCTAGTACATCAACACTAGTGAATCAAAATGTGTTCGGCCTTCGCATGAATGGATTCATGAATGGTTTTTCAACGTGATAGTGGTTAATTAAAAATTCACAGCTACCGAAAGAAGTAACACGTGGGGAAAATCGAAAAGTTCAAACATTCCGATGTGATATTCAGCTTCTCGAAATTAATTTAACTTTTCACCTTAATCTTAGCGTTAAAAAAGACATACCTCCTCAAGCCTTTGAAGTAATCCTGTTTCCCTTATCTTGCTGGCTACCATTTCCTCTGTTGTAACGTTATATCGCAGTTTCTGTAGAGGAGTATGGGAGACTGCACTATCACCATCAGTTCTCGTAAACGCATTTTCTTCAATACTAGTTCCCTTTACTCTCAAAACCTCAATCAGCTTCACCTTTTCTTCTGTATTTTTTATTTCCTTAGAATGCGAACCGTCGTTTAGAAAATCAGGGTCATGTTGAACCCAAGTTTCAATCCAGTAAGTCGACAAAAGCGACACTAATGTAATCAAACCCAACAAGAAGACAACACGTTTTCGCCTGCAAAGCTGAATTAATCGCATAATTTTTTGGCCGCAATGTGGAGACTATTAGAGCTGCAGCACTGTGGTTGCCATCTCGAGAACAAATCGTCTCCTTCCTCACATCCATTAGCGAAAATTAGAGGAAACTCCAACGGTGATTCGTAGTATCATTTTCCAACTCAAGGTTGACATAGCGCGGATGGCTGAAACCAGAGAAACTATTTCTTTGTGAGTCTTGGTCCTTCTTATACCGATACAAATTCACCTACATCAGCTCTAGACCTCAACACTTCTAAGCTTCTGAGGTTTACGTAGCTTTACATAAAAAGATATTTAAAACTCCCTGTCGGTCAATCATAAAGTGTAATGATAACAAAAATGTCACGCGCGTTATCCCTAGTATCCAGGCCTTCACTCCGTGACACATTCAAGGGAACCAATAAACGCTTGGGGCCCTTACAAAATCCTAATCACTTTGACAGATATATTTGCTGTCGCCGTGTAAGTGTTAAGGAAATATGTCCATATTTTTAGAGTTCTTGGTGAGTAATATCACCGAGATTTACCAGTTTGCCGTATTTTGACGATCCCGCAAGAAGAATCAAAATACGAACATCGAGTAGTTAATATCCTAATTAATATTTATCACAGGGTGCGAACTGCACGTAACTTGAGTTTCACTTTTCAAGCATTCTCGAGTATATTTCTTATATTTCCTTTATCATACATGTATATATATATATATATATATATATATATATATATTTGTATATATTTCCTTTATTCATTTTCGAGTATATTTCCTTTATTATTATGCAGGTGTTTTTAATTATAGCCGACGTACGACATGTGACGCGCGTCCTGATCGACCAAATTAAAAAGTAGCGTTAAGTTGGCATTAAATTATTTTTAAGACTAGCGTTATATCTGAGAGAAAATGCGGTCAAGGCCTGAATTCACCTTTAAATACCTCAGAGATTTTTTTTTCTTTTCGGCCAATATTGCGCAATCTAGTGAGGTGCTCTTTCGAGATCCAATTGATCAATATTCATATTAGTTTAGGGCACTCGCAGAAATGGCTTTTCTATACTTAAGAGCATTTTCTTCATCAGAGTACCGCCAGTTGACGTATTGGTTTGGGAATGGTAGCCTGCTTAGTCAGCGGAAGCGAGTGAAGAACTGGGTAAGCTATTAACTGCAATTGAAGTTGTCTGAGAAACGGCTGCCTGACCGGACCTGTACAGCGCGCTTAAGACAGGAAATTTGCCGTGCCGAAAAAACGGGAAGTAAGCGCATAAAGCTTCGGGTAAGACCTTTTCAAAAAAGAAAATTAATAAGGTCTGAAATCTCACCATCATCTTTGAAATAATAAATACTCCACCGCAAATGGAGACTCCTTTATGTCATAAATCTGTGAAAGAAGAAAAGAAAAGAAAACAATGCCAAACCAAAATGCACTTAAAATTTTCCACAAAAATAAATAGCTCTTGATTGGCCTCAGTCAGTGACGTCACCACGCTAAGATCAGAATGACATCGCGCGACAAATTGGTGTCGATTTCATGCATCGGCGACGATAGAAAAACAAAAACGTTCCATGTAGTCACGGCTCGAGAACAAACGGCTGAATCATGGAAATTTACGAAGCAAAGTATGACTTCTGTGATGATTGTGGCGAAAGCTTGCTTAGTTTTAACAAAGGCGAGAAATTTTTAGTCACGAACAAATCTGATGGAGGATGGTGGGCCGCTCAAAATTTGTCCAGTAACGAAATAGGATACATTCCTTCAGCGTACGTTGAAGTAAGAGCGGTCATTTTTTTGTTGTCCTTTTTATCTATATCTATGAATCTTCTTGAAATGTTGGCGTTCTCTACCAGAAATTCTGGTTTGTTTGAAGAGTAAATTAAAGATAAGCCTTCCGTTGTTTTTCGCGGTTGTTGTAACACAAACATTGGGAAGCCTCCAGCTCAGAGGCAAAGATTGCATTGCCTAGCAGTTATTTTCTCTTCGCTGGAATTCGTCTACATCCCAGGTAGCTATCCAGATATATTTCTATTCATTAGTGGCATGATGTAGTCCAGGATCAGAGTGTTTACACTCAAAACAGTTCAGAACCGCAAACTATTCATTGTTAACATAAATACATCGGTGGTTGTGCTGTACACGAGCGGAAACTGTGCGAATCGAGAGTTCCCCCTGTAACTACTTAGGGGTAATCACGACATCGTTAAATTGCTTCCGCCCGAATGAATGCTCTAAACATCACACTGCTTTTAGCTTCGCTCAAGGTATTCGTGTCTTCAAAATTATGAACGAAAAATTTTTGATCGTTCTGCAACGTAACTTTCGCCGTAAGATATATTGGCTGCGCGAGTAGTCGCCAGTGATAAGCCTTACTACTTTAAACTACAAGGCTCGATGGTCTGCATCTACGTGGAAAAATCGAAATCTTTGTATTATATACTCGACGCAGACTCGTAATATCTTACCAGTATGATAAAAAATACAACGCCAGTAGATTGGTGTAATCGATCGTTTGAAAGGAGGTAACATTTGATACAACATGATGGAAGCCTCAAGTGCGAGTGGGGCTTCGACGTGCGATGAATTCAGTGTTACTAGTTTTACTCTACTTATCTCAGCTACAGCTGTGACTTAAAGTACATCTACAAATACTTCTCTAGGAGAAGGTACCTTTTTACGTTTGCATTAAATTCGAATGTTAATCGATCATTGTGTCATAACTGTTGAAGCGATCGGCTATTTACTCTGATGATTGTGCGCGTGTTTGTTTAAGGAAAATTAGTCGGCAACAATTACTTCTTAATCTGACTGAAATTTACCCCTTGGCTAGCCTCTCATGAAAGCGCTGTTATTTTTGAGTTAAAAAAATCAAATTCTTTTTTTTACATTTTGTTACAGTTAGCTGGTAATTGTCCTGTGGAAATACGAGATCCTTAACGATTTGACAGTCAAATTTCTTCGGCGTTTAGCGCTAATTTCCGCAGTGCTCTCCTGGCTGTAATGAACGTTTGCGATCGTTGAATATTAATTATTTTCCTAGATAATTCACTACTTGATATTGCATACAGGTGTACCCAATTTTCAAATATGAATGAGTACAGATTCTTTAGAATCTGAAATGACTGCTTAGCTACGATAATTTTGCGATTTTGGCTAAAAGCTTAATTTTTATAAACATTCACAACTGCCAACAGTAAATTGATGTACACGATTAAATTGGGAAGAGCATTTACATGCATTTAACCTTGGAAATTATCCCGAAACTTGGTATTTATCTTCTTTTCCGTGATGTGAAAGGCCACACCTCCTTTGATCGTATGGATGAGGAAACAATTCGACAAAGAGAAAAATCAATCTTTTCTTCTCTAACCGGGTAATGCGACTGCGCCACGCTTTGATTCCCAGTTGGGTTTTTCCACGGAGTTTAGATTTTATTTTGTTTTTTGTTTTTGTTTTCGTTTTTGGTTTTTTTTTTCTGATTCGTGTACTGCCATTTTACTGTTCATTTGTCTCTTTCATTAGCACAACAATAATAGCTATGAGCGTTTCACCAAATTAGGAATCACGCCCAGTACTTCTCGCGCGACTTCATCTCAAGTATTCACTTTTGACACTGTTATGTCCGTTGTTGCTCAATCGCCGGAGGAAAACTTGCAACGTAAAAGTTTGACCAGTTTCTAGTTCGCACCTTCAAGCAAGAATTTTACTTCTTTTTCAAGGTTAGTAGTGCAAAACTTGTCGCACTGACTTATTTTTGTGAGAACTCGATGTCATCTTTAAAATTAGCAAGAAGGGCGAAGACCCATTTGTTTACAGGTGTTTGGAAAGTACTCTTCGTAAGATTCTTCTGCTCCTGTGGCTTTTCGACAGCATCAAGGAAGCGCTCTATCTATTTTTATTCACCGTAATTTTAAATATTATGGTTCTGAATCAATCTAATATTTTCCAATCTTGTATATTGCTCATTTTATCATATATTTTCTTCGTTCAACATTGTAGGAAGAAATTTATTCGAACGGTCATGTTATGAACTCTGAGTGTCACTGGGCGTCGTTCGATTGGAAGCCATATTTTCTCTCGGAAATTTTTATTTGTAAAGTAAATTTATTTTATTTCTTGACGTTATGCTGTAAGTTTTACAGGGTAGTGACTTCCATTGCAAGATTAAGCGAGTTTCAAACAAAATTTTGCAAACGTAAATGTTCGCTATCGGTGAAATCGTCAAGTCGCCTAAATTTCGCTTTCTAGTGGGATGGTAGTCACTAGAATGGTTTCAAAATCTCGAACCGTATTTCTATTCCTTTGCTTTTTAAACTTTCGACTGATAATTTCGATAATAGCGCTTTTGTTTTCTAGAGGTTTACTTGTTGTTCTTAATTCGCGGTCGCGCATTTGAAATTCAAATTTCCGATAATTAGATGTACAGCTAACAAAAACAAGATTAGGTTTTAAAAAAAAAAATAGAGCCTTCGATGTTTTTGACCGCCGTTTTACCCCGGTAATTCAACGTGGTAGTACCTTCGGGTTTTTTTCCGGAAAATCTCTCAAAGTTGTCGCGAGATACGCCGAAAGTGCTTTAGTTTCGAGGTCTTTTACGAAGCAGACCCTCTGTGCACACGAGTTACAGACAGCGATCACAACAGGGTTTCTGCTATGCTTTATCAGTTGTTCGCTTTTTTCAGCTGCACGGAGTAGAAACCAATCTGTCAGCCACAAGGGTGCGCAGTTTTCTTTGAACATCCGAGAACTGTTGTTTTTCTTGCTGCCGTTTTTTTTGCTATAATTTCCCTAAGTATTCGAGCTATGTAAGAGATAGACAATGTGTTTAACCCCGTAAATTCGTTTTGAGTAATGAATCTTATCGGCTTATATTTTTATTTACAGAGGCACAGGGTAAAAAAATTATTGTAAATGCACATAAGTGACTCAAAGTCGCAGTTTTGCATAATTTACTAAAAATATAGCATTAAGTTTACCATTGTGGTTATTTTCTTAAATGATGTTCATGGCAGGTGCCAGTGAAGTGTTTGTGCCTCTCTGCTACTTTTTTCACAACATTGTCAACCACCAAATGAACATTTTCAAACAGATAGTCGGCTAAATAGCTCTTTTTACGGTTTGTGTCCAAAACGTGTCTAGTAATATTCTTAGAATTGCTCAAAGCCTTAATGTTAATCACCTGTACTCTCAGTTATTTACACAATTTTTCATCATCCCTTTAAAAAAATTTACTTTATCTGAGTCTTATTCAATTTATATTCTGTGGTTTTGAGTTTCTTTATATAATTTTCAATTAGACCATACCTAAATCTCTTGAAACTGACGTTTATGTCTTCAGACCATACTGTACTGTCAACCACAAAGTAGTTGACTTCCCTTCAATGTAAGCACCTATATCATTCCTGTTTTAACCCCTGTCATTAAGGTAGTCTGAACAAGAAGTTTAACATGTTGGATTCGTAATCTGATGGTTGTAAGTTAAATTCATCTGCCCTGCTGCCCAGTTGAATTTGTTTTTCATGTCTTAGAAAGACTTTGTAAACAGCTGACTGGTTTTATCTCCCACTAGTTGGAATTCTGAACAACTTGCCTGATGTTTACTATTTGTTTTGTTATTTCAATTTGTCCTGTTTGTGCCAAATACCAATTGACACTTCTTTAAAGTGTTTGTATTGCTTATTCTAGTATACTGAACAACAGAATTAGACCTAATGACCACCTCTTACATGTCGCTTGGTTCTCTTTGCCGCACCTTTCCTTAAATGTCAGTGTTTACTCTGCCATTTGTTTTCTGAAGAGATCTGATGTGATAGGGTTAATTTAAAAGAAATACTTTCAGTGGCCATTTGGCTCTGAGATTTTGTGTTTGTGGTGTCACTTCCATTGGTTAAATATTTATAACAAGTATTTTTTTTATTGTCTTTTAAATTTACTTTTGGAAAGTTGTCTTTTATATGCTAATTCTTGAAAGGGCATTCACCAAGAAGAGTTTAAAGTTTCTTAAACCTTTTAAGTATCATATTTTATGCAGATCATTATTTGGTTGATGTTGGTACTTGTCTAACTTTGCTTTGCAGTGTACTGCAGTTATCGATCCACTCACATTAGACCATATGGATGTGTCTTCAAAACAAGAGAAAATCAAAATGGATGCCTTATGTGAGCTCACAGCAAAGATTCAGCAAAATCCTCATCCAGGTAAAGTGTTTTTACTTGTACAAAACAAGCACAGTGTACATGTGTCTGTTGGTTTTGCAAGAACTGCCAGTTTGAATTCAAATTTAAAAAAAACACCTATTACAGTAGAAACTCTGCTCAAAGAGGCTGGATACAGTTTTTCTAGGCTCTGACCAGTTATATTCATAGTACGCAAAAACCAACTCTCCCTCTGTGTAGTCAAAAGATTTACTGGCATGTGTTGGCCAAAGGTTGGGTGTTTAATACAGTGGATTTGGCATGGCAATTGTTATTAAGGTATCACAGAAGGAAAATCAAAGTTTTCATTCAAACTGAGATAGCATGACAATTATGTTTGCTAACCCTGTAAAAAAATACATTTTCTTAAAGCTTTATGAACACTGCTCTTGAATATTTGTTTTCTTATTTTTTACCATTGAACAGATTAGGAGCTTATTCATTCTCCCCAAGATGTTTTACAAGATAACTTAATTTGACAACATGTTTTGATTAACATGTTTCTTTTTTATCAGAATATGATCTCTACATATTGAACTAAAAAAGTCTGTCTGGGATTTTTATTTTAAAGCCTTGTTAATTTTTTTATCATTGTTTTAACTTCAAGAGCTTTTGAGCAAAGTTTTTATGGTGGACACTATATCTCAAGTAAGAAGGAGAAAATTGAAAATCCAGGACATACTTTTAGGGTTTGTTATATTCCCAACACAATCTCCACATTTCACGAAAACTGACTGAATATCAGCCAAGAACAAACTCTTCAAATATAAGAAGCGGAGCCAAAACACTTTACCACAAAAGCCACTTGAATTGTTTTGGGCATCAGTGTTTGTTTACATAAATGCCTTTCCACTTCACACCTATGAAGTCATTTAACACTGTTTGCCTGTCAGCACTGATGCATCCTACAGTAGAGGACAAAGAGCAAATACAATTTGTAAGGAGTTAGGTTGAGAAGGTTTTAAATAAGTGAATATGTAGTCATTTGTGTCAATGTGGAAGGTGCTTCAACCAGCAGAAAGAGGAGGAAAGAGGTTAGGCAGAGAAAGGAGAGCTGCACAATGTCACAGCTTTTCATTGATCCATTATCAAAGTGCAATGCTATGCAAATGACAATGGGCTGTCTGTGATATTTTTTGTAAACTAACACCATCAGCAACTTCAATAGAAGTAGGGTCTGGCCACTGAATCTCTTAAGTCTAGTAGAAACCCCTATGGCCATCAGCAAACAATATTTCCACTCCGATGCAAACTGCAAATAAATTTTCCTTTTTTGAGAATGGCATAAGGGACTTGTCACTTTTGGACATGATAAAAGCTTGAAAACAACACTTGAATTACTTAAACAATCTCTCTATCTTTCAAAAGGAACCAGTGTTGGGAGACTTGATAATGAATTAGCAATTTTTGAACTGTACAGCAGGTCTCGAAATTAAAAAAAAATTCCAAGTCGCCTTTTGGCAACCATCAAAGAAAAAATGATCGCCAAATGCAAAAATGCAGTCGCCAGATAGTACAAGAACAGAAGCTCAGATTAGACCCCTATTTAATTGACATAGTTGTTTGGCTTCTGGAACTAAACACGTTGAAAAACATCCTCTGGTAGCTGCTGCATGAGATTCACGCTCCAAACAAACATTTTTGAAAGGCTTTGAAACGCTACTTGTTTGCATACTGACAACGATCTTGCTTCCTAGTAATTTCAAGACTGCAGCAAATTACGAAAATCACTCAGTGTATCCTTCTCTTGTGATAAACAATTCATGACTTTCGGTGTAGACTCGTCTGACTTGATTGCGTACATGGTGAAAGAAAGCTATTACTTTGAAAGCCGGCTCCTTGTGACAGAATCTGCTACAGAACGCTTTTAAATTCAGCGGCCTTTCGACAAAATATTGCGCCTGTGGTTACCATATAGAAGCCACTGTGATGTCGTCTCAGAAGTCGTAATCTTGAAGTGATTTCAAGTTTTAACCTTAAGGTAAACAGACTAAATTTGCATTTCCTTTAGCAGAAAAGCAGAAACAAGACTGAGGAAATTGTTAATCTTTTATTTATCAGAGGAACATAGTAGCCAAAGTGGCGACTAAACTCAAAATTTTAGTCACCAAGTTATAAGATTTAGTCGCATTGGCGACGGTATCAGTCGCAATTTCGAGCCCTGTACAGTGTGCATTGTAATCTTTAGTAGAAATTGTTAATTAGGTGATGAGATGAAGTTGACATGATGAAGTGTCATCAATCTTACGCCTTCCATTTTACTCTCAAATTACATTTTGCTTTATATCTCCTGAAGAAAAAAAGATGCCAAAATAAATTTTGCAGAAGTTGATAGATCTTTAGATGATGTTAATTATTCAGGAAGTTGAAAAATAATTTTTTTGTCTATGATACCTTAATATCTTGATGCTATGGGAATATCTTGTGGCAAAATTTTTAGGGACAGTCTCAAAATCTTAAATCAAGTTGCCTTGACAGACTGTGCTGTACCAAGTATTCATGTATATCAAAGTAGAAAACCAGTTGATTACTATTGGACACCTAACTCTTTGTTAAAATGCCAGTAATTCATGGCCAAAAAACAACTTTTTGATGTTTTAAAGGAAGGAATCATCCAAAGTACCCTAAAGAAGACTACTTGGGTGATGGAAAACAAACTCCCCCCACAACTCCTGAGTTAAAGAGGACTGTCATACCACACTCTGCCTCTAAGGAACAGGATGAATTACGTAAAGACCTTAAATTTAGCCAGCAAAGGTAGGTTATTTTGACATGGTTTGAGTACTTTAGTAATAATTGAGCACAAAGTCTTATAAAAAATTTAAGTGTAAGACTAAAGAAATTATTCCACCTGCTAACATTATCTACCAGAAGGTGATGAAAGTTCCAAACACAGTAACAGTTGTTCTGTCATACTGTTAATTGAATGACATGGTTTGAGTACTTTAGTAATAATTGAGCACAAAGTCTTATAAAAAATTTAAGTGTAAGACTAAAGAAATTATTCCACCTGCTAACATTATCTACCAGAAGGTGTTGAAAGTTCCAAACACAGTAACAGTTGTTCTGTCATACTGTTAATTGAAAATGACAAGTAGTATGCATGTGGTAATCATTAAACCTGTTTAATTCAACTTTTGATAATACATTATAATAGCTTGTATATGCATCTAAAAAGATGAAAGCTTACTTTTATATACCAAACATCAGTAATGGTCAATAGCTAGTACTGTTTGTGGAGCTTAGTTTCTTCTGACAAATAAGAATTGTTCAACCAATAGCTAGTGAGCATAAGCTCATAGTGACCTTGGTTAAATCACCAAGATTTTCTTTTACTGGGATGGCATGTCTTGCTGATCAAAAATTAAAGTTGCTGTTACAAAATTAACCATAAATAGTCAACAGATTTGACATTGAATATCCTTAAGGTGGCTTTCCTCATCCACTCTCTCCAGACAAAATTGCTGTTCACTACTTCATTTCCATTGTGTCTATTAAGGATTAATTGAATTATGATTGTAATTCCTCCCTTTAGGGGTATTCAACTGGGAAGACCCGAACTTATGAAAACATGGGAAAAGTTTGAACACAAAAAGTCAGCCAAAGCTGAAAAGGGTAAAAGTAGTGTTGACAGTGAACTGGAATCCAGATTTCGCAGTATCTCTCAGAAACAAGAGGTGAGGAGAGGATGGTCAATTTATCCATTATATTCTTTTAGCACATTGTTGTAAAGTTTGTACATAGGATTCATGCATTTTTGTTGGTTAACTCTCCATACTCTAACATCAGTATGTATATTCTTCATACTGTTCTCTATACATTTTCTATGGTGCTGATGAAGAGAATTTGGAGAATTTGTGTAACAATTAAGAGTTGCTTTTGTTGGTGATCATTTCCTCTATTCTTGTGACCTAATGTGTAATTCAGGGGTGATATTGAAGGGAGAAATTAGATGCTTGTCACTCTTAGGGGTTAAAGGGTTAAAATTATTATTTTCTTTTTCTCAAGGATTTTGAAAAGCAGAAAGAGACAGAAGCAACAAAACCAGAGTTCATGAGAGTTAGTCTCAAGAAATCCTCAAGGGAAGTTGAGGCCACCAGCTGACCAATCACCATGAAGCTTAAGCCAAACTTAAGGCATTGAATACTATGTTTTAAGAAAAAATGTAAGAAAGTTCCTGGATGTGTAAAGTTAGAAAAGCTTATAGCAAATGTGTTATTTTTATATACTAGTTCAAGTTACATTGCTGTGTTTTTTGGAAAATATTCTTAAGAGGCATAGGTGAGATACTGGTAATCCAGAACAAAGAAATGCCCTTCCTAGGGTTTTTTTAACTCTTTTCATCTTTGCTGTTCACAGATAGTGTAATTTTTTGGAAAAACTCAAGTTCAGTATTATTACTAATAAAAGAATGTGCTGTTTCATGAAAATTATACCAAATCCCACAGCTGGTTGTTTAGATTCTGATATTAAAAAGGTTCTCTACCATCTTTGAATAAGCCAGGCATTCTATGTAAACGATGTTTTTTTGTAAACAGATTCAACAGTTAAGGCTTTAACACTGAAATTCAAATCTTAAAATCCATTTGTAAAAAATTGTTGCCAAAACCGTACCAGTCTTTATACAGTAATTTAAATAACAAGCCCTTGCAATTAAACAGAAACATCTTCAACTCAGTGTGTCCTGCTTGTTTTCAACAGATAATGTACATGTTACCATCAGGCTTAATGAAAAAGGCTATAGTTAAGAATTATTATATACAAGGAAAACATTGACTTGAGATAAAAAGAGGTTCAGGGCAATGTTAAGGAAAATCTTCCTCCTCTCAAGACAGTGAACATTTTAAGAACTGATGTTTCCCTGTTGTTCAAAAACTAAAGAGGCCAATAAGGGCCATACATTGTTGTGGGGGATATTTGGTCTTATTTAAACATTTAAGCTTTTCTGCTTTAACACATTGTTTCAGGGGATATTTGGTCTTCTTTAAGCATTTCTGCTTCCCAACCACACAGAATTTAAGGCTACATACAAGCTCCAAGCCTTAATGACGGGGGTTGGGGGGGGAAAAGGATATTTTATTAAAACTACAGAAACTTTAGTGTCAACATCTCAGATTTTACGTATGTAAACTTATGCGTTTATGACAAGCATGATAAGTTATACTTGTTTTGTTTTAAGAAAAAACCCTGTCAGAGCGTGAAGCTTGTTTTAAGAGCAGATTCACATGTTTCTGTGATGCACTTTGTGAACCATGTCATCTCGAATTGCTGGTCTAGGTTATGACGATAGTTATCACAGCAGACTGCAGCCAAAGCGAAGTCATTCTTCACCAATCCTAACACTGCTACACTGTCCCTTGATGTTGGGTGGCCTTTGAGGGGATAGAGTAACGCTAACCATATTCCTCTTTGTCATTCAACTTGCTTACTCTTGTAATGTATGGATTATGAAGGCATTGTTTGGTTATCACTTTTCCTTTTCATTTTTTTGGTTGTTGATTCAAGTTCATAGAAAAGCTTGGTGACTAATTGATTAGTAAGTCACCATCGCTCAATAATTATACAAAATTTGTATGTTGTTATAGTTCTTTTTCTTGTTATGTTTACTTTCATTTGCATACTTCTTATGTAGTACTCATGAATTTTAGCATTAGTTGATATTATTTTTTGCCACAATTTTTGTATGGAGAGTTTTGATTGACTTTTGATTTTTTTTTTTTTGGTGCAAATTGTTTTCATTTTCAAGCAAAATAAGTTATTAGTTTTTAGTTAGTGTATACTAAGTGTTAGATGACTTCCTTAGTTATGTATCCATTGCATTTTATCAGTTTATTTCATTGACACTAATATTAACATTAAGAATAATCTGCAATATAATTTATGACTCGTTTTTATCAAAGTATGGGTTGATATACCAGGAAGTAACGTCAAGTAGCCATGACAAGACTACTTCAGAATAGGTATCATCACTGTAAGACTACATGACAAGCGGATACTCACTACTCACAACTAAGTGTTTTTTTTTCTCCTCTAATAGTTTGCTGCTGACGGTTGGAATTTTTTTTTCATGTTGTGTTGATTAGTTAATCTCCGTGTTTACTGTTACACTAAAGTCAGCCACAGTAAATCACATTTTGACGCGTCACGAACAAAGACAGATATTTGTAGCTAATTCTCAACAACAGAGGTTTTGTTTCCATTTTACGGAAAGGCAGTTTAGACAAGTATGTACTTAAAAAACAACGCAGTTCCTAAGACAATTTTATCAAAGTGAAGTGATAGGACATATGTAAACTTTGCTATTTTCGTTTGTGTGATGTACAGAAGGAATAATTCATAGGCATTTTATTGCCAATAAACAGAAGATTTATGTTGTTTTGCGAACTAAATACGAAATTAACAGTCAATATTGGTGACTTTGTGGGGTATCTTCACAAGTTGCAAAGTTTTCGTAACAGCATGTGTCCCCTAGTGATGTCTGCGGGCACCAATCGGTACAGTGGAACCTCGATTATCCGATTTCATGGAGAGTGAGCTAGACGGTCCGGATACATATATCTTATTTGATGTTTTGATGTGTAGTATCGTTGAGTATTTTTACGAGTTGTGCCGTATTTTGAGAGGCCCGCAGGGCTATCAAAAATAAAAACAACGAGCAAAAATATTAGCGACAATAAACGCCAAAACTCCTAACAAGCATCGTATAGATGTCTTATTGCAACGATTTAAAATTAGCTCCGTAGATTTTTCAAATACTGCATTTCAGTCTTGAAAGAGAGAACGTAAATATAGAGACAATGGCTTCTAAATTGAAAACCAGCGATAAGAGAGTGGTACTTTTAAATTATGTCCGCACAGCACCCATATTTCAAAAGAATTTGGAAGAACTGTCAGGAAAGTTGCTTGATCAAAGGAGAAACAAAATATTCTACCTCTTGGAAGACTGCAACATCATGGATAAATCACACTAGAGCTAGCAACTGTTCGAATCAATCGCTTTCGTTATGATATATTCACACCAACAAATATATCACTCGAAGACTTCAACATCATGAGATAAATCAACTCACTAGAGCTAACAACTGTGCGAATCAACTGCTTTCGTTATAATATATCCACACCAACAAGAATATCACTCAGAGGCACAATGTAGAAGCAAAACTTAACCATCTGATATGTATACTAAAGAAAAAAGCATTAAAAGAAACAATATTTGATCAGGTTTAGAACAAAGTTCAAGTCAAAACACATGGTGTTTTCTGTAGCGTCAACTTGGAGACAGATCAGTTCCTGCAAAGATAACGCATAAATTTACTGAATAACTTCACAAATAAATCTTTTTTTTAAACGAAAATTCCAAAATCGAAGATTACGCATTTCCAGTATTTCTTCAAAGAGACTTAACCTAAATGTTCTCTGTTGACCTTCTAAGCAAAGAGGAAGTTGAGCGAGAATTAATGAAATTAAATTAAAGTTAATGTGCTGGGTATGAAGCCCAAATTCAATAAATAGCTTCCCTTATCAAAAAAACCACTTCCCTTTGATTTTTAATAAATCATTTTAAACAGGTATTATTCCTGGTAGACTAAATAGTTCACTTATCACTGTATTAAAAAATGATGATAAATCATTCTCAAACTATAACCAATTGCTGCACTGCTATTCTGAAAATAACAGAAAAATTAATGCATAAAAACGATTGATAAGGTACATTTTGAAACACAGTATTCCATATTGAAAACAGAGAGGATTTGGACCTCTGTGGATTCGACACCACAATTACGGGATGTAATTGAGGAAAATAGGCTAACAGCAGGGGTCTTTTAAGACTTATCTAGCACATTTAAGGAAGTTCAGATCCCAAACTAATTGCGAAATTAAAACATTATGGAATAAGAGGTATTGCTCGAGATTGGTCTTAAAATTACCTCAAAAATTAAAGGGGGTAAGTTTCTAAAGAAACTGTGGTGCTGCATCTATAGGGGTGTCACAAAATAATTTGGTTTTAATTAGCTGAGTTGATAATGTAAATTGGCCACCGTAAAGAGTTATAAAGCGGACGTTTGAGCGTTGACCCTTTCTTGTTCGCTCTGACGAAGAGCAACCTCAGAAATAATTGTCAAATTGTACGATTCAAAACCACCAGTCGAAGAAAGCCTTTCTTTGAAAGTTAACATATAGAGATCCACAAGGTTTGGTTCTTGGCCAACTTTCATTGCGCTCATTTAAATGAACAAGTTCAACAACAACTTCATTTTTATCTTTCTTTAGAAGTAAATTCCTAACTGTTAACTGAGGATCTCCAAACCTTAACTGAGGCCTTCGATGATTGATTGGTAAAGGCTGAGCCATCGAAACAATGAAGTGAGAGATATTTAAGAATCATGAAAATACAGTCTTTCTTCTTAAAAGCAAAACAGAAAAAGAAAGAAGGAGGATCTAAAGTAACCATCAGTAATGGAGAGGTAAAACAATTACATGTAAATTATAAGAATATACTACTGGAATAAAAGGGATGTTAAATTTGGACCAACCTCCAAACAGAGATGAAAAGTGCTAGTTTAATTCACATTTTTTTGCAAAAGAAAAATTAAGAATTATGGTCTCCAGTCATTTTAAAAGAAATGAAATGCATTATTGTGAAAATTGGATATTGATAGAGGGGACGATTAGCTTTGGCCTTACGTGTGAGACATGTAATATTCATTACAATAATGGAACAGAAACGTGCATCAGAGCTTGTCACCGTTAGACTCGCAAAGGTTTTTCAAGAGCTCCTGCGTAATAAGAAGCCTTTATTATTCGAAAATAATCTTTTTAAGAACAAAAATGTTTTTTGGAGGCGAAGTATTACTGTCTTATTGATGTGTGAACATTCTCACGCATTTAAGGTTCCTTTTGGGCAAAAATCAGTGAATCTATCCACATCGAATGCAAGGCGTCAAATTAATAGGGCTGAACAGCGTCACGAAGTTACCAAAGTATTGAATACATCGATCACACGCAATCAAGAACTAAATGATTCTGCGTCTCATCAGGTTAAGTTTTGGCTGCGAGAAATGAGTAGTAATGTGATTTAACGCGAGTGTTTTTGACGATTCTGAATAGGAATAAACGCTTGTAATGAATCACCATTGTAAATTGAGCGCTATATGAAATGCTTCACAGAAAACCACTGGCCTCTCGCCTGAGGCCATTTTAAAGAAAGATTTCCAACGGATTCAAAACTTAGTCTTTCAGTAATACAACGTTTGAAGTATTGCGATAAAGTCTTGATTCTCCCTGAAAAAGGCCACCATTTATGTCACAATGAACGGGAAGAGGTGGTCGCGTGGTTGTCAAGCAAAATGAAAGATTTCAATATCAATTTCTTGGCACAGAGTCGCGACCCAATAGCAAAGTCAATTTGTGTAAGGAATAATCTTTTGCCCGCTGGCTAATATGAATGATTCCTAACTGATCACAATTGAAACGTTTCACGGCGTGAACCCAACCGGTGAAAATTACTTGAGATCATATTCGTTAAAGTGGCAGCTTTTGGTCGTGTTTCATACTGGGAATCGTACAGAATAAATAAATTTTCAACGACTCAAATAACAAAGAGGTGTCTCGTGATATCAATTACTGCCTACTAAATAAACATTTTCAACACCTTCTTTTATATTTACTGCCGGAAGGCTTTTATTAAAGCACAAGCGAGGGACGATGCAGTGAGGACGAGGAAAAACCAGAAGTGCGGTGAGTTTCACAGTTTGATGACTTTCGCTCGAGTGCTACATGACGCTAAATTCAGTTTTCTTTGAGGTAAATTCGTCCACTTTGGTAGTTTTGAATTTCAATTAAGATTTGGCAGTCGCCTTTTTAACATATTAAGCACAGGCTCTTAGAATAATAACAAAAATTCAAAATGCATCCATAGAGGAAAAGTGTTGAGATGTTTTTTGAGCGGTTTATAAGAGATTACTTGTTTTGAGGGTCAGGTGTTTAAATTTATGAAACGGCTCATTTTTAAGTACAGTTACATCATCTTCTTTCCATCGAATATCGACAGATCAGTATGTCCTGCTGAGAATCGTATTGGCTTTACGTTCAATTCATCTCACGCACTGTACCGTTCAACCATTCACTGTCTCTCAATCACTTTTTCGTAATATTAACATTCGCAATATTTTATGTTCCAATCTTCTTTGAGATTTCCAGAGCTCGTAGAAATGGAAATATCTCCTCCGCTACGAAATCCGCCGAGAGCTTTACATGAAAAAAATCTTACGAGCATGTAATGTTTGGCTTAACTTCTTTTTTCGCAATACCGTTGTGACTGACCTCTAAATATCTTTGCATTCAATGTTTTTGGACTTCTTTTGTTGGTTTGCATTATTATCTTGGCTTACTTCAGGGCTGAGTTAAAAAATTCCTCCAGGCGAAATGTGATATCAAGTAGAAACTTTAAGTTTGAAAGCTAGCTTGAAAAACAACATTTTACCCGAAGTACCTTAAACTCCATTTGCCAATCCATCTATGTACCTCTCCATATACACCTCGGTAGACAAGAACTTCTGTGCAACAAATTGAAATTGTTAAAAAAATAAAATAAAACTACAGAAAAATAGAAAATAAGAAAAGATTTTTAATTTGTACGTATTCCATAACTTTAACCCGCCATTTATTGAATTATTAGATGAACAAATGGTAATGTAAATACTTTCCTGTGAATGTTTATTGACGGATACTCAAAGTCCTGTCTTCTACCGAGGTTTTCCGCATGCATGAAATAGCATGTTTTCCTTTCAATGCAACAACACACTATACAATTACGGATTTACGAGAGGAGGTCGGGGGTCTCATATTATGGCTACATCGTTTAGTTACGATAACGGCATCTTAATTTCTACAAAAACGCTAAAAACTGCCAACGATTGAAATGGTAAACTTCTCGTTACCCTTAGGCCCAGTGCTTCAATTTACACTATAAAAGGGCAGCTGCGTTTAATAAGTGTAACCTTAACTTAAAGACTTTCTGACACTTCACCTGTCACTAAATGCATAATTTTTAACAACGTGTTAATAACAAGCGTGGTTGGACAGATCCATAAAGAAAGTAAAGTGTATAGCTCCATTCAGTATAAAGTTTGACTGCTCAGCGAAACAATAGCTAAACTTGCAAATTATTTAGCATGATGATAACAATTTAGCATAAATTTGATATTGAACAGTCAGGTACCTGTCGTGTGTATGAGGGAAGATGTAACTGAAAGCGGTTTTTACTTACTGTTTTTAGTCCAGGCTTCATCCAAACTGTGGTTTGTTCTTGCTTTTGTGACTTGCTTTTGTTTTCAAGGTGTAATAAGATCCATCTGATTCAAGAACCGAATATGCTCTCGTTCTATCTTTGCACGGTGCGTTATGAACATGAAACGAGTGCTGAGTTACCCTCGTCGAGCTTCAGTCTTGGATGAGCAAAGGAAACTCACAAGAGAGTCAGCTAAACCAGAGGCAGGGGGAAGAATAATACTGAACGGGTGGTAAAAATCTAAAATTCATCGTGCGGTACTTACCAGTCATGACAGGTAAGAAACAAAACTTGTTTCATCAAACCCTATCATAAAGATTGTGTGTTCAATCTGCGCATTGCCTTCTTAACTTATTTAATTGTCTTTTCTCCAACGCCCAAAAACTCCTAGTCAATAGGCAAATATAAAAATATACTGGCAAATGAACATTTTTGCAGCATGATACTTCCAACAAGCCTGTATTTTTTACGATATAATACAAGAAATTTAATTTGTTAAACATCACGGCGGCGCTGTCTGAAGAACGACGCCAACAGATTTTTTTGTAGTGGATCAAAAGTATTTATCAGTAATAGAAATATTTTTCTCAAATTTTCCCAACAGAAAGGAAACATCACTGAAAAGAAAGGTTCAAATCGAAAATTTAAAGATCAGATATTTCTTTTAAACTTCTAAGGTTGTTAGGTAAACAAGTTTTCGTACTAAAAGCTTCCCTGTTAGTGGTGTTAATGAAATCCATATTACATCTGATTTGAAGCAAAGTGTTGAGATACCTATTCATCCATAAAACTTTCGTTTCAAATTTCACACTTATTAAGAGAGAAAGTCAGAAAAAGATAGTTGACTCCCGTGACCGAAGCCCATGAAAACTTGAAAGAGTTGTTGAAGCTCTGAAGGTTAGTCATAACACTATGATAAGTTTTCGCTCGAAATTTTGATTCATACATAGATTCAAATTGATGATTTCAAATCCTAACCTTCAAGAACCTCTCGAGAAGATATGGTAAAAAAAATCCCGCACATGAGAACCTACAAAATTTAGTTTGATGGATCTGTTTAGCTAAGATTTTCATGTAGATCCCCTTTTTATAAAAGCTTGTTTTGGCTTAAGACTTGAAAGATATGATGAAGACAAAAGCTCAGCTAGATTGCACTAATTAGCGAAACGAGGGAAGGTCTATATATAGACGTTAACTGCGAAACGTTTTAAAATGACTCACCTTAAAAATTACAGCGAAAGAAAATGAATTTTAAAAAGTGATAAAATCAGAAGTAATCCATCAAATGCTTTCCAAAATGAATATTTCCAAGACAATTTTTTCATTTCTAGGTAGTCACCGCGATTACTGTTATCATAAAAGTAAAATATGCTCAGAGATTTATTTTGGTGATTTTTCCACTCGCAGTAGTTTATTACACAAATCTCTTTGAGCTAACCTCGATCTGACCATAAGAATGGTCCAGCATATCTTATAAAATATTTTTCATCAAATGGTAAGTAGCATTAAAACGGACAGCATAAAAAAATCACTGTTCCGGGGCAAGTTTGACAAGTCCTTACTGAGTACGACACGAAGAACCCTGTTTTGCAAGACAATTTATGCCTTCATACGTTAGCACTGCAAAATTTTAGGGTTGTTATATTTCGGCGTTCACTTGAAAATTAGATGGTGATAAATCAAACAAAAACAAGGCTCTCTCAGACTAAGTGGCAACGAAAAGATGCCAAATAACTTCCAATGATTGCAAACGTCACTGAGTTTGGATTTACATGTAGATAATCTCGATTCTTGGGTATTAAGGGATTGAGGGAAATAAAAATAACTTAAATCCGGGTTCATTCGTGTTTAGACTACAGCGATGTGGACGTGATGTCGTGTATACTATCTACAAAGAATGTATGATATTCGCCAAGCAGCAGCAGGAAAAAAACATGAGGTTTTCCATGGGGAGGAAAGGACTATGTTCAGAACCTGTGAAATAGTCAGAAAACTTGAATTATATGGGAATCTTTTCAAGTTAACTGAGAAAATTTGAGGTATGGGTAATTGGTATTCAGCTTTCACTTACTTGTTCTTCATAAACGTTCAGTTTTCTCGCCGTTGTCATCGCACCAGTTTTGAAAAATTGCCAGGAGACATGATTCTCGTTATCACCAGTTTTTCCAGTTGCAATTCGTTAGGGCGGGAGATCTAATTAGAGCTGTGAAAATCGTCATTGAGAAAGGCAAATGAGCCTATTGAGATCAGGAGAAATCCCAAACAGTGACAATTTGTGGACTTTACTACCTGTTGTGTTGGCAACAAGACACGCACCCTCTGAATGCCTTTAAATAATATTTTATTCTGCTAAACAAGCGGCGTTGCTTTTGTTTGCCGTGAAAGAGTCACGTAACGAATATAGCTTTTCATTCAGGATATTTGAATAACTGATGTAATGACATTCTCTTGGATCCGAGAAAACTGCCACAACATACACGCCTTTTTGTTTATCTTACGAGCAAAATAGGGTTGGCAGTTTTCCTCGCGGAAGAGGTAACAATGTAAATTTTTTATGATAAATGATTGCATTGTTATTGTGTTGACGGGCTACATTAATGGAGGGAACCCCAGACGTGCAGAAACTGGAATAAGATTTCTGCTGCTTGTAGAAAGCCCTTGTCAAGGTAGTGCAGTACCGTCATAACAGGTAAGAAAGGTGGTTTTCCTCAATTGAGGAATTTGCGGGTTAACCTGGGAGTTAATGATACTCCTGAGTGACAATGCAAAGAGGACCCATCCAACATTGCTTTATAACTCAGTTAAAGTGGACAATGTTCGTAGGGGTAAGTAATACCTGTTGGATGGATTAAGCGGAGTTGTAATCACTAGTGTGCTTCACTATAATGCTAATTAGTTTTGTCTTAGCGCTTTGTTCGTCCAAACTTATTTATAAATGGCTATCGCAAAGCTTCAGTTGGAGTCGCAACTAAGGAGAGGAAATACAAAAAGTAAACACTAAACAAAAATGTAGGATTCAAATGTTCAAAGCGCTCATCTAAATAGACGACCGTTTACATATTCAACTGATATGCTTTATTTTTGGCACGAGTTGAAGTAGCAATAACTCAAACAGCATGACTTAAAACAAACAAGTGGCCTTACAATACAATCAAACGACTAAACCCGTCTAAATAGCAGAGAAATAGCTCATCTTACTGTTAGCTGAACAACAGAATTGTTCTTCAGTTATTGTTGCATCGACATTTTAGTGAATGATATTTTCATACCTTTTATATTTTTGTATATATGTATATAATTTTTTCGCTTTGGCACAAGCTCAGACCAGAAAATGCAAAGCCAGTCCGCTATCTAGTGAAGCAACATAAAATCTTGTTTTACGAGTCCACAATAGGACTAGTCCTCCTTCTTTTGTATATCTCCTTAACCATCAATAGCTTTTTTTTCCTTTCATCGGTTACTGGTAATTCCCACAATTCTCACAATTCCATGGATATGATTTACTTTCCCTTATAATAATGTACATGAAAATTACGCGCTTCTGATTGGCTGAAAACGAGTGCATTCACATGTAACACGAGTGCAAATTACAAATAGCGCGCGCGCTCCTTCAAAATTTTTGTCTGTTTCGCCTTTCTGTGATGTTTTTTTCACGTACATTACAAACAAGTAATTACATGATTTCTCTTGCAATGTGGTGTCAGTAAACACTTGTAAAATTTTCAAAGACTTCAAATTTCACTTGCCCTACAGACTCGTGCAATTCTATTGTTTTGAAAATTTACTCGTGTTTTTAAACACCAAATTGCGCTCAAAATCACGTTATTACCTAGACTTATTGTCAAAGTCAACACAAACAATGACAGTATAACTAACGTTGAACTCAGAAAATTGAGAGGTACACGCGCATATCTCAGTTGTTATGATGTAGATAATTTTTACAAGATTTTGACATCTTTTTTAAAGACCTAGAGATTACTATTCATGTTTGCACGCTCCTACAAACAAAGGTATGATGACCAAATCTAAAGACAACCTTATGCTAACTAGATAATTTACCCAAAGCTTGTTTTGAGGGTCATGCATGTGGAGGAGAAACGCAATTGAAAACAGCTCATTTAAATTCGTATCTCTTGGAAAGTAAAAGGACATTTAGGGCAGATTTACACCGTACCATTCTGCGGTTACAGCAATTACTTGCGATCAGTTCATGACACAACTACCGCACTAGTGTCCTCTAACATTCCTTTATGCTCATAAATAGCCAGTGGAGTTCAACTTGGTTTGCCTCCTGCTTATTGGAATTTTTTACCCGTGTGTTATATTTCATTTGAATTAATCGTTTCATTGATTCTCAGCCTCACCAGCTAACTCTATGTGAAAAAAAAAATTGAAATTTTTAAAATAACGTTGCTTAACCAACAAATTATCGCGACATGAAACACTGAATGGTAAAAAACTGTGGAAAAAGCAGCAAAAATGTCTCACAACTTGTTGTAGCCGCAGGCATTTATGAAAACTGACAATGAATTTGGGCCAAGTAAATTTGTTTTTACGGTACATTTGAAATGCTTCTTAGCAAGCACAAACACGCATGGTTCATATTTGACAAATCATGGATTTTGTTACCTTTTCTCGTGTAACAAACAAGTCAGTAGAATAGGTAAAGAAACATGCAAAAGTTTTTCAACACGAAATCCTTTGCCAACCCATTGTGGCAGTTGTTTGCCAACTTGTGGTCCAGCGAGTTGATGAGCACGTATGTTATTATTATAATTATTATTTTAAAATAAATTAAAATCTTATGTCTAAAACGATTTCTCTTCCCTTAACTGTAACACACAGTCGAACCTCTCCACGACAGCCATCTTGGTGGCATTGGTCGTCGTTGGGAGGTTGGAGTCTAGTATGACACTTTTATTTCTGTAGGAGATAGATATGAGAGACGGTCAAAGCAGAAATAGCAATATTAAAACTTCATTCACCGAATAAAATGTTAACAGATAAGTTGAAGAAAGCGAGTACAACAGCTGCACAACTTTTTGATTGGCAAAATAAACCTATCGAGGGTAGTTAGCAAAAATTGTCATTGCAGACTCTTATTACGGACGAGTTATCAGTCTCCATGGGGCTTGGGTGGTGTCTAGATTATTTTTTAGCTTTCATCGTTCAGTGGAGGTGGTTACTGGGGAGAGGACAAATGTGAGGTCTGTCTGCCGGGGTATCACAAAGTGGCCGTTGCTAGGAAGGGGCTGTTGTAGAGAGTTTAAGGTGGTC